TTTTTGTTACACTTCACAGATCTTTTTTTTATATAATTGTAATGTAAAATAAACTGAAAATAAGTAGTTACCGTCGCCTATATGAACAACGCTACAGACATCACGTTATCACGTGTCACCCGTGATACCATTATGCTTTGCCATTCCAGATGTGTAAGATGCCATACCTCTTATTCTGTGTTAGTTGCAGAATAAGAGGTATGATACCTTGTAACTTGCTTCTGTTACCTGCGATGATGTCCTCGTAAAAATTGACTTTTTTTATTTAAAATCAATATTTTTTGTAAAATAAGTAGCTTATAGTTACTCCTTATAACATTAGCTATCAAGTGAAAGTCCCATCAAAATCGGTCCAGTGGTTTTAGAGATTATAAAACCAAACAGGCAGACAGACAGCCAGACAAAAATATATTGTTATTATTAAAATATTTTTGATGCAAGTACCGTATGTATGTATACGTTCATATTATAGGCATTTAGTGAAAAGCTGTTAATTTGAAATTACAAACAAACACATTTTATTTATTTGTTTAGATTTCACTACGTAATCACTCATTCAGTCTCCCTAGAAATGAAACAGCTTACAAAGCAAGCTGGTTGGCGGTTGAAATAGGTGAGTCTGGTACACACGCAGAATGTACACGTAAAAGTAGTTTCTGACCCTACGTTCATACACATCCATATGAAAAGTTAGTCGTATGTAATCTTTATTTGGGATACTTATAAGGAGTAAGTAATATGATAATAATAATATCTCAGGCAATTCACGCAGCGCCATCTAGTCCCAAACTAAGCAGAGCTTGTGTTCTCGACAACTGATATCTCGAACCGAACCGAATCGAACCTACGACCAACGGAAGGAATGCGCTAGGTAGATAACCCAAAGAAGATTGGTATCTGTGAGAATTCGGGAATCCAGGTATAACCTTGACACATATCGTCGAAATTAGGTTCTACAAAAACAATGAGTGGAATCGCACACAGCTGCCAAAATTAAATTTTAAAGCACACCCTTATAAAACATTTATGTAAGGGCCGCGAGCGATAAGCTTCAAGCGTATTTTATAGCGTTTAGAAAAAGTCAATAGGACTGTTTAGCCTAACGGGTTTTTCAGTCAAATGAAATGTATTATATTATTGTAATATTAATTTACAATAATTAATTAAAACGGACTGACGACGCCAGTTCTTGAGGCCGCCCGTGATAGTATTAAAGAGTGGACACCACTGCGACGATCTCGACGCCTCCACACCTGGAGCCCTACCAGCATCATCTACAGCAACACGTAGACAGGTCTTTTTATAGGAATTGATATAAAAATTTACAATAAATTACTAAAGGATATACTGGAATTACCAAAAATGCCAAAAATGTATTAAGCTCGATTTATATGCAGAAATGTTTGAATTGAACCTACCTATATGTCGTAATTGTTTGAGTTATTTTATTACTGAGTTATATTATTATTTATTATTGAATTATATTCCTACAACTTATATAATTTCAATCTTATGCCTACCTATTGACGACCTCGGTGGTCTAGTGGTCTAGCACACCCCTTTACGACCGATGGTCGCGGGTTCGATTCCTCGCACGGCACAAACATTTGTATTCATGAGTATGATTGTTTGTATCGGTCTGGGTGTTTTCTTTGTATAATATGTATGTATTTACAAAAAAAAAAAAAATATCTATGTATTCGTATCAGTTACCTAGTACCCATAACACAAGCTTTAGCTAGCTTAACTTGGGTCTAGATGGCGCTGTGTGAATTGTCCTGAGATTATTATTATTATTATTAAGTCCATGATTTAAATAAAAACTAAGGGTTTTTATAATTTTTCTTGTATTTTTCTTTATAGAACTTAGAAAGAATTGTAGCTGTAATATTTATTAGATAATCGTAGGCCTCTCGACAAATATTACAGGTAAAAATAATACGCTGCGAACTCTTAACTTAGACCATTACAACATCGAAACTCGAGACGTGAGAGCAAAACCCAAGTCTCTATTGCGATGTGCTTAAAGTTGAAATTTGATCTAGGAATACATAACGAGTTTCTGATGTTCCATTTCGTCGTGTGTACAGTAAATTGGTGCCATTTGTTCCGGTTCGATCTCAAGAATACATTTGTGTTTACTGCACTCTGACTTATCATATTTTTTCCATTATATACATATGTGTATTTAGTTTGTGTACGTAATATTACTTTATATATGGTCTGTGCAGACTTTTTGGGTAGACATATTTTTTTTAATGGATAATAATGGTATATATTTTATTTTGATGCTTAAAGAATCCCGAATAGAATCCAGCTGACTACTTGTCAGCAGACAAATTGGGTGATGTTTATTTAGAGTTTATTAAGGACTTCCTATTGGTATCTATTGAGGAACAAGACGACTGAGCAGTATGGAGCAGTCTCACATCCCGTACGGCCATACAGAATGTTGGAGATGATTCTATAGTGACAAATCCTATCCTCGTCGCCACTATTATATTTAAATGCAAATATCAGGAATTACCAATTTCAGTGTTGAACATATTTATGTAACTACTAGCTGTACTCGCGACTTCATCCGCGTGGAATTTAACAAAAAAGTTAATTAGAGATTTTTTCTAAAATAAAAGTAGCCTAAGTTACTCCTCATTACATCAGATACCTGCTAATAAAAGTCCCGTCAAAATCGATCCAGCTATTTCAGAGATTAGCCGGAACAAACAGAAAGACTGACAAAAATTGTAAAAAATGTTATTTTGGGGTAGGTATGTACCGTATTTATATTCAGATGCATGTAGTAAAAAACGGTTATTTCAATATTACAAACAGACATTACAATTTTATTTATATATATATAGATTAATTAAAATAGAGCGAATAGTAGACAAATGTCAAAGGTGTGGTTATTATTACCATAATCAAACATAGAATCAGAATTGCCAGTAGAAATACAATATTGTACACCCACCCGCGTAAAAGGTATACGCATGCAGATCACCAATGGAGAATGATAGAATGAGCATGAAATCAAGTCAGGTTTTTTTATTACTTTCAATAAAATTGCTTGTTTTTTATACTGCTGTGGTGGCAAACAAGGCCACTATAACAGTAGAAAAAAACAAGCAATTGTTTGTATAAACACACTAGAAAACACCCAGACAGATACAATCATACCGTGAATATAAAAGTTGGTACCATGCGAGTTATCAAACCCGCGACCTTCGGAAATAAAGCAGTGTGCTAAACCACTGTACCACCGAGTTGCATCGTAATTGCGACCTATATAGCGATTTGTCTTGAGTGTAAAAGGGGGAAAACAAATAAAGAAAACTTCGGTTTGTTTAAAATTCTTCTCAGATAGATACACGTTGCATAACTGATACAAGATCAGTTATGCAATCGAATAAAACAATCGATAAATCATTAGCAAAATATATTATAATTTATTTCAATAAAAGACTTAACAATTTAATAAATTCATAACCAATCTAATCTCATGTCTCACTAGAGTTGCCAGCCGTACTGTTTTCACAGGACATGTCCTAGTTTTTGTAGTATCTGGGACGTCCTGAATAGTTTCTAAGCAGCGTCGTTGGTATTTAAATTTTGAAAATCAGTTCGGAATTTGAAAATAAAAATATATAAATTTTCATTCAGTTTATAAAAAATATAATATTTTAATTACTTGAATTTCATCTATTTCTATAAAATATTACTATAACAATTGCAACCCTATCACGGTATCTTGATTTTAAACTGAACTGTCCTGGTATTTCCAACTTCGAATATTTTTTTTATTTTATAGGTTGGCAACCCTCTCTTACACGCTAAAATATCACAGCGACAATGTGTGTGACATTTGAAACACGCAACTTGGAAACAATAAGCAACAGCGTATAATTGAACAGACGCGAATAAAAGACATATAAACATATTTGTCCTATAATTACAGTTCACTTTCCTTGATATATTTTTGTTTTCTACTATGAGTGAACCAAGGGATGTGGGGCATAACCCACCCCCCAAGAATATTATGCGTAATGGTACGTATTAACATTTTAAAAAACTACGTCACAGAATAAGAAATCTTTACATCCTGAAATTTATAAATTATCACTAACAAGTTATAAGAATCAACGTGCTAAGCAATTTAAATAAGAAAAAAAATTGAATAGATTTGAAGGAACAAATCACAATGATTGATGAGATGTACGGCAAGTGAAAATTAGAAATTAGGCCCTGTACAAAGCAATCTAAACATAATACTAATAGGCCTAGTTTATATATATTAATAATTCACACTTGTGGAGCCGGATCAATGTGCTCCCTCTAATACGGTTGAGTGCAATGATGGCCGGCTTATCCGTCATATTCCGGAACGGATGCTTGTGAGGACTGGTCTGTTCGGGTTACGAACACTAATTACACTATTTGCTTTTGACAAAATTGTAATAGCATAGGTGGTCACTCTATTCTCCCAAAATGGAATTTAAAAATAAATCTGTATTATTTTAGAGAATATTTGAAAATAATATTGAGTTTCTTGTAAGTTGTTCTCAATTTAGTCTGTATACTGAATTGGACGGTAGGGAATTAAATATTAATACAAAAACCTTTCAGTTCAAAAGCGACTAATGTCCTACTTGCATAAATTATTTTTGATCTGATTGAGTATACTCAAGCCAATGGAGTAAAATAAGATGGCAACACTCCGAAGCGAATCAGCGTGCAATTTAAAATGATAAAGGCACAATGCTTTTATATATATCTACTAATCTAATAACAGAATAAAATATGTCTTAACAACTATAGTAATAGTGATATTTTACCATCTTATTCGCGCTCTGTGGCAATACTGTATTAATTCTACATATATATCTTTAATATTAATGATTACAATTTTATTTTATACATAACTCCTATATATTTACAGTTATTTATATATTATATTCTTTAAAAAAATAATAAGATAAATCCCTTTTAATAAGTCTTAATGAAAGGACTTGAGAAATAAAACTAATGTCATGTTAACAATTTCGCGCTAAAAATACTATCAAATATTTGTTGTCAATGTCAAAAAATGTAGATTACGTCTTTCTATTCTTCGTCCTAAAAAAATAACACTGTAAAGCAATTTACATTTAATTTATATTCATTAAACATGGACAATAAAACCTGCGCAGTAGAATTTAAGTATTTTTTTTTAATAATTTAAATTTCTGAAATAGAGTAGCTTAAGTTACTCTTTAAAACATTAGATAACAGAGAGAAAGCTCCATTACCTCCAAAGTTTTAAATGTGGTATCTATAAACGTTAGAATTAGAAACTACAACCAAATTTGAAAAAAAATCTTTGGGTTTGAATCGCATTGAAGATATATAATCTCGCGACAACGACAGTTCCTAGAACTATGTCGAGTATTTTAAAAGATGACTTAGGACTTTACAAACGATTTTATATGTAAAATTGTTACTGCGCATGAAACATGATATTAATAGTGATAAAATTATTTACTAGCCTATAAGTTTCCTGTTAAAATTATCTCTAATAATAAGCAGATCGCAATAAACAAGTGTGTTCTCTAATGCGTGTACATCTCTAGTTGCGTGCCTCATAAGTCAATTTGCAGGTAGATCTCATGTTTAGTATGAATGGTCCATCTTGAGCAGGATAGAACGTGCTGACAGTGAGAACGTAGCGACCGGCCGGCAAGCTGGGCAGATCGAGAACCGCGAAGCCTGATCTATGGATGCAATAAGAAGAATTTACCTTTAATATTTACAAAAAAGACGTTTCAATGTATTTATGTCAATTGTTAGCCACAATACGAGCACTGCTTAGCTTGGGACTAGATGGCGCTGTGTGACTTGTCCAGAGATATTATTATATTATATTTGATCATAGACATCATAATATACAGCCAGATGCCTCTCATGCATACATCCATGTCTTTCTACACCGGACCAGAGCTCCATCCTCTACTCCAAGCACTGCTTACTGTGGGACTAGATGGCGCTGTGTTAATTGTCCAGGGTTATTTACATATTTATTTATTTATCCATTCTTACCTATAAGGTCCCGAAGACTCCTTCCTAAACGGCGCAGTGACTGTGGGATCGTTCAATGACTCAACTGTTGCATCGATCCCAATATTGTACTGCTTTGGACCCCTCAGTTCCACCACTACGCTGCTCGGAGTGACGCTGTCCGGTACGGTGATGATGAACTTGGGGTTATTCGGATATGTCTGCGGATGGTTCTCGGAGCCGCCAGCGGTACGACCTGACCATTCACCTTTTAACTATTTGGAATAAGAAAAAGACTGTCAAACCTTTGGTCTCGGCTGACTCTATGGTCACCGTGACCATAGACAATTTGAATTTATATTTTATTATTATTTCTTATGTATATTAGTCTATAATATGGGCCATATAGCCTGAATTAAATAAAATAATTACAAATGTCAGGGGGATGGAGATTGTTAATAATGTGGAGTAATTATCCCTAGCAATGTCAGGTTGCTACCATCCAACCTCCACGTGGATACCATCATGTCAATTCACAAGTGAATTTGCCTGAAAATACTAACACTGGTACATGTGTGGATGTGAGAGAGAGAGAGAGAGAGAGAGAGAGAGGGAGAGAGGGAGAGAGCTATTAATACGGGGACACTAGTATTTCACATTTTTTCATACTTTTTTTTATATTATAATTACTTTACGTATAAACAATACTCACAGTAGTCAGATGCGGATATGTCTCTAATTTAGTGAGTGCGAATGGACAGGTCGCGTATGCACGCAGCGAGTAATATATAGTGCGACTTTTCTCGTACTGAGACACAACGAGAGTGTAACGGTCGCAACCGCGCTCACCCACTATTATCTTGCACAAGTAATGAGGACTGTTGATAGGAATTCCATCGATGTACGGCGGCGGCTCTTCTGTATACAATAATAATAATCATATTAATATTAATAATGCGAAAGTTTGTGAGTATGGATTTATGATGGATGTTTGTTACTCTTTCAAGCCACAACTACTGAACGGATTTTGATGAAAATTTACAGGAACAAAATATACCAGTATAATAATATCTAGATGTGCCTTCGGTTTCGCCCACTGAACAATTCACACAGCACCATCTGGTCCCAAGTTAAGCAAAGCTTGTATTATGGGTACTAAACAAATTATATAAATATATAGATTTTTTGTAAGTACATAATATGCATATTAAAACAGCCAGGGCGATACAAACAATCATAGTAATAAATACAAATATTTGTACCGTGAGAGGAGTCAAACCATCGGAAGTAAAACGGTGTGCTAAACCGCTAGACCACCTTGGCCGTCGATATTAAACAAAACTAAAATAATATTAAAGTAATTTTAAAAATTCTATGTGTATGTACTAAGAGTGTCATATGATAACATTATGTCACAGGGGGAAAGGGATTGTTAGTAATGTGATACTCGACCCCATTGCTAGCAACGTACCATGTCAGGTTAACTTCCTGACCTGACCCCATAGTCATCTTATCATCATCCATTGGTGCCCCGCTAGCGGAAACTGTTAGCACAGGCGGGTCCACCATACCATTATCATCCATAGGAACATGATATCACAGTGCTGTTCGTGTATAAAGGCGATAGTTACCACTTACCATCAGTCGACAGCTTGTTTGCTATTCAAATGACTTTTTTGTAAAATTAATATGACTTGGGACTTGCGTGCCTCGATAGAGGCCTAGGTCCAAGAGTGGAATGATGATGATGATGATGATGATGATGATAACGATGATGATGGTGGTGATGATAATAATGAATAAGACTTACGCCTGTAATAAACTCTCCTCCCGTTATTCTTATAGACTAGTAACGTTATATATTCCTTGTTGTCCTTAAAATCATCTATCTGCGTGATATGCCGAGTGAGTAGCAACCATACCGCGCCTTTGCCTTGCACGTGTAACGAGAACTGAGGATTCTCCCCTACTGTGTACATATCCTTAGACGGACCGCTGCCTGCATCCCATTTTCTATAAAAAAAACACCATTATATACTATCCCTTACTTAAGTTTATATACATGCGAACAAGTTTGTTATGAATTCTGTAAAATAGTCTTTTTGTGATGCTAATTCTTATAGTGATGGGTATAGCATGGCAAATTCTAGTCTATTCTCCAGTTTCAAGCTAAGTAGAGCTTATGTTACGGTTACTAGACAACTGATATAAATACACAGATACTTTTTCTCATATATATATACCTAATGTACATAGAAAACACCTAGACTAATACAAACATTCATACTCATAAATACAAATGTTTGCACCGTTTGAGGAATTTCGACCATCGGATACAAAGATGCTAAACTGCTAGATCACCGAGGCCGTCAAAGAAAAATAGAGATATTTAATTCTCCACCTAGATAAATAGATCGTATATATAGTTTTTTTTTATTATTATTACGCTCTTACTTTCCACAGACCATTAAATCCATGCGTTTACTTTTAGAATCTTTTATTTATTATTTTGTATATATTTTTATAACAAACTTACTGATGTATACAGTATGTGAATTTAAACAGCTCCGGATTCCAGTTCAGATAGAAAACGTCGAAGAACTTCAGTATACTGGCATAATCGATCCAGAACACGCCGTTGTCGTACTGCGCCGCGCTGTCCGGGTCGTAGTTGAGGAAACCCCGAAGACTTGGAGTCCAGTGCAACGTGTCTAATTCTGAATAGTTCCCCCGCCAGCGTAGATGTGACCACGGGTTCTTTAGCTTTAGGAGTTTTACACCCTGAATAAAAGAAAAAAAAACTTAAGAAAACATGTTATAGAGCCATCTATTGGCAAAAGGTTATGGCCTATAAATGCTTAAAATATCAAGGATGTCACTTTTAATAAACCTTAATATGCCCTTTTTGAAAACCCCTATGCTGTAGTCTAATGGTAAGCGTAACTACGTATACCCCGAGGAGTACGCATGCACCGTGAGTGTAGCTCACATGTTTTCACAATTGTGTAGGGCAAAATAGTTCGTCTTAACAAGGGATGGGGCCTGTCCTACACCATTTATAGGGCGGGCCAACGCCGCCGGAACGCTAACGCAACCTAGCGGCTCCAGAAATAGCGCTCGTAGGTATACCGTGAGGTTCTTTCTGGGTAAGAATACCAAATACTCCCTCGTCACTCACTGGCGAGATGACGGCTTTTTGAAGATTTTTCACACGATTAAAAAAAAGGCGTTCATATATCGTACATGATCGAATAAAAGTTGCGGATTGTAATGGATACTAGTGACGCCATAACTAGCAATGTAATACAACATATTATACTTCCTGTAAACGATCGTCGTTAATTTCCTGTGAAACGAAGCGCCAACTAAACTGTTTAAAAACTTAAAAATGCCGCCGGAATTCCAGATGAATTAGTACATTATTATTATTATTAAATTTTAAAATGGTCCTTCGAGCCGGATGAACGTGGTACACTGACCTCTGCGATCCTGACGTCTAGTACGGCGTATGCGTGCGTGGCGACCAGCCCGGTGCGGTCTGCCTCCGAGTCTGCGAGCGCGCCGGTGGCGACGGTGGCCAGCACGTCGCCCGACGACAGCCGGCTGCGGATCTTCTCGTACAGCGCGTCGCTATTGAAGTCCGGCTCGTCCGGCCGGATCGCGCACCGTTCCGGTATCCAGCCGGTTAGAGCGTGCAGATCTATGTTCTGATAGATATTGTTTTTAATTACATGTTATTCTTGTGAAAGTCCAAATGACTATACTCAATTGGAATTGTTAGTTTTTCTGCTAGAAACATTCAGTTTGGAGATCGATTCTTATATCTTAGTTATCTTAGATTCTTAATAAAAAATAATGATAATTTGAAATGAAATTATTGAATAATTAGTCTCAGGAATCGGTAGTTCGAATTGAGTAATTCTTTTAGTGATATAGAGATATATCAATGAAGATTATTTCTATTTCTAATAATGACCACTCACACTGTTCGATCCTGGAAAGTCGTATCCGCCCATAACCTTCATGTACGCCTTCTCTAGCATCGAGATCCAGAACTCGTTCTTGTTGCTCGAATAAGAGCACAAGAGCCGCCCATACTTGCTGTACGGTAACCTGTCGTCTATTATCACCTGCAAATTATATGCTGTGTAAGCTATATTCCAAAGCTATAAACTAAATGTACACTTTGTAGAAATTTGTATTAAATATGAAAATTCTGTAAAAAGAAAAAATCTACCCTCTGCATTGTTTATAGTGATACAATACACATATAGAAGAATCAAAGAATTTTTTACTGTTTTTATTCTGAGCAAATTAGCATTGATTATAATTGTAGTTTGACGACTTATAGAACTTTTAAACTATAGTGTGTATATCTATATTCCCTTCGAATGTATAAAAGTTACCTGTTACATCTCTAGAGCATCTGCAGTGCTACATCTGAACTTTTGTTGGTCTAGAACGTCTAGACATAAATGTATAAAGAAATAATTAACAAAAAATATCAAAAAGAATACTAACCTTTCTTCTTACGCCATTAAGGTGCAACTTCACCATATATTTCCCAAATGGATTGTATACAGGCTGTTTATTTTTGTTCCTTGGATATATGATATTGGATATGATTTTCTTGTTGAACCTCCGCTCGTATAAGGCACTGACGGCGAGTGAGGCCACAAACGAGCAATCTGATACTATCTGAAAAACACACAAGGTCAAGAACCAAACAAAATAAGACGCTTTTACTGAACTAGAGTTCACAGAAAGTCATCCGTCAAGAATAGAATAGAATAGAAAATCATTTATTCCAATTAACTTACATTGAAACACTTTTGAATAGTCATAACTTTTTTTTTAATCAACCGCTTATTCGGAAAGCTGTCTCATCACAAGAAGAAACTTGCGTGTTGCTCTTGTAAATATTTTTATTCTTACTTTACATTTTTAAATTTAAGTGTGTGAATACAAACTACCAATTAACACTAATTCAATTAAATACTCAAATAGAAAAAATATTAAGTATACAACCAACTGGTTAAACAATTAATAAGAGGAAATCAACTATAGTAACCATAGACCAGTCCTCGTACGGACTGGTCTGCTCTAATTGCAAGTCTTGAATAACATCGATACATCGTCATACAATATAAAAAGAAATGTAATCCAAAACAATTGGTTTTGGATTCGTATTTGATGAACTAAAGAAAAATCATTCAACACGCAAAATTATATGAAATTAAATATGCCAGGGGGATGCATTGATAGCTTTCTAATATGCCACTATAAAAAAAATTACTGACAGTTTGTTTAATACTGAAACAGTCCAGATAGTCGCCGACAATCAGTTTCGGGTCCGCACATATCTCGTGTGGGCGTACCCAACTGTCGAACTCGCGCTCCTGTTTTATAGATAACTTCAGTTCACTCGCGCGGTCCTCAAACGGTATAGCATATTGAAACCTAAATAAAAATAAATAGAGTCCATTAATAACTTAAAAAAAAATTCTATTCGATGGCATCGGTGATTTAGCGGTTTAGCACGCCGCTTTACCAAGATGGTTGCGGATTCGTTTCTTCGCACGATACTCAAAATTGTGTTCATGATGTATGAAGATTTGTATTGGTCTGGATACTTTGTGTGTAGATTGTGTATAACAAAAGAAATAGATTTCTTTTAATGCACAATCCATCCACATTTGTATAGGTGTTTTCTATGTATCATCATTACATAGTATAAAACAAAGACCCTGTCACTGTCTGTCCGTCCCTATGTATGCTTAATTCTTTCAAACTACACAACGGATTATGAAGCGCTTTTGATGCGAGGCGAGTGATTCAAGAGGAAGGTTTATATGTATAATACATGTACACGCGGGCGAAACCGGGGCGACTAACTAGAATTATATATTTACAAAAAAAATGTATCTAAGTATTCTATTAGTTGTCTGGTATCCATAACACAAGTTAGTAATGTTAGATATTATAAATAACTTATAGACTAACATATGTAATAATAACATAAACAAATAAAAAACGTCTCTGTGGTCACGGCACTGACGACGGCGATCTGCCACGGTAGCGCCGATACACTGACCTCTTCAGCCAGTAATCCTCCTTTATGAAGGTCGTCAGCATGGTGGCGGGGACCCGTATCACAAACGACTTGAAACTCGCATTGTGACTCGACTCCAGCTGTATCACCCTCAATGTGAGAATACTCCAGTAACCTATGTAGTCGACATTGTCCTGCTCCTTGGTGACGTTGATGAAAAGCTACATTTAATACAAATGAACAAACCTCTCTGACAAATCTACATCCATGAATGGTAAAAAGCAATTGTTGTTAATTTTTGAAGTGTCGCGGAGCACTTCTTTCTCTTCCAATGTATATGTGTATTTGCCGCTGACTTTCAACTGTGATACACTTTGCTCCCTTTGTAAATTTACTTTACTTGGTGACAAAGCTGTAAAAAATAATGAGAACCCTACTAATAATTGTTTGTTATCCTCAGGTGTTGTGCTGTCCTCAATTATAACATTCCGAACCTGAACGAAATTGTCAAACTTTACTGAGCAAACTGAAATAAGCCACAGCTACAAATTACCCTGTGTCTCTCAAACCCTTGGCATCACTGAACAAAATTGCTGATGGCTACTTAAAATAAAGAACATTTATTTAACAAAATCTAAAGTTATTCTTTAGTATCGTTTAGCTCATTTATTTCTGTTATGTAGCATAGGGAACAAACGAGCTTGCGGCTCACCTGATGGTAAGTGGCTACCGCCGCCCAAGGGGATCCACAACACCAGAAAAATTACAAGTGCGTTAGCGGTGTTCTAAGAAACAATAAGCTCTTCTCTTGAAGGTTTCAATATTGTATCGGTTCGGTGCCATTAAACCGCTTGTTTTGTAAGCTATTTTTTTATTACGGTTGAAACATGGCAGTGAAATTACTGGATATGGAAACCATTGTCATAAATTCTGGGGTGAATATGTAATGATGGGACAACTGACCTCACCTCATGCTCATCTTATCATCTTCCACTGGTGCCCCGCCAGGGTGAATCGTTAGTGCAGGCTGGTGCACCATTCACAAGGAAATATTTAGAAGAAGTGTTTTTATGTTTCATTCAATCTACAGGTAATCTTGCTTACCTGGTTTCTTTTGCTCATTTAAAGAGAGATTACTGAACTTAATGCCCTTCAATTCCTCAGCCCTACTTAAAGCTTGTCTTGCTAATGAATTTAATTCTTCCTTTTTCTCACTGTCAGTCATTTTCTGTAAAATAAAATTATTTGAAACTTAATAAACATTTAATAGCATAACAATTTCTATGACATTCTGATTTACTTGTATGTTTATGTTAATATATCTGTATTAGTACTCAATGGCCTCGGTGGTCCAATGGTTTAGCACAATGCCTTACTTCAGAAGGTTGCGGGTTTGATTCCTCATAGCACAAACATTTATATTCATGAGTATGATTGTCTGTATGGTCTGGTTTACTAGGTATACTTTGTATGTATTTGCAAAAAAAAGTCTTATGTATTTGTATCAGTTATCCCATATATAAGCTTTAGTTAACTTGAGTCTAGATGGCGCTGTGTGAATTGTCCTGAGATTATTATTATTGGTGCAGTATTAGTTACAGTGAATTGAGATTGATTATGTAAATAGAAAAATATATACTCACAATAGACATAATCATTTCCACAGCTTTTGTGTACCACTGCAGTGCAAATTCTTTATTATTGGCCTCATCCGCGTCCAGTGCCTGCTGCATCAGGAAATAGCATTGCTGCATCACCCTGTCACTCTCTTCTTGGTGTGACCTATCTATGCCATATAAACAAAATAAACATTAATCTCCTTACTTAAAATAACTATTTGCACATGTGTTACCCACTCACTATGCCAATAGCTATGCCTCATTGTTGGGTTGACTGGTAGAGATCTCTTTTAAAGATAAGTCCACCCTTGCTCACTTTGTATATAATTAAGTTTAATACAGTATTTAGGTTTTAGGTTTTAGATATTTATTCTCATTAAGAATTACAAATAATTCACTTAACATGAGAACTAAAAGCATAAACTTATACAAAATTAAATATTAGTGGAAATACAAAAGAAGGTATATATAATGCAGACTGTGCAGTAACAAAGTCTAAGCAGCAACTACCCGCATAAATGATAACATTTATTGGTTGCTTACCACGCATAGATGGCCTCAGCCGTACTGGGTTCTCATGTACACAGATGTATCATGCTAGACGTGTATATCCTGATAAATTCTTGGTGAATTTGTCATGATGGCCTAACTAACCTGACCTTATACTCTCTCTTATCCTCCACTCCACAGGTGAGTGCATCATTCCATTATCATCTAATTAAAAAAACATGTTAGTATAGGGCAGCCTTCATCCTCCAAATTGGCAACTCACAAGGGGGACTACAGGGCATCGCAGGATAAAGTAATGTCTATGTCACACTTTATATATATATGGCAATAGGTTTGCATTTACCACCAGATAGATTATCAGCTTCTTTGCAATTTAAGTACACTAAAAATAGTCAAGCAACAACTATTATAATACACATAATTTATTTGTTATTATTTTTAATAATTAATATACATAAATTAATTTCATACATATTATTATTTGTATCATTCCAAATACACTCTACCGAGTCTGCCTTTTAAATAGTACATTTAAGCTATCACTTCTTAGAACAAGGCGTGAAAACCAATGAGTCATGTCAATCCATTTTTGTTTACATTGACATATAATGTAAATATTTATAAAAACCTTTCTGTTCCTGCAAAGCAGTCGCTCTTTCAAGATACTCCCGCACTTTGTCAGCAAAGCTACGCCTGTTTTCTGGTGGTACGATGTCTCTTGCGAGAGCTCTATCCAGAAAACGAGCTGCTCTTCGGTAGCATTCTACAGCTTTCTCCGTCTCCTTCATTTGATCAAAACGGACAGCGAGAGACGCCGCCTCAGTGGCATTTGCAACATCATTCATTGTAGCAGATTTAAGTCATCGCCAGTACAGGAACAAATAAAATAAAAATAAATAATTTAAGTAATTCAAACGAAAATTGGATAAATATACTAATAAGATCACAGAGTACCTAGTTTAATTTGAATTTAATCATAGGTCATAAAGGTGTATCTGATGTATAGAATGACAGTTTGATTGACGGCAATATATTATTTTTTTTACTATTTCCTTGAAATTATATTTTAAGTTCATGTACACTTTCTGTTCATTCGATCAGTCAATCGTTTCACAAATGTCAAAACGAACAGTCAAAGTCAAGCAAATCAGCTTGTCTACGATGTCTTCGAATAGACTCTGTCTTCTTTGATTTCGATTTCCATTTTCATTGATTCCACTTAGTTTTCTATAACAGATTATAGAGTTTACGATTTATGTAATTTTTTTGTTTATCAATATACACAATTTAACATTAAAGGCATTTTTTACAAATTCAATATGAGTGCGGATGGATTATTAGCTGCTAGCAACGAGATCCGGGAAAATTTGGTAAGTTCCCATACATTTATTAAACTGTTTTTACAACAATGTTTTTATTGCCTGTACGTTTATTAAAAACAAACCATGTTTTTTAGTAGATAAATATTATAAGCTGTTTTGAATTTCTGTATTTTGATTTGTAAATTGACCTTCGATCTTGTACCCAAACGTATTATCTTTATTCTTTGTACCTAATTCAATAGCTTATTATGTCTATTAGTTATGACTGTAATCTATAACAGTAGGTAGGTATTATAATGATGTCTGTACCAGATAATTAGTTCAATGTAAATAAGGCTTCTTAGATGATTAAAAAATTATATATTTAGCAGATAATTCTGAAATCATAAAAAAAACTTAAAACAAGTATTACTAACTACTGTATGTATTTGGTAAATAGTCTTTACATGTCTTTAATGATACTGTACTTCTATAAATCTATGTAAGTGACTACTTTTACTATTAGATGCTTATTTTTTTTCATAGTTTTTAATTTATTTTTTTACTTAGGCAGTCCTAACCCTTTCTGTCCTGAATGATACAGTATAAAACAAAAGCAAATTCTATTTAAACTAACATGACATAATAGTAGGTAGCCAAGCCAGCGGATTCAAAATTGATTTAACAATTAATATCTCATTTATTAACCTAACTTTTTGAAATAAAAAGGAATCATCAAAATTAACAGCATCTAGAAAAGAATCTAAGATTGCTAACAAAATAAATAGGAATAGGGTTGATTGAGAAGCTTCACTTTTATCGAAGTGGGTTGATAACTTAGCATTTCCTGTCTGTGTCACAACATCAAGTAGACAATTTTCAATTATATGAATATTTATATGTACATATATATTTATTATATCATTACATAGTATATAATAAAGTCACTGTCACTGTGTCTCTGTCTCTATATATGCTGAAATATTTAAAACTACGTAATGGATTTTGAAATAGTTTTTTTAATAGATAGCATGATTCTAGAGGAAGGTTTATATATATAATACATGTACACCCATGTGACGCCGGGGTAAGTAGCTAGTTATTATAATTAAATATTGTACCAGAAATACAAAAAATTAATTAGTGTAATAAGGTATAAAAGGCAGTTTATCACATAAGCAATGTCATCCAGAAAACCTTTAAGGTAGATGAGAAAAAACAGAAAGTGTATTTATTTTTAACAACACACTCAAGTTGCTTAAGAATTGTTATTGTTAAACTCAACAATAACATTTTAGCTCTTGCTCTAACATTTTACATGAGTTTTAGATAATGTTTATTTATTTTACACAAATAATACAACCTTTGCACCTAACATGTTGAAACCTCAGAGTTCATAGCTACATGCAACACAACTTTTACTGATATAGCTTTTGCCTGCTGATTTACTTGCAAATATATACCACCATGCCACATCATGACAAATTGTTAACTTTTAGATGAAAAAAAAATTAATTAATATAATTAAACTAACAAACACATTAACTGCGAAATAAATGTATAAATTTGTAAACTTAAAAGTTAACAGTAATAACTATCTTTATTATTATATATATATCTCCCTTTTTATGGGGGTATAATACCTTCAAACACGCAGGCCATGCGTGGTTGAGTTATATAATGATTTTTAATGGATCTTAATGGAATGGAGCACCCACCGGCGGTATCAGTATACACTGGCGGGGCACCATTGGAGGATGAGAAGATGAGTATGAGGTCAGGTCATCGTCGTGACTGCCCCAATAGTGTAGCGGTTTAAAACACCACCAGTGTACTTCTATTGGTCGCGGTTTCAATTGCTCTTACGGTACAAACATTTATATTCATGACTATGATAGTTTGTATCCATCTAGATGTTTTCTACGTATATTATGTATGTAGTTGCAAAAAAAAATCTACCAGCTTGAAATTTTAAACCCTGCTTAGCTTGGGACTAGATGGCGCTGTGTGAAGTGCCCTGGGTTATTATTATATTACATTAAACCTCTTGTGATGTTACGTGATTTTTTCGAATCCCCTCTCCCCTCTATTTAAATCCGATTAGTAGATGACCCTGTACACGACGATTGCCATTTATCACAAGGATTGTTATTGGCTTGTTTACAATTATAGTAACAAAAAAAGGTGCATATGTAGGAATTCGTAGCAAAATCAATCGTAACAAGCGTGGTAACTAGGTTACAGAGGTATGAAGTACATATGAGGTGAATGTGACTATAATGTATGCAATACTAACGTCAACTATAACAATAGCCCGTGTTAATAGCGAGTGACAATTACTTAATCCAAATTAATATTGTATATTCTAAATTCTCTTCTATCGGTCTAAATTTAATGTGAAGATAGATTGTATCACAATACTGAACATTGGTTATAGCTCTCAAAAGCAGACGAAGTCAGTCATAAAATAAATTGAAGTTCAAATTTTGGTTATGCACTGCCAACATGAATCCCAATGCGTAGGCAGACCAATTGCCAGATGGTCTGATGATGTGAGGAAGACGGCAGGACCGTCCTGGACAAGACACGCCACAGACAGACTGAAGTGCAAACTTATGCAAGAGGCATACGTCCACCAGTGGACAAATATATGTTGAAAGAAGAAGAAGAAGAACTTGAATCCCTGTTTACTCTATGGTTGACTGGGAGAAAATGTCTCAGTGTCAGTCCGCTGTCTGCATGAGCTAGCGTCGCACATTATTTCGTAACACTAACATTTAATTTTACATTTCATATTTCACCAAAAGTCAGTTGGCATTGGTCATCAAGAGCGCCGCGTGTTGGGTACACGGTTTTAATTAATCAGTTAAAAAAATAATAACTTTTATTAAGCCACAATCATATACAGGTATTAATTCATTTTCATAAATAATTTGTTGTGATTGTATGAGCCTGGGAACTAAACTAGGCAAGAGGCCTATCTCTCAGTACATTTTAAGTTTTAATATACAGTTTTAATTAAGTGTCTATCATTATCGTTTATCAGATTTATCTATAAGAATCTTTATAGTTTCGGTACAACCCGAAAAGCACCTTTATTTATGTATTTGTGCATTGAAGTTTGAATGAATAAATAAAAAAATCCATAAAGTATTTTCCAAGAAAAATATATTTTTTTAAGCGACCAAAGATGTTATTTTTACAATTATTATCACCTATATTTGAGATATATAATGTTTACTCACCGATTGGCACGGCATGCGTAAATTTATTCAGAAGTTTTATTTATTTAATTTTCGTTTAACATATCGTCATTTCCCTTTATACCAATATGTGCAAGAAAGACAAGCTTTGACCAACGATCCACGTAAAGCCAAAGTCGACTGATGGAAGTCAAGCCATCCCGCTCCTTTGAACTTCAGTCAACCAGCCGAACACTTGTCCCCAGATAGCGACCTGCAATGGCCCACTTGGAAATCGCTTAATAGACTGCGAACCTAGATGGGCCGCTGCAGGTACTACTTGCTAAAATGGGGTGTCGCTTCAAGGGAGTCTGGCGACTACGAAGCGCCATCCCAGACTATGACCCACCTATTGTCCTGTCCTTTATGCCCATCATCCTGCACAGCTAAAAAATGCAACAGAATGCGCAAAAGTAGTCGCAACATTCTGGGGAAATTACATTTAGTTGCCATTGAAACGAAAGAAGAGGAACCCTTACATTGCAAATTCACAAAATTGTTACGCAGACAGACACGACTCTGAGCGAGTATATTAAAGACTATCGAAACTTTCTGTATCCAAAGGCGCATGGAGCCAATTCTTCAATTGCACTCTTACTATAAGAACAGATTATAATTTTGTGCAATTCAAACCTGCAGCGTATGCTTCGTAATGCTTCCAAAATTCCAATGAATTCAAGTGTCATAATACACACATTAGTTTCAATTCTAGAACGTTCAAATAGGTCCATGTTGATCAAAAAATCCTGCTCCTTGCCCCTCACCACTTTTTATTGTGAAACGTTGATTTTTTAGTTTTGCTTGCTGCTGCCGCCACGGGCTGTTCGTATAATCCTCGTTTTGTTCGAGTCACTGTTCATAGGCCGTCATCTTGTGCCCCACTACACTCGAAAAACCAAAAGTGACAACTTAAGGAGAAAATATTGACTATTTAGAAGCATTTTTTATCCAAAATACCTATATTTTACTGTACAAAATAGAATACTTGTCAATTGTTTGTCTAACTAAAGCTTTAAAAAATTTACATACTTATGCTAATCGTTTGGTTAAGAGTTTACACGTGTCAAAGGGTAATGTTTCATTTATTACCGTTACCAACTATATAATAGAATGACAATTTCACAGTTCATTTAACTTGTTAGTACAAGTTGATGTGACAATGCCATTTTCAGATGTTATACTATAGGAAATTTTCACTTTTGCGTAGCAGAAATCTCTTTCCATATCTTCTACACTTTCATATCCTGGAGCTAGAAGACCTGCGGTAGTTCTAGGATGGAGATGAGTACGTGACAGCATCAGGCTTAGCACTGTTTGCAAATATACTTGGCGAAAAAAGGAACATCTACAACCTGATGATTAACACAAAATATTAAGTGAAGGTTATCAAGATACAAACGGCTTAACTGATTCGGGTGCAGTTGTCACTAACGGCCGCACCCAAATCAGTTAAGTTTCTGAGACTAGATACACAAACACATAGATTAGGGATAAAAATTCTAAGAATCATTATTTTAGGTTCTAATATTTTGATGAAATCTTCCAATAATAAGTTTTTGTCATTTATCTTCCATGTACAGACATCAATCAGTTGTTCTTGACAAATAGCAATTTACCACGATGGTTTCTAGTGGTAACCGCGTAAAGGTCAACTTGACTTGATACTTTGCTAGCAGTATCTTTAGTAATGTGGACTAAATCACTAACAATCATCTTTCCCCATCTATGTATACATATATTTACAAAAAATGTATTTATGTATTTTTAATCAGTTGTCTAATATCCATAACACAAGCTCTGCTTAGTTTGGGACTAGATGGCGCTGCGTGAATTGCCTGGGACTGGATGTGTGAATTGTCAAAGGTTATTATTATCTAATATATAAAATTCTCATGTCACAGGTGTCGTGTTTATGCTCTGAAATTGCTTGACCGATTTTGATGAAATTTTATATGTATATTCAGTAGTATGTATCTGTGGTATGTATATCTGAGAATAGGTTTATAACTAATTTTTATACCCCCAAGTGTTAAGGGTAGCTCACCTCATAAAAAAATGTTTTTTTTTTCTATTATGTGGCATTAAAAAATACATACAGACTAAAATTTTCACCCTACCACCAACCCCTATTTTAAATAGCAATATTTTTATATGGCAATATAAGTTTGCCGGGACAGCTAGTTATTGTTATAATAACTTCAATATTAATGAACAACAGATGTACTATCGCGAATTGCAGATAAACACCGCTGTAAAATTCCTCACGAACCCCAACGTGCAGCGATGTACCATGGAAAGTAAAGAGAGGTTCCTCCGCAACAAAGGTCTGAACGACGCAGAAATCCAGAAAGCCATTGAGAAAGTCGGCGAGATGATAGACTTTGCACCGGTTTCATCAGAGTTTGTGTTCTATCGACACTCTAGAACGTCCTGGTTCAGAGACAATGTGCTACCCCTAATTATCTATGGAGGTTTTGCCTATGGATGCTACTGGTTTTACAAGGTCAGTTTTGTTATTCCATATTTAAATATGTTTTTAGTCAAGTATGAAGAACGAACCCGTTACAAAGTCATTCGTCAGAGAACTAATCACCGACATAACTCAACCATGATGTTACATCCCCTCGTGATTATATGAGATTCGGAATTATACGTAATACATGTACATGGAGATTTCGCTATAAGACAGGGGTACCCCCACAAAATATCACATGGGAGTTTTGGGATATTACATAGTGTTTCTAGACGTTACATGGGAGTTCCGCGGCATTACATAAGGGTTTCGAGAGATTACAAGGAAGTTTAAAGAGAATATGAATGATTTGAGGTAGTAATGGTTATGGTCTGTGAATTAGTCCAATTTGACTTGGGTTGAATTTCTTCTTAAAGTACCGACAACGCACTTGCAACTCCCGTTGTTGCGGGTGTGCATGGATGGCGATAATCACATACCATCAGGTGAGCTATAGGCTAGCTTGTCCCCTATAAAAAACAGTACACTGAAACAAGTCGTCTCCGTGGATACCTCAGTATCATCTATTGCAGCTGCCAACCAGCCTTCTTTAGAAGCTGTTTTTTAGTTACACAAATTAGGCAGTGAAATTACAGGGTAAGACAACTTAGTCCTTTGGTATGGCAATATCAGATGAGCCGTAGGCTGGCTTGTCCTCTACATTATCAAAAACAGTACACTGAAACAAGTCGTCTCCGTGGATACCTCAGTATCATCTATTGCAGCTGCCAACCAGCTTTCTTTATAAGCTGTTTTTTAGTTAGGCAAATTAGGCAGTGAAATTACAAGGTAAGACAACTTAGCCCTCTGATATGGGAATGTATGAATGGCATCACGGGTATCATATGATAATGTGATGTTACACTTAACATCAGACGGACGTCACCGTGTTTGTCATTCATATTACATATATGGGTAATATTTATTTTTCATTAGCGCAGCGAAATTACAGGGTACAATTAGTTCTCTGAAATGGCAACGCATGAGTGGTATCACCGGTATCACTTGATAACGTGATGTTAGATAGACTGTCAACTTATTTGCCATTCAAATTACATATATGGATAATTAAACATGTTTTTTTTATTATCCGCCATTTTTATAATAAGTTTTACAGTACAGCAAGTATAATTATTATACATTTTACAGAACTGCATCCGACATATGCTGTTTGTTGAAGAACCTAAAAGAAAATCAACCGAGGAATGTATTGATGAGCTTCGGAAATCCTTGGATGTGCTTAACTCTAATGTAACGTCACTGCGCGGGGAGATACAGACGTCAGTTCAACAGAATGTTATACGATCACAACTCGACAATATCAAGTCTGATATATCGTCTGTTAAAGGAATACTACTAAATAGGTAGTCTTTATTTGCTTCGTTTTGCTAGATGTTTGTTTTTTATGGTTGACTAGCTGTCCCCGCGACTTCGTCCGCATGGAATTTAACATTATTTTTCTAAAATAAAAGTAGTCTAAGTTACTCCTAAATACATCAGCTACCTGCCAAAAAGTCTCGTCAAAATCGATCCCGCCATTTCAGAGATTAGCCGGTACAAACAGACAGACAGACAGATATACAGACAAAAATGTAAAAAATGACATTTTGGTGTATGTACCGTATTTATATTCATATGCATGTAGTAAAAAATGGTTATTTGAATATTACAAGCAGACACTCCAATTTTATTTATATGTATAGATAATGGAATGGTGCACCCGCCAGTGCTAACGGTATACGGTGGCGGGACATCAATGGATGATGATAAGTAATAATAATCTTATTAATATTATAATTGTCAAAGTTTGTAAGTATGGATAGATGTTTATTACTCTTTCACGCAAAAATCATTGTACCGATTTTAATATAGCTTATACATCAGAATAACACATAGACTATACTTTAAAAATATATTTTTAAATTGAGCGTAATATAACGATAAATGCCAAGTAAGAGTGTCGTAGACGAAGTCGCGGATCAACTAATAATAAATAAACAACTCTGAAGAATTTACACAGCGCCATCTTGTCACACGGTAAACAGAGCTTGTGGTATGGATAATAGGCAACTGTTATAAATACTTAGATTTAATTTTATAAATACATACGTAATATACATAGAAAACACCAAGACTAAAATGTCCTACATGAATAAATGATTTTAGAATTTTTAATATATCTTTACCCATCAAAATTCATTAGTAGCCGTCTTGAAAATTAAACAAATAAACAAAGAGGTAGACATTTATGCATTTAATATTGCCGGCCTCGGTAGTCTAGAGGTTTAGCACCCTGCTTTACTGCCGATGGTCGCGGTTTCTATTCCTCTCACGGCACAAACATTTGTTTCAAATTTGTATCAGTATCTAGTACCCATAACACAAGCTTTAGATAGATTAACTTGGGTCTAGATAAAAGTGTAGATTCGTGGAATCGAGATGTAGTTTTATATGAATAATGACTGAATGATGCTCTCTCACTTGTCATCACTTTAATTTCATCATCAAAAAATATACGTAGTTTGAAAACCCGTTCCCAATATACTTAAGTCAAATACCAAAGTTTCTAATTAACATAGCAAAAACTACTCTAGTCTAAAGAGTCGTTTAGTATTTGTCATTTTAATATTATCATATTATGTCATGGCCTCTCGAAATAATGAGCTAATAACGATAAAATTGTTTTGCGCACAAATCCACAATTTATCATTGCGCAGTTCATAAATACATAATTGATTATATAACTGATAATTATAATTAACACAAAAGGTGAAATTTAATTAGTCAAAGTCAGTTTATAATAAAGTTCAATGCCTTATGTAAATAAAAAGAAAGTTAATTTTTTATTTATTTCATTCAAGCTAATAAGGGCCCATATTCTAAATACCTTACAGACTAACATACATATGAATGATATTATAATTAACTATCTACTCGCTCCGACTTCGCATGAGTGTACATGTATTATATATATAAACTTTCCTCTTGAATCACACTATCTATTAAAATCGCTTCAAAATCCGTTGCGTAGTTTTAAAGATTTAAGCATACATATATGACAATATACGTATGCATAAGCATACATACAGACAGCGACAGCGACTTTGTTTTATACTATGTAAAGATATAAAATATGAATATATATTGTTTGTGTGATCGTGGCACTGACGACGGCAATCTGCCACGGTAGCGCCGATACACCTTTTGGCCAATAGTCCTCCTTCATGAAGGTGCTCAGCATGTTGGTGGGGACTCAGGCCACAAACGTATTGAAACTCGCTTTATAACTCGAGTCCAGCTGCGTCACCCTCAATGTCAGGTTAATCTTAGTTTTTTAGTTGTGAAAAGTGAATAAACAGACAGACAGACACACTTTCATATTTATAATAGCCGTTTTTATTAATAAGTGGGTAGGTAGGTTTTTTTTAACGACAGTAACTTTGTGTCAATCAAGGGCCTGAGAATTAGTCAGGAATTTTGTAAATCCCCTGTTGTGAGTGCTCATGGGCGGTAATCACTTAGCATCAGGTTAGCCGTAAGCTCGATTGTTCCCCATGCTAAAAAAGAATAAGTGAATGATGTCGATAAGTTCGTTGAAATATTTTTTACGACACGTAAAGAAAAAGAATCCTCCTTATCTATTAATTTGACGGTCTCGGTGATCTAGCGGTTTAGCACATCCCTTTGCTTCCGATAGTCGCGGGTTTGATTCCTCGCATGGTACAAATATTTGTATTCATGAGTATGGTTGTATATTTTTACAAAAAAAAATATCTAAGAATTTATATCAGTTATCTAATACGTATAGCATAGCACAAACTCTGCTTATCTTTGGACTAGATGGCGCTGTATGAATTATTCAGGGATATGTTAATATTACTAGGTTAGTTACCGCTGTGTTGTTTACACGCCAGGTTACATTTTCGGAATTGGAATTCGGATCGGAATTTTTTTAATGGTAAACGATGGAGACCCGAAAGTCTTCCATGAAATTTTGGTCTCGATCGGTCAAGCCGTTTCGGAAGAGTATTGTTACAAAAAGTGCAAATCTGATCTCTAAGATTGATCTCAATTAATGTTATAACATTGTAGGAATCAATTCTCAACCCTCAAAGCCCGGTCCGACCCGCCATCAATTCCGAACTGGCAGCGACAGTCTGCTGAGGCGACATCCACGGAGGCCGTCGTTGAAGAGAAGAAGAAACCACACAGGAGCCGAAGCCACCGGTCTGAGTCGGGCGGATCCAACTCCAGTGAGGGAGAACAAGCCACCAAGAATAGTGATAGCAGTTTAGAGATCATGTGAGTACAGATAAATGCATAATCTTAATACGTGAATAAAAAACTGTGTACCACTTTTGATGATAATTACTTGAACAGTATGAAAATTCATATACTTATAGTTTATATATCGAGAGTGCATGGTAATGTATTTTTTTATTTTACTTAAAAAAAGCATTAAATTAAAAAGAAAAATTACACTCTACCATGTGTTAGACACACTTATATATACTGTTTTGTATATCGATAGTCTGTGGTCAAATTGTGACATTAATTATATTCAAACTTATAATTTAAATTAATTATGGTCGAATTTCGACCACTTAGCGACCACTATGGGATAGTATGGGATAATTACGTAATATATTTTTACGGGGGGAATATCTATGGGACACATTTACCTAGATAGTAGGTTATATACATTTCCAACACACTGGCTCGTAAAGTGGATCCAACTTCATCGAAATTCGGTATATAAAGCAATTTTACCCGCACTATTTGCTATTTTTTTTCTATCAAATTTCGAACTGACCGCCTTGCGGCGACAGCTAGTAAACAGCTCGCTGAATTAAAAAAATTAGACATAGGTAAAGCAACAGTCTTTATCACAATTTTATAATTGAGTTTATTTAAAATCAAGTGTGTTTAAAAACGTACGATATACGTGCGCATTTAACACACAGCTCTATTACCCCCTCGCCTTGGGCTCCGGTTGAAATTCCACCTTATGTATTATAACCATCATAACGCACTTATATCGTAATATACATACAATAGCACTACCGATATCGTGTTAATATGTGGCGCCCGTGCGTTGCTATTTTGGATAATTAAGATGCTTCTTATCCTGTAATTTCACTATCTTATCTCACCCTGCCTCACCCTTTAATCGAAACGCAACTTACAAAGTTAGCTGCATTTGTGTTTATATTACTACGTGCACGTGCTACTAAGTGCTTATGTTACTACCGTATTAATGAAACCATCCAAAGAACTAACTACCTACTAACTAGATAACCCTTTATATACTAAAATATCATCACATGGGGCTAATAACGCATCAAATAATTAATCAATATTAGGTATTTTGAAATGCTCTTAAAACTCTCTCTCACTCATTCTCTCTGTCACTCACTCACGCACGCACGCAAGCACACGCACACAGAAAATTTAGTTCATATATCAGTTTGTGTGCTTTTTCTCGTTACGTTCGAGAAAATAAGCAGAATATATTCTTTACGTTCTCACATGTTTTATCTCCAAGTATTATACATTATATAGAAGCCCACATGTAATGTCACAGAAACCCTATGTAACCTTAAGTACCTTATCCTAAAAACAATTAAACCTCTCAAAACCCACATGTAATGCCTAATAATCTCTCATGTAACGTTTCGAAACCCTCATATAATGTGTTATATGTTATTCCTCACGCAATTTTGAAACCTCCATTTCAAGTCTTAAAAACATGTGTTAAATAAAACTTTTAATTTACAGTACATGAAGCTCAAGTATCGTGTCAAAGTGCTATAAACTAGCACCATACAATTACGATATCCATGGCATACACGTGGACACCGTCACATGGCATGGGGTTACCTTTCTAATAAGTTATTATGGACATTATATATCTAATCACTTACGGTCATGTTTAGTTTTTAATCTGTGAACACCACAGTATATATTCGTTGTAAAATTTCAAGACAATTAGAGTACGTCATATGCAGGGTTGTTTGGAAAGGGTTTATAGAGAACTAAAAAACCAATACTCCTGAAAATTAACAGCTTTCACCAAGAAATAAAGTGAGAAATATTTTTTTACTTTTCTAATTAAATTGATCATGTAACCGCGCTGATTCTGTTTTTATTTTATATCATTGAATCTTTTTGATTTTATATGTTACTAATATTATAAACGCGAATGTTTGTACGTACGGATGTTTGTTACTCTTTCACGCAACAACTACTGAACGAATTTTAATGAAACTTTACAGTAATATAGCTTATATATCTTATATGCTATAATTTAAAAAGATACTATATAAATTGGGCGAAATATAACTATAAATGTCAAGTAAGTGTGACGCAGACAAAGTTGCGTGGTTCAACTAGTAAACTAATTATTTTATTCTTCGGGTTTTTTTTTTATTGGGATGTTTGGGCTATTGTCTGATGTTTGTAGCACCTGTAGCACTGCAACCTACAAAGATCTATTGTGCTGACCCCTGAACTTTTTCAAAGTTCGCAGCCTAGACCCGTCAGGGACAAGAATTGAAGGATATTCTTAGGAGCGATAGTTTTTATCTCCTCGGGAAAGAGTGTAAACTTTCCAAAGGAGATATTTCGTTTATGCATGAGTGGGCTACAACCACATAGGATCTCTAGTGGCGTTTCCTCTTCAGTTTGGCAGAATCTGCAGATTCTTCGGGTTACTAATTAAATTATTTTATTTAGAGTTTTAAAGACATCTCACTTTGTATAAATAGTATCTTTTTAATTGTATAAAGGTTTTAAAAATTATTTTCATTGTTTTACTTTACATCTTGGGGAGGTTCATGAATATTACTCACTGGCTTTCTATTCAGATGCCCTATATAACCCTGTATATGAATCCTTTTGTTATATTAATTTTAGATATGTTTTTGTGAATTTAATCTCAGTGGTTGCAGCGACACATTTGTCCCAACGCCCATAGTGTATTTAGAATTTATATCTATAGGCAATTGAAATATATCTATATATTGTGTGAACATAGACATAGTATGGGCCTGGTTTTCCTATTATATATGTATTTTATTTAATTATTTTGAAATATACAAATGTAATATAATATATAATGACCCCACACTAGGCTAACCTATATTGCGGGGTCCAGAAGTCCAGAGTCTGAAATAGACCCACACAAATATAGGTATTTTAATTTGAATTGATTTAAATAAAATAGTTGGACATCTGTTATATACGTATATATATATAATAGCATTAATATGGACATAATATGGGGCTTGATTATATCAGTATCTATTGATCTCCTGACAGGAGATATATCATACATAACTTAAAAAGTTTGAACAATAATTCTATAAAAAATAAATATTTTATTATATTCTCAGGAACGATGGTTTTTATCTCCTCAAGATAGAGTGTATACTTTCCAGAGGAGATATATCGTTTATGCATGAGTGGGCTACAACCACATATTTTGCGTTACAGATCAACAAAAAGCACGAGACGGAACACTACATACGACAAAAGTGATGCCCCAAGAGCCACTCAATCGCGCGCACATTAACACCCAAAACTCGTCCCTCGTCAAATAAAAATACCTCAGATGTGTTACTAGAAAACAGATTACCTAAAATTACATACTGTAAATAATCATCATTATTTATATTCTGTAATTTAATATAATAAAAAAATGTTAAGTAAATAATTATAATGATATCGAATCATTGTAATTCCTTGTAGTAACTCTTCTACCTTTTGTATATAACACAATAACATCCTGTGACATTTGTCTATGATAGTTTATTTAACAAAATGTATATAAAGATGGCAACACTTCCTAACTCACACTTTCATAGAATGACGGCTTCAGTTCGTAAATAGGTAGTGTTCCGTCTTACTCAGTAGTTTAGTATATTAAATTTAATTGTATTAAATTGCAAAAAAGAACTACTTACCACTAAAAAAAATAAACAATTGTAAAGGGCATGTGTGGTGTAATATTTATTAGTATCATTAAATATGTATACTAAATGGGGGTGTTTGTTCTGAAATATTTAATATATAAAAATGTATATGTATATTTTAAGGCAGTGTTTTTCAAACTTTTCGATGAATCAAATTTATGAGTTGACAAGTTTAGGCGACCCACTAAAGCCATACGCTAAATTTAAATCTACATTATTGATTTTAGACAAGTATCATAGTAATTTGTATTATAGGACTAACATATAAATGTATTTTTTTTTATCCAACGACTCGAAGGTTTTGATAAACACTGTTTTAAATCGAATCGAAAATATATAAAATATACCTGTATAAATATTTAGGCATGGTAAAAATTCCTCTTTATTGTTAATTATCTTATTAATTACCTAGTTGTGTTGAAACTAGTCAAAGAAGTAAAACATTAGTACGGTCATACATTATTCGGTCATCTAACGTTTGCTTTATGCAACTTTCGTTCGATTGGCGGATTTGGTTGCTACGCCCCGCCCTCTTTGTAAATGCGCCAATTGGAACGTGATCGCATAGAGCAATCGTCCGACTGAATGGAATATGGCATCGGACTAATACGTTCATCTTAACATGACGCAGGGAGCTGAGATAAATAAACGATTTTTAACATGATATATTGCAAGCAAAAATACATTTTAAGTAGGGTGCATTTAAAATATTTTTTTGCTTGTACAATATTAGAAAAGTTTGTGAACTTCACGCGTCAAGGTAAGGTGACTGTGTTATATATGAGTTTTAAAGATATTGTCATAATATTTCTTCTTAAACTCTGTATTTATTTATTGTGTGGAGAAACAATACATATATTTATTTAAATGAATGTAAATATATATTTATGTATCTGGGTTTTTTAATATTAGAAGCTCGATCGGAATTCGGTCAATTTTGTCGACAGTTTAAGTATTTCAACGCCATATAAATATACATTTGCAACTAAAACGGTAGTTTAGAATTTTAACTCGGAAAGTTTTCGGTTTTATGGCGACCGAAACTGACAAGGAAACCGAAATTCGGTCAGACTATGGAAAATATCATTTACCTAACAGATATAACAACTTAACGTTTAAAATTCATTGCTTGTGGACTAATTTTGAACGATAAACAAGTGACTGTAAGATCCATAATATTCTTTATTCGATACGCTCTTGACAGTACCGTCGTAGCCATTATATAGATCCATAATAAGCTACATTAATTAAAAATATAATAATAATAATCTCAGGACAATTCACACAGCGCCATCTAGACCCAAGTTAAGCTAGCTAAAGCTTGTGTTATGGGTACTAGATAACTGAAACAATATCATAGATTTTTTTTCGTAAATACATACATATTATACATAGAAAAATAAATTTAAATAAACCCATAATTAGAAATATAGATTTATATGACTTCAGTTTTATTTATTTTTTAATTAATGCAGTTTATTATTTATGCGTGCAACATCTAAACCCTAATGTAAATAGATACATAGTGCATTTATGTTATGCAGTGAATTACAACATAAAAAAAACAAATTGAAGTAGAATACTACAAAAATACTACAAACATTTTTAGTAACTAAAATAGGTGTGACACCATTTGAAGATTGAACCTATGTATCTCGGAAGTAACTCAAACCACAATAACCACAAGAACATAGCGTTTCACGGATTCAATATGAAATTAACAATAATCAAATTAGAACTGTCAAACTATAATATTGAAATTGGGATATCATTTTAATGACATATATTTTTTTATTTTTCCAATGACAATTTGTAATTGTAATTTATTAGTGTAAAATAAAGTAAATTACCAATAATGGATATGTATTTTATTTTATAGAAAACTAGCGAACCGACCGGTTTCGCACGGATGCATTACAAATGAAATTGAATTTCTCGGGTTGTTCTATGCTATAACACGCATGTATTATACAATAAACCTATCTCTTGAATCACTTTATCTATTGCTGAATACTGCATCAAAATTCGTTGCGTAGTTTAAAAGATATGACCGAACAGACGGCGGTGGTTTTTCTTTCGGACTACTCTAATGCTGTTGGCAACAACTAAGTTTCACCGGACGATAGGGGGCGAGTGCAGAAGGTACTCCAGACCCGCGAAGGACTTTTGGAGCGGCTGAAGGCCAACTCGCATAGCAATCTACACGTGATTTATAAGTTTTCAGTGGTTACGTATTTGTTAATTTTATTTATTATTTTTGCCAGTGGTAACTACAAGGTACCGTCTACAGCATACATGTTGTACATAGGCAGTACACGGGCACAGGTTGAGGCAGACAACCCTGGCTTAAAACACACCGAAATTTGCAAGAAACACGCCGCGATTTGGAGATCTATGCCGGCCGCAGAAAAGAATCTTTGGGAGGAAAAATTGGCAATACTGAAACGTCAAAAAAATTAAAATTACAAGACAATAGCTGTATGGGCTGAGTCCTTTTGCCTTTCCCTATAAAGGAAAAACCGAACCAAAAAAAAAAAATTGGCGCCAGTAGAATTATAACCATTAGTATTTGACCCGACTAGTTATAGTAATTTTTAACATTTTAGTTTAGTACTTAATTATATTTAATTTGATCATATTCAAATGTGTATATGTATATGTTCAGAACATAAATGTTTTTTTAAAAAAGCTAGGACAATTGTCTCACTGTTTATCATTACAATATTACCATATCCTACGAGTGTCGGAGTAAGGTCTTAGTTATGTACCTAATAAATATTTTATTAAATATGTCTATAGTTTATTTGTATAGCATGTGAATGTGATTGGTTGCAAGGGCAGAGGAAGATCTGAAAATGGACTGTGAAAGATGATATAGTAAGAATAGGGATGAATGGAAGAGCAAAATTTATTACGTAGACCCCAAATAAATGGAACCAAGAAAACATGATGATTATATTGTACAATACTAGCTCTATTTCGCTTAGGTTTAGTTTGGAACTAGATGGCGCTGATGAATTAGAGTGGTTATGGTCTTATGTTAATTAAAAATTAACAAATATTATTTTAAAAATTACTCCTTTATTCATCAGATTTTGATTAGTTGTATTCTAGGATCGATCTTTACATCCAGTAAAATTTAATAATTTGTTTAATAGTAGTCTAAACTTTAGCTCTTTAAATGTTTAATTTAAGTTTAATTAACGCCCCATGTGTGAGTCCAATTACACGACCTCTCACAGATGGGAGCTTTTTTTGTGAATGTAACGGAATGGTGCACCCGCTTGCGCTAACGGTTTACGCTGGCGAGGCACCAGTGAAGGATGATAAGATGAGCATGAGGTCAAGTCAGGTCATCGTGACAAATACATCAAGAACCGCGTGGAAGTCAACCTGACATGGTACATCGCTGCAATAAGATCAAAGGTCTACATTACTAACAACTTTCCCCCCCACAGATGGGGGCTATAGTGTCCGTGTCCAATAATTGGCTCCTTCCCAGAGGAGAGGTTATGTAAACTCACTAGATTTAACCCAAACATATCGGGGGGGAAAGGGGATTATTAGACTGATGATCTCATTGCTAGCAATATACCATATCAGGTTAACCTCCACGCGGTTTCCCTTGGAAACCATCGTGATAAAATCTTGAATTTGTCACGATGGGCTAACTGACCTGACCTCATGCTCATCTTATCCTCCACAGGTTCCCCGGCAGCGTAAGCCGTTAGCGCTGGCGGGTGCACCATTCCATTATCATAAACAAAAAAATCCAAACATACCAGTAAAGAAATAAAACATTAACAATTACTTATGTATATATTTATTACAAAAATACATTATAATAAGGTATACAGTTCATTAATTGAAGGTCCTGTATTATGATAGAACACATTTCATAACATTATTTTCAAATTGAGATCAGTTTCATAAACATGTTTGGGTAGTAGGTACTTATTGTATAGACACCTAATAAATAATATTCAAAATCCGACACATTGTAATAAAGTAGTAAAATAATTATATCTTTTCACTCTAATTGATGTTTGTGTATGTTGTAATGAATATATAACAGTTTTCTCATCACAGAATATAAACAAATATTTACATACATTATTAATATATAAATATGTATAAACATACAACACTGAGAAAAGAAAGAGGCAGCAACGGGCGGCCTTATCGGTGATCAGAGATTTCTTCCCGGCACCCATAGGATATTGAGCAGAACCCTTAGTCTGGTCGAGGCGTAACAAATATCTAAATTGTATTTTTTAATAATAACAATAAATTTGAAATATGTAACTTTTATTAAATTATATAAAGAATAGAACAACACAAATATGTTTTTGCATGTCTATTGCATATCTATTATATATACTTTTATAACAAATAAAATTTCATTTAATTTAAAGATTTTCGTGAAAAACCAGCTAGAAATCATCGTGATCAACTTTCCCGTAAGTTTATCACGATGAACTTATCTGAATTCCTCCACGTCCTGTCGCCTCTACTGGCACCACACCTGCATATACCTTTTTTTATACTATGATGGTGGCAAATAAGTATATGACCCATCTGATGGTAAATGGTTACCGTAGTCTATGGACGCCTGAGACCGTTGGAAGGAGGGTGTTCTTTTTTTATAATAAGAAAAAAAAACAAAATACAAAAGTGAGTTTATGCTTTACGTAACTACTTAAATTCATGAATTTAGCACATAGGTAATAGTCGGGGTGGAAAACAAACTAATTAAGTGTTATCGTTATAACCTACTAATTATCCCAATCAAAGATGAAGTTGCGGGTAGAAGCTAGTACTGTATTAAACCAACTAAAAAAAACCTGGGGGAAAAAGGATATTTGTAATGTGAACTGTGGACCCCTTTGCAAGCAATGGACCTCCACGCGTGTTCATCATGAAAAAATCTCATGTTCATCTTATCATCCTGCACTGGTGCCAGCGTAAACCGTTAACGCAGGCAACTGTACCAATAATCATTTATTATCCATTAAAAAAAAACTCCAAACACAGTTTTCATTGACATCATAATTAGAACCGTATCTCAAGCAAAGCGTGATCATTTCAGGTAGGAGAATAATCTCATTATTTATCATTACAATATAACCATACGAATGTCGGATTAAGACATTAATTACTTTAACAAGTATATTATAAAACATGAAAAATTATATATAATATAATCTCACAAGAAAATTACATGGCACATCCAATTATAAGATTGTGAAGGAATGTAGAAGGGAAGAAATACAACAACTTCAGAGTGCACTAAAGATTAAGCGCTATTCACACAACTTCATGATAAAAATCCTGGGGTTATGTTACGCAGTACATACCGATATCATAAATGCGACAACTCTGTGCTTTCCATGGCTAAACCCCTTTAATATTTGATGAAAAGTTACACAAATTTTAAATGTGAAATACAACAAAAAGACTACTTTCTTAAATGTGGTTAGCACCAATAGCGTAGACGAGACCACCATTCCCTAATCATCCAGAAGAAAGCCCTAAATCTTGAGTTGTGTGAACAACGCTTTAGGATCGTGCTGACAAAAATATACATAGTATTCAATATAATAACAATTCTACAAACTTACAAGACAAAATTAGCAAAGTATTAAAAACTAATACATTATTTTCGAAAAACTAGACATCACTAAGATTTATTTTTAAAAAGCGAACATCCACAGATATTGCAGGTGTGCCACACCGGCAACAATAATTAAAAAAACATATGTTCGCAATATTAACATATCGCACGCTTAAAAATAAACTCCATTAAATAATTAAAATTATTTTTTGAAAATTAACTGTATAATTAAATACATAAAGATGTATTTACATATCTGTTTCTTATTAAGCTTGCGATATTATTTTTATTATTTATTCTATAATAGGGTACATAATTTTCATACTGGCATTGAGTTATATATCTAACCCCCTTACTTAACGTCAAACGTCCAAATCTATTTCAACTATTAGACTGTTGTCTTTTTCTTTCAAATTATTCGATTCAGTTCACAGAAAGAGACAGACGGTTTCATCATGTTCTTCCCTTATTCCAAATCATTTGGGCTCGTCGAAATTTTTACAAATTTGTTTGCAGGTATCTCTGAATGCAATTTCTTTCTGATTATATACATTTTTTCCCATTCATCTTAGTTCTTCCTCTACATTTACTACTTGCTGTATATTCATATATACAGTATAGTATATATATAATAGTAACAGTATATTTTCTTCACAACACTTTCTTAATTTCTGCCATACTATGCCAAGATTACTTTTTAAAAATCACAAAAGTCTAATACTTAAAGGTTCCTTCATATACTACGTCAAACTAATGACAAACCTAGTCGACATTCTAGCGTGTGGGATGGCCCTAAAAATTTCTAGGTTTCAATTTTCAAGTAAGGGGGTATTGCACAGAATTTCTTCTACCGCTGAATGACAATGTACACAAGAGAAGTGATTGAGCAAACTCAGTACACACTTTAGTCAAGACACAACGGCAAACAACGAACTATCCTAAACAACTGTAACATGTATACAATGGTCCAAACACAGTCTTTACTAAAGTGCGCAGGACACGTCACCTGCTTGCAACTAAAACGTGTCATTACTAACCAAAACATTTCAAAATTGACTTTAATGATAAAATCTTAAAGTAATTTTCCCTTATTTTGTAATTGTTGAGTTAATACAGTTTAATATTGAGTAAATAAATTATTATGCAGAAAAATAAAGTTCTTTTGAGTTTAACAGAGTATGCTTATAGTATACAAGTATTAATATGAATTGATTATAAATATATCTATTTACTATAGGATAAATAGCCTCAAAATATGTAAAGCTCATATAATATATAAAATATCTACCATGTATTACATAATTTACTAAAAAAAATGGTATAATCAATTTATGAGACTAAAAGTGAAGCTTTTGTAAAGACGAGACTTACTATTATAAAAAAACTTCATTCACATTTCTCTTTTCCTTTCTCCTGTGCTGACTGCCTCTTGAACCTCAGGTCGGAAGCCCTTTATCACTCTTTGAATGTTCTACGAGCCTAAGATAGTAGTTTTTTTGGAGAAATTTACGAGTTGATGTTCTCTTTTACATTTGCATTTGCGCTTACGATGTGAGCTCGCATTTGCAGAGACTATTTTTTATTTTATATTTATATATTCTGAAGTGGATTTGCTTTAGTATATGGGTATATATATAGGAATATGTTTTGTTTATTATTTACAAGTACGATATGTAAAACAAATTAATGCGCTGTAGTTGCAAGCAGTCGATTTTTATATTTAAAGGAAGAAAGTAAGATTAGAGGCCATTTTTTAATTAAACCTCGGATTGGCGATAACATATAACATTTCATAAATTTTGTGCCCTTATTCCGAAAAATTTTAACTTCCAAACTACTATTTGTCTCTTTCTTAGAAATGAAAAAGGTAGCTAAGAAGAAAAGGACAATAACTGAAATAGGTTTAAACTTTTCATGAATAAGGGCAATATGTAATCAACATAATAGTCAAAGTGTACGAGTCTTTGGTCTGAAAAAATACCTGAAAACATATAAAGTCGACAACTTTTCGCATTTATATATTTCATTACTACTATTATATTGTTACTGTATTTTACCGTTTTCTATTCACTGGAATGAGACAGACATCGATGGTCCACCAGATGGAAAGTATTAACCGTCGTAACATCAGCAGCACTATGGACTACACATCGTAATTTGATGCCTGTATTTCTCATGAGTAGCTATTTTTATCACCTCCGGACTAAGTCCACTGCAATATCTCAGTCTTCAAACAGAAACAGCTTACAAAGCAAGCTGCTTGGCAGAAATAGATGAGTCAAGGGTCTTTGATTTAGGTTACAATTAATCTAAGATCCCTAACTCAAGAATAGTGAACATGTGCTTGATTTTTTAAATTATTAAAAGAGAAATACCCTATATATACGGTTATAGGTACATTAAGACACAATTTTTATAACTTTTATATCAGACTCGACATCTTTAGACTACTATGCCGATATCTGTAATATAATATATTATCATATAATGTGCACAGATATAAGAATATCTAATGAATCAGCGCTGTAGCTACACGTTGATTTATCATTTTCCCATCACAGCTTATCGTCATTAAAGTTCTGATAGTGTGTAAGTCAGTCATTATAGAAATCCATGGGGAAAGAAAAGAAAATAATATTCGACGACCCATCCCTGATAGACAACTGACTTGCCTCTGAGGGTTGGAAGCCGGGTACGCCCATATCATAATAGTTACATATATAAAATCTTTTTATGAATATTATAAAAGCGAAAGTTCGTGAGTATGGATGGATGTTTGTTACCCTTTTAATTTTGATAAAACTTTACAGTAATATAGCTTATACATCAGAATAAAATATAGGCTAGAAATTTCACGCGGGCACAACTAATATAATATAAAGTAAGTAACTATTATGTAAGTAAATTGTAATTTTAGAACCAAAAATTATTATTTTCATGGTTATTTAGAATGTGTATTCTAAAGCATTATTGCCTCTGATTAGCTATATATTTGATTGGTTGAAGGAAATCACGTCATATCTATAAAAACATGGTTTTAACATGTTAAATCTGCCATAAAATTACACACTTTAAAACTTCATAGACTAATATTACTTTATAATCTTTCATAAGAACCCCACAAACATTTTGTGAGTTAATGTCAAATAATATTTATTATTATTATAATAACTAACGTCAACAGATTCAATACAAAAAGAATTTAAACATACAACTCCGTTTTAATATTAACACATTAACATTTTGTTGCGCAAATAAATCGACCTAAACAAAAAATAAAAAAAAAATCCGTTACAAATTTGCGCAGTACATACAAAAAAAAAAGCATGTTTGAGTACCCTCAATTTTTGAGGTCAGTTAAAAAATAAATAGATATACGTTAATTAAATTTGTAGCAACAACCTTGATATGAATGTGATATTATTATCAGAAATATTTTTAATATTCAGCGAGTTCCACTGCCATGTAAATATTCAAGAACCGTCAACCATTAAGTTTATACGAGTATCTTCTTATCAAACGAGTTTATCTTCTCGCATCGAACTATGACGTCATCGCGGTTGCCACTCAACAGTTTCTTGGCCCTGGACAGATCCTCCAAAAAGTACTTACCTTTCTCGGTACGAGATATCTGCTTCTCCGGTATCAAGTTCTTGGAGAGATACGATATCAGTTTCTTCCAGTCGCTGAGTAAAAAGAACGATTTGCAGTGTTTCATTTCGATCGGTACCTGCCCATTCGAGTGTTCAAAATATACGTTTGACAGACTCTTATGATCCCTCGTGCCACGGTTAGTCTTCACCAAATTCAATAGTAAGATATCTACGTTCTTGTGGGCCGGTATTATTTGTTTCTCGTAGATGCTGTTGTAAACATTTGACTCGTCTGCTGGGCCCACTATGTATACAATATGAGAGGCAAGTTCGAAGGCTTCTTTGGCCCAAATGAATGGATCTCTATGAGCGAGATTTATGATATCCCCGTCGTACATAATATCGAAGCCGAATTCAGAACGTAAGTACGATACGAACGAGCCTACACATTCTGCGTGAAGCCTATTGCCAGGTGGGTAGATGACCAGCACTTTTGTCGGCGGCGGGATTTCATTTGCTGCAATTGAAAAATAAAATATCTTTCGTTATTTTTATATTATAACTGAAATTAAACACGAATCTTTTTATGGCAAATTAAGGTATGTACTTCTCTCGATGTTTCGACTAAAGTACGATTATTAATTCCAGTCAGTAAAATGACAAGTGCAACTGTCACTGATACAAAAAAGAGTGACCCGCTACAATAGTGATGTTCGGCAATCAATAGACTTAGACATTTAGTCATGCTTTATTTTATTAGGTATCAAAGCGTTTTTTTTTATTGTTAAATATTAAATACATACCATATTAAATATTACGATTTTAGAAATATGGACCTTACCAGCATATTAAAATTTCTCACTATAACATTATTACAAATGCTGGGAAAAAATGTATAAAGAGATTCAGAGGAATTAACACTAGAATTTTTATTTATATAAAGGCAATTTGATACTGAATGAAAAAAATCTAATCTCGACTAACTTTTAATTGTTAAAACTCCATTGTACCATATCACTATTTATTTGGGAGTAAAAACTTGCAACAATGGAAATGTCATTTTACTGACTGTAATTAATAATCTTACTTTAGGTTGCACTAGCCGTGATCACGAGCAGACTGTAGTAGCAACGATGTCAATGTAGATAGATGCCAGCAGTCATTTCTTCTACCGTCACTACTTATGTAGTCGAAAGGTTAAGAGGTTTATTTGCCATAAAATTCTTCGTGTTAAGACCCTTGCTTGCAATGCCCGCAACCCGGTAGATTAAAAAAAAATTATATTTATATATAAAATTATATATAAAAATTACTATTCAAAAGTGCTTCAATGTAAGTTTATTTGAATGAATGATTTATATTCTATTCTATTCCTTGCTTGTTTTGCTTGTTTGTATTGATGTGAGTGTTTTCTATGTATATTATGTATGCATTTAAAAAAAAGTGTATTAAAGTATTTCTATCAGTCATCTAGTACCCATTACACAAGCTCTGCTTAGCTTGGGACTAGATGGCACTGCGTGAATTGTCCAGGGTTATTATTGCTGAGGGCCTTGGTGGTCTAGCAGTTTGCGACAACACTTTATTTCAGATGGTCGCAGGTTCGATTATTATTTAATTATAATATTAGTGTAGATTATTATGTACGCACCTGTATACATTCCCCTGTAATCTCTGCAAAAATATCTCCTTATGAAGCGTAGCACTATGTAGTATGCGAACAGGGAGGCCACAATCAGCGCTGTAACACTTGCTATACAAATGTTGAGCGTTTTGTGTTCATCGGTAGCTGAAAGAAATTTAATAATAATCAAATTAACATTTTAGTTACTCTTACAAAAACAGTTGAAGGGATTCTATTGTAATTTAAAACACAGATATTAACTGCTGTGTTGCTGCAGGATTGAATTCGTTATTAAATAGACAATCAAAAAATATTTATTCATATAAGTCTTTTATGCAAGATATCATTTTTTAACACTATCCCTGTCCCATCCAGTTTGGCTAGCTTCTGTTGAGAAATTACAAGAAACTCAACTGGTAAATATGTGTATATGCAGTGTTAACATTTTCTGGTTTCAATGTCTTATGGGAATATTTCGCATTTTTGCCGCAAAAGACGCTACGGTCGGCTGCTATCATCGTTGGCACGCCACGCTTCACAGTACAACGGGGCGAGTTAATGTTTTATACAGATAGACAGGTGAAAGCTAATTACACGCTTCACCAGTCATAATCAGAAGAACAGCAGAATAATTCAAATTACGAACTCTATCCCAATCTACTTGTAATTTTGTAATTTATTTAACTTATATCACTTGTACATACGGTTGAGGACCTGGGGCTCTGCTATTATTGATAGTAATAATACATTTTTGCAATGTATTATCAAAAATACTACAAGTATTTGTTGTCGTCCTTGTTTGTGAGGAGAAATAAATAAATAAATTATGTACATGTTTCTCTTTGCCTTTTTACTCTTTTAGTTGGACTCAAGATGACAATCGTAATGTAATGAACTGTCCAAGTGTGAGGGAAATATCCATTATACAAGGACTACCGGTCTCGCTTTCAGCAGGCTGTGTGTGGTTACTTTGACAGCTTCAATAAACAAAAAAATAAATGTCTGATACCAATTTGTGTGTCAAGTAAATTTAATACTTACTTATACCGATCTTAGGGCTCGCTACCACTTGACAACCGGTCTCCACACCGCTGCAGCCATCATGCAGTGGGGTAACAACGAAATAATGGGCACCGGGACTCCTCAAGAAGTAATAATCATATGTCATCTCCTCTTCGCGATCTTTCAGCGTGAAGTTGGCAGTTTTGACAATCTGTTCGGAGCATTTTTCCAGAGTGCCTTTACTGCACCCTCTGCGCACTTCTATTTTGTAACCGGTTATGTTGACTTGAGGTGGTGGTGGCATTATGTGCAATCGTAATACGCTTGACAGTATCTCTATGTATAGGAATGGTTTCCATTCGTTTTCTGTCACAGTTGTACCTGTGGAAATGCAACATGTATTTATACCAACTTAAAACAAAGATGTGTTGTCTATGTTCTTGGGAACATTATATAAAAAGATAACACAAAATTAAAGTGCATAATCTGATAAATGTGGGTTTGTAAATATCATCATAATTTTATATAAAAAAAAAAGAGATAATCTGGCTCACATTCTCAGAAATTTACCATGATAGTTTCTGGGTAGAAACCCCTCGCTCCAGTACATGCTAAAAGAGTTCCAAATTACTGATGATCATAGAATTGATTGAACTTAAAACTTACTTATAAAAGTCTTAATAGGTAACATATTAAGACTTTTATAAGTCTTAAGTGGTAAGTTATAATTAGGTATAATATAATTAATATAATAATAAAGTATAGGATTACGAAGTAATATTACGAGTTTTACACATTAAGTTCATTAATAATTCTTATAATTATTGTTGAACTTAATTGCATTGCATTTTTTGGAAAATAAACTCTAAAGTTATAAAGTATATTTCACAAAATACGAAATTCGTTAGTTAATGAGGTTTAATACTAAGTATACAATATATATGACAGTCACCACCATTGAGCAAGATGACCGTCAGATCGCAACCATTCCAAATAGTATAAAAAACTACTCACTAAGCATCTGCATATTGGGTATGTTGAAGAAATATTGTCCCCTGTTAGTACTTGAATCATCAGAGGCCTCGAAGTCCAGGAAGTGGCTGGTGCCGTTGTAATTCCCATCGGTATACGACCAGTAGCAGTCGTAGTACAGCACCGAGCGATCGTCGATTGTCACGTCGTTCGATATCACGATGTTCCGGCAGTGGTAACTGTTCGCACGGTTCGGATCGTGGAAACGGAACTTCATAGCTGAAAAGGAGATATGATCATGAAGTTACACTAGAAGAATGAACAAGAGCCCGAGAGAGTATCCTGCAAGAGCGTGGCCCAGGGGAGGATTGTTAGTGATGTGGATTAAACCCATTGCTAGAAATGTACTAAAATCAGTTGAACTCCACGCGGTTCCTATAGAAATCATCCTGGTGAATTTGCCATGATGGCCTAACAGAACTGACCACATATTCATCTTATCATCCACTGATTCTCCGCTAGCGTATACCGTTAGCGCAGATAGGTGCACCATTCCATTATCATCCAATTAAAAAAGAATACTCCATCTACAAAATAATAGTACACCCAATCGCGAATAAAATAAATCAATTAAGAATTCTTTAAACTTACTTTTCCACTTAATATTAGTGAACGTAATATTAAGGACTGTATAATTGAAGCTCCTCTGTCCGTGTGTATCCATAATATAAGGCCGGAGACTAACGCCGCCTATGTCTGCATTGAACGGTTTGTCAGATTTGAAGGGTCCAAAATTCATTGTCCTGCATTCAGCACTGTCAGATGGGTAATATTCCACTTTACACTTGTCAGAGTCCGCCAGTTCTCCATCGGGTCCAGACAGCTGAAAAATACACATCATCAGAGATACTACCTCTTTAAAGTCGGTCGAAACCTTAATATATTTTTTTTTATACTACTATGGTGGCAAACAAGCATACGGCCCATCCGATGGTAAATGGTTACCGTAGCCTATGGATGCCTGAAGCACCAGGGGTGACACGTGCGCGTTGCCGACCCTAAATCCTTAATATAAAGCGCAAATATGTCATCACATTTTATTATTTATTTTTTGTATCCATCGTGCTTGTTGAAGACTATGAACACATGTGGTAAAAGTTACGTCGCGGATAGAGTGTTAATATATCATGAGGACTAATATATCATGCATCCATACTCTGAAATTTAACCCTTTAAATCAAATATCCTATAAATCAAATGGCATATCCCTGGCATATCTCTTTAAATTGAAATAGTTTACAAAATAAGCTCCTTAGCAGCTAAAAAGGGGTAAGAGTTATTCACGCAAATTACTTTAACAAGCCTATTTCTGTAAATAAATAGTTAGTAAACAACATTAATAATAATGTAAATTTTCCTGCTAGTATACATAATTAACAATAGGTAAAAACATGTTTAGTAAACCATCTCTTATCAGTACAATTGTAGTAATATTTATTTAATTATACATCAACATTTTAATTTTAATTGTAATATGTTAATTAATCTTGTAGCAAGGACAGAAATGTACACTCAGTATGTAGGTATATATAGTATTTAATAAATATATTGTAAAATAAAATTGTGAAACCATTTTGTTCCTCTAAAAGGCTCAACTCACATTAAAGCATAATCAAAGTGAAGCTATGCACTATATTTTGAAAGTTTACAGCAGTTACCTGCATTTACTACTTTTTGAGATAAAAAAATGTATCTCCTTTTTCTGATACAGTTTACTTTTACTTAAAATTTCATTATCATCTATTCCATCATGCAGTTCCCATGATCTATGGATGATAATGGAATGGTGCACCCGCCTGTGCTAGCTATTTACGCTGACGGGGCACCAGTGGAGGAAGATGAAATTATCATGAGGTCAGGTCAGTTTTCCCATAGTTATTAAATAACCAGGAATTAACCACAATGGTTTCCAGCCGCATGGAGGTTGAACTAACGTGGTACATTGCTAGCAATGGTCTAGTGTCCAGACCCCATTACTAACAATTATCTCTCATCATATAGAGAAATCATCAGTTCCTATCTATTTTCATTAAGAGTGTAGGTATAGTGTTGGTTAAGTGAATTCATAACATAACAAAAATTAGTGTATTACTTAATTAAAATAAGGAAATATGATAACATAACAACGCCAAATTAAAAACGGAATTTGAAAGCCTCTGTTACTGTAAATAGGGTTAAACTAAAATAGGGAATGACAGTTTTCAGTTTCAAAAATGACACATTTCCATACAATATGTCATTTTTGAAACTAGAAATTAATAATTATATATTTTTTTCTTTCTTTGATCTTGCAAGTGCTGACCTTAATTAGTGATCAAATTCCGACCATTATTGGAAGTGCCCTGTACCTTTAACATGTGATTTATAACAAACTGTAACAATTTTCAATTGAAATTATTTGTTTGTAATTACATTACATTACATTTATCATTAATATCAGAGTAGGTATAATAGATTAGGGGACTGCTTTGCACCCAAAATTTAGAAAACTAATGGATATGACAGAGAAACATGTTTTAGAATATAGTAAGTACAATAAAACAAAGAAAAACAATATAGACAATATGACTATAAATTGTACCAAAATATATGTGTATACAAAAATAAAATATGAAGAAATGCAGAGGAGTTTGTAACAAATGTTTGACAATAATAACAGTTACAAGATCAGTTGTATGAATTACAATTCCTACAGTGAAATTAGTCATATATAGTCATAAATCTAAAGTTTGTAATTAATTTTACAAATATCAATTTTAAGATTTGTCAGCAACAGTGTCACATTATTAAGCTTAATTAAGCTCTGGAATATATCCACAAACCCTCCAATTACATTGTTATACTATATTACTTAAATGACAAATGTGCACGGCTATAATTGTTCACAGGATTTTCATTTAATGTTAAATATAGTCATCTATATGAATACATAATGTAAATCAACTGGATTTAAAAAAAAAGACAGAGTTTCTTCCAGTTCTTCTACATTGATACTGTACACTGAATGGGATGGTGAGGGAAAAACAAAAAACTTGATGTTTAGAAGCAGATAATATGTCCTACATGAATAAATTATTTTTGATTTCTTTTGATTTATCATCTAGCAGTTAATATGACCGCTCCATAATTATTTATTTATTTATTTATTTAGAACACTTTATTGCATCAACATATATAAAGGACATGAATAAAATTAAATATACAAAAGGCAATTTTATCACTAATACAATCTCTTCCAGACAACATTTGAAAAGAGAATAAATATTGTAGATGAGACATTAGTGGATACAAGTTTTAAAAATAAAATAAAAATAAATAAAAATTATCTAAATACACTTTATGATCATCTGTAATAAATACAGGTAGCAAGTTGTTTTGACAAATTTGGTTTATTTAGTTATATTTTGGTGTCTGTGTAGTAAATTAGTGTCCAAGTATATTTATTTTACCCTTCCACAACTAAAAGGCTACTATACCCTAAGGGATAAACAGAGTTCTATAATCTACTGACAATTCTATGTATTAACTAATAATATTTGTCTCTTTATACGAGAGAAAATGTAAATATTATTTATAATAATTGTATATGTTAAGCAATACATTCATATACCTGTAGAAAAATCAATAATTGTGACGCACTTTGCCATATCTATTTATAATAATACATTTATATAGATAATGACAAAATAACATACCTGGGTACTGCATCTAAGTGTCCTCTGTATATTTTCTTTGCATATTTGGGAGAAATCTTGCCTATTCCCAGCAACAAAATGAAAACAACTCAAAATAAGAGCAAAATATATACTTGACCACCACATTATTTCACACTAAATACGTAGAATAAGCAATTATAAACAAAAATAATATCATATCGGTTATAAATATTAGGAAAACATTTCTTGAGATATGTTTTCCATTGAATTAAATGGAAAATTAAACACAAAACACAATAAAAATATTTTTCTAAACACTGATGAAACTCTTATTAAGAATATGGTGGACATTAAATGACCATAGACTATTTTGTATCTTTTTAAATTTTCTTTAAGGTCTTGGAGTGCAATTCTTTTAAGCGACGGATGTATCATTTCAAAGTAACATAAATTAAACAGAAACACATATATACACATAGAAAAATTAATACACTTCAATTTTATAACATTTTATATCGAGAACAAGAACTACAATATTGATTATATTATGTTATCTGTAATAAAATAATACATTTTAGTATATATTTTATTTCTTTATTTTATATTCAGATTTTTATTAGATTTAGTAACACAATACCAAGCGCAAAAAAAATATAACAAATTATTGGTATAACCACAAAGTGTTACTGTCTCGACTTACTCTAAAAAAAACTTTTGTTTAAATCTGTCTTAGACTAAAAAGCTTTGTATATAAATAGGCTTTTCCTATGGTACTACAATGGACTATAGCGAAATTTAACAATTCAAGTTTAACTTACACATCAACGTCTATAGCTGACACTGTAATGTGAAAATATGTTTATTTATGTACTCTATTATTTTTTTCCCTGTATACACCGTATGTTTTATAAATGTGGATACAGGATTTATTGATAAAGTATTAATTTTGCCGTCGGTCGTCGCTAAAACTCTGTGAATCCAAAGACAAATATTTCGCTTGAATTATTGACATTTGTTTGACGTTTGACATATACAAAACAGACAATACCACTTTATTTTCACGACCTGACGTTTTATATATATGTACTAAATGTTTGTCGCATATTTAAATTGGAAGTATTTTCTTTCGTGTTTTTTCATTATATTATGAACGTGTCTTTTTTTCAATATTAACCGTTACATCCAAAAATGATGTTTTATATTTTAATTTATATTCGTGAATAATGTTCATAGTACTTAGTGTCCTTTTGAAACACAATGCTTTATGTATGTTTATCATGAAGTTCTAATGAAATAGCAGAAATGACGGTAAGTACGATTTATTATCATTAGCGTTGTTATCTCAAATGTTTAATATACTCTTGTTATCTGCACTTGACATCCTGTACTAAATATATTATATATATTGTAGGGACATTGAATTTTTTAGTATTTAATTAGAATAATTATTATTTACTTATTGTTAGAAATATTTAAAAAATGTTATATTAAATGATTAAAATTTATTCTGATAGTGTAGTGGCATAATAATAAAACAATGTACATAATCCCGTGGATTTTATTAAAATAAATAGCTTAAAAATAATATAGATAATAAAAAATAGTATGTAATCAATTAGCTCAAAAAATAGTTTTATTGTATTCTAATTTTCCATCTACAAACACATATTAAAATTGTTTATTAAATATGGCAGTTATGTACTGAGGAGAAAGAGATAGCAATAGCGATGGTAATTTCTTTTTTGTATTTATTGTTGTTTATTGTAGATGAAAAATGTAATGGATATTAGACATTCTTATTTTAGAAATTGGTATAAAGTTATAATTGGAAATGCCATTTAGAACATGTACTGCATACTCTTATCAAGGTACCAGTCATTCCTGTGCCTAATTGGCAGTGGCGATAACATTTTATTACACAATTTGAAATTTATTTTCTAATCTAAATAAGTGAAGCCATAAAATATTGATTTTTCTAGCTCTAATTTCTATATAATTTACCTATAATTTTGTATTATTGTGCATATAATTGCTTCAAAATTTTATGATTGTCTCTCCTATAATTGTCATAAATATTATATGATTTAGTTTAATTTATTATTATGAGACATTAATAGAATAGATATAAATTATTTAAATAAACATAAATTTAAGGACTTTTGAATAGTCATAGTTAACTTTTTTAATCTACCACTCATTCTTAAAGCTGTCTCATCACAAGAAGAACAAAGAAGAAACTCACATGTTTCTTGTCCCAAAAATTGTGGAAACTGCATTTTCTAATTGAAATATGTGAATACCAACTACCACTAATTCATTAGAGTCAAAATATTAAGTACACAGTAAGATTAAGGCAGTCAGTAATTAGAGCAGACCAGTCCCTACAAGCACCACTTGTTTTGAATATGACAGATGAGCCAGCCATCACACTTGACAATATTTTTGGGGGCCCAATGACCGGCCTACCATGCCACCACATGTCTCAACATGACTACTCAAGATAATAGTAACTGTATACACAGAATGTGATATTATTTTAAATAAATAATATCTAAAATGATATGTAATAGTAGTTCATTTAATTTGCTAAAAACTTAGCCATGTTCTTTTAATAATATCCAATCAGATTCACAATTAACAGCCACTTATATTTTTCGTCATCCTATTTGTTCGAAGCTAAATACGAGTTATAGTTACCTGTTTGTTAACCACTGGTTTCCTTATAATTACAAAATAAATATATAGAGATATAGAGTCTTGTATCTAATCTAATAAATAGTTGTAAACTGAAACTTTTGTATTAAGTAATCATTGTATGTATGTTATTATAGTTGCATTTCAAAGATAATATTTCTAGTTTTCATTTTACTTAGATCTTAAAATTTTATTTGAATAAAGCCCCCACACATTTTAGGTTCAATCCCAATGCCCGTGTTATTTTTAAAGGATGATAATAGAATGGTGCACCCACCTGTGCCATGAGGTCAGGTCAGTTAGCCCATCGTAACAAATCCACTAGGAATTTATCACGATGGTTTCTAGGGGGAACTGCATGGAGGTCAACCTGACATGGTACATTGCAATAGGGGCATAAGTGCATATTACTAACAATCCTCTTCCCCCCCCCCCCCCCCCTCCCGATAGCCCGTGTGTTAACGGTTTACGCTGGCGGGGCACCAGTGGAGGATGATAAGATGAACATGAGGTCAGGTCAGTTAGCCCATCGTGATAAATTCACTAAGAAGTTATCGCGATGGTTTCCAGGGGGAGCCACGTGGAGTTCAACCTGACATGATACATTGCTAGTAATGGGGTCATGGGTCCACATTACTAACAATCCCCTTCCCCCCTCGATAGCCCGTGTTGGGGCCGCTGTTTGATTGGCGCATATTTTTTTTTGCTATTCCCGCCCTTTTTGGAAATTTACCAATCGAACAGCGTCGTCGGGGTTAAACCTGACAATGTGAGTACAGATTTAAAGCGTTTAACTCTTTAACGTTTACTGCAATAAAATGCCATTTGATGGAAATCGTACAGCAAAGGCTGTCGCTTTACTTGAAGACAATATGATGATGAGAACCAACATTGAATCGCTCGTACCTTTGAGTGAACTTCAGTTTGGTACTTTGCACAGAAGTTTATTCATTCAGAAACAAGATTAATGCGAAATCGACGCATTGCTACACCAAATTCTTGCTTAGTCATCAGCAACATACTAAAAACTTATTTTACATTCTTGCTGTATCTTATGTTTACTATTCGCTAGCGCGTAGTCCTCATTTTGATTCTATTGAACACATATCAAGCAACCTTCTATAAACATATTCGAGGTAGAGTTGGCCAATCCCAACTATGCTAAGAGAGGCTAAGACTTAAACAGGTCTTAAAACAATCAATTTTATAGTAATTTTCGACGTTACAGTCAGCTCGTGAACACGGCTAGTGCAACTTCTTAGTCCAAGTGTCGAGAGAAGTAGTACCTTATTTACCATGTAATTATTCGTGTTAAGACTGATTAAGTGCATTAATAATGAAGTAACGTTACTGTGTAACAATTTTGTTAGTAACACAAGTCATAGTTATTTACTTTTTGCAATTTTTTCTCTATAAATATATTTCTTTATAAATGTTTACTGCCTTAGATCCCGCCCTAATACGGGGCCACTAATAGACTATTACACAATATGTGGTATTGGTAGTCGGTTTCATTGTATGAGTATAGAAGGCGAGTTATGTATGTTTAATAAAGTTACATCGATTTTTATGACTCGTGAAATAAGAGTTTTTAATTGCTACAAAGTTATTAATCGAAGTCTGAATTTAGTCGATATTGTGCGTTGATTATTCAGTGACTATTTTGTCTAACAATCTGAACGATGCCTGATAATAGTTTAACATTAAAAGAGTCTATAATATCAAAGAAAAGTCTTCAATCTGTATGTATAATCTTCTGTACTAGACCTCTTTGTTCTCATTGCTACTACGTTTGCCACCAACCTTCCTGTCTCAATTTTAAATTTAAAATAAATATGGTTTTATTATATTTTCAAATTAATCCGTATTATTGTAATAATAATAGCTTATGTAACTTATATAGGTATCGGGAAAAATACGGATAAAACTACATTTCTGCAATGTTGTTAGTGGGCTGGACCGACAATCATGTGTGTGTTGATTCGACCATTTATGTACACTAGCCATTTCCTGTGACCTTAATATGGCTGGCATCTTGAAATCCTAGCGGAGATTCTTAATTCGAAATTTAAAATTACTGACAAAGTATTGGACACTTATATAAGCCCACCATTTTTCATAGACAACTGCTACCTTCAACTGTCTGCTTTTTAAAATAAAATATGGATTGTAATTTTCCCATCACTGTATCGTAGAAACCGAATTGTTTTTTTGATGATATGAACATTTTTTTTTTACAAAATAACTATTAAGTAGTATTAACGCAGCGATACGTTATTAGGTCAGGAAGGTGAGATAATCTGTGCAAAGTCAGATACAAAAGTCCTAATCCGTATAAAGTCTACCAGCGTCTTTTTTCATATTAGTCCATCTCTTTTTCAATGATGGAACAGGCAAAGATCCTTAGACCGTGCAGACTACTCTACCAGCGTCTATTCGACGCTAGGATATTTTTTCATTATAATTATTACAGCATAGTGAATCTATAGTTCTGTACTAATATTACAAATGGATGGTTTGTAAAATTGGATGTTCAGGGTAACTTTTGATACTACAGAACAGATTTTGGAAATCCGTTCAGTGTTGGTTAGTCCAGTTATCGACGAAGGCTCGCTATGTAACATCACGCTACGTCCAATAGAAGCGGAACTGCAATAAATAATGTTGTAAAACAGGATAAATATTAACCATATGAAGTTTCGAATGTCAGCTAGTTTGAAATAAAAATGGAAGTATAGGATAATAGAGCAATGTATTTCATTATAATTTGGTTTCGATAAATGGGTCATGACTGAAGATGTATAATTTTTAAGATATAGTATATTTGTTAATGTTATTGAGACTTTAATAAGAATGTCACAAGCAGCACTCGCTATTGTAACAAGCGTATTTAAACAAACAAATAACATTTTTCCAAACAAATAACAACACGCCCAATTCGTATTGTCTTGTGTATTGATAACATTTCTATTGTATAAACTGTCTACATTACTTTAATGTATTTTAGCAACATTTCCAGCGACGGTGGCGGATTGTTAGCACTGCATCCTTAATTTTTACACTTGACTAAACATGCGATTAATTTATACAGTAAGTGTGTTCACGTGACGTATATATTTTCAATAAATAATATGTCGGATGACTTTGTTTATCGTTTACAAATGTGCGGTATAATACGTTGATAGATACATGAAGCGATTCGACTGGTATTAAATTTTTTTTTGTTACATATTTGGAAGGCTAATTCAAAATTTAATTTGTTCTTAGAAGCTTTTATTACAATTGATTTTAGACTACAATATTTTTTAAGATATAACGTAGGTATATCATAACTTGTTTATCTTTATCCCATAGGGTCGCCTTATTCACGTAACAAAAATACATTGTAAGGATGGAATGAAATGGTATTTATGTTTATATAATAAATTGTATGAAGTTTTGAATAATCTTCCTGAATCATTTATCTGCTTACAGACCTAACTTAGAAATGTAGCAAAAAAGTTTTAACAATCATTATCAAATTGGTTTGTCATTTTATATAATGTTAATTCGTCTAATATATAATCTGTCTACTTTATTGTTTTAAACATTTTATGAGAATTGTTAGAAACTGTGTTAATAATTCAGTTAATAGCGCCGTTTGTACGATTTTATACTGTGATGTTCCTTAAATATGGTCCAATATGCTTCTGACATGATCTTTGTAATCGTATATGTACATATATTGTCTTCTGTTTAAGGTTTACTTATACGATGGTTTATAATCCCCTCTATCTACAGATTATATGTATGAAATGACCTCGTTTAATATGAACATTTTAATATAATGTCATAAACTAGACTGTCTCTCTCAAAATTATAGCGAAATACTAGTCGTAATCTAGTTTAACTTAGGATTTAGTGAAAAAGTTATTTATTTATATGACATACAAACAAACAAATTAAAAATTTTGTTAATCGGTAATAAGGTCTAATAATAACTTCATACTAGATTGTTGTTAACAGTTAGGGTAATTCTTGTCCTCGTAAATAACTATTCAATTAGTTAATTTATGTATTTTTGTTATATAGAACTAACAAGTCAATATTGTATGTGACGAATGTAGCGTTTGTTCTTATTATTCGTCGCGTGAACACACTTGTCGCCGGAGAGTAGACGCTCGAAATTTTTTATAATTAAAAATAAATTGTTTAAAAAAATTTTGAGCGGTGAACTCTGCAATGTGCCCAACTGTGCAGGCTGATGGTCGGGTGATGGGTCGCCGTTTTGTGCTAACATTGGTGATTGGAATATCCGCTGGATTTAGTGTTGCATACATATTTCTAACCTCAACTGGATACCCTCGAGATGTAGTATGGTCAACATACAGGTAATTCTTCCCGCCTATTTTGCATGTTGTTATGCTTTGTGCTATGCATGCATGTTTGTCGCACCGCGTTTGCACCGAATTACCTACATGTTTTATATTTGTATACAATAGTACACATTATATAAACGGGATATTTAATAATAATAATAATTTATTCAGCATATGCAGAGTGAAAATATAAAAAAAACATAAAAGTGTGCTATGTGCAATAGCAGCTTAGCTTTTATGTTTTTTATTATATACTAGCTGCCCCAGCAAACGTTGTTTTGCCATATATGTAAATTAAAATCGCTATTAATTTGAAACATAGGGGTTGGGGATAGACAACCCTTGTCACTTAGAGTATGAAAATAGATAGTAGCCGATTCTCAGACCTACTGAATATGCATATTAAATTTCATAAAAATCGGTCTAGCAATTTCGGTGAATGAGAATGAGAACACGAGAATTCTATATATAAGATTTACTATTATTTAATTATGACTAGCGTCTCCCGCACATCTATTCTAGAAGTCAATTGGATCCAATGATACCAATTTATAAATTTCATATTTCGTGATCTATGAAGAACAGTAGAAAAAAGAACCAAATTAAATAGATATAAAATATTTTTCTTTCTTTTAAGATATTGAGATCCCTCTGATCGGTCCTCCTCCCATTTAATTCAATAGGGTACCGAAGCTACGACGGTCTGAGCCGAGGTTCGAACTCCTAACGCTCAGACTAAAGTCGTATCCGTCAGGAGTTGGCCTTCAGCTGCTCCATGAGTCGTTCCGCGGATTTGGAGTGTACCTACCCTTCGATGAAGCTGCAAAGGCCATTAGAATAGCGGGTTCTGTTCCTCGTACAGTACAAACATTTGTATTCATGAGTATGATTGTATCTATTTGGGTGTTTTCTATGTACCTATATTATGTATGTATGTATTTACAAATTAAAATGTATATAAGTATCTACATCACGCGGTAGCATAACACAAGCCTGCTAAGTATTTACATCAGTGAATGTCTGAGATATTATTATTATTTTACAAGCTGTGCCTGCGGTTTTACCAGATGAATGAATTCTGTTATTCTGATGTGTAGCTATATTACTGTCCGTTTGTCGTAAAGAGTAGTTTGTTACTCTTCCACGCAAAGACGTCGAACGGATATGGATCCGTTCGACGTGAACATGGATGGCCATGTTCACAAACTTTCGCGTTTATAATATTATCATTAAGATTCCAGAATAGATTGATTACAACATCATTAAAATCGGGATCATAAAGGTCAAGGTAAATTCTCATTTATGTAATGTGTACGTATTTTGCGTATTTTTTTTTATGTGCACACTATTTGTGACGATACAAAATTTGTATTTTATTACTCAAATACTACTTGTATGTAACTTAGTGTGTATGGTGCAGGTTTCATTGTTATATTTTATATATATTTTTTTATTTAATAGATTTTGTATTAGTTATAATACGATTAATTGTTATACCTAAATGTAGTGATTACACATGATAAATTTTAAAATTTTTGCGTAATCAATCTTTAAAATAGTGCTTTCTTTTTCTTTTCCTTTCTAGTGATATCTTTATTGTTTATATTACTGAAATGTATTACGTATTAATTATCTTAATTTATTATATTAATTGATCAACGAGGATGAGAAAATGGGGATGAATCATTCGTTAAATGCCAATCATGATCATATTTACATCAAATGACACCGATTGTAAAATTCTAATAAAAAATTTGTAACTTTGAATTAATGTTTTTATCCTAACTTTGAACTGCGGACAAATGCGGATAAAGATTATCTACAAATGAAACCTTAGTGGGCATATATTTTTATATCATTTTAATTAATAATTAATAAGAATAAGAAACTATACAAATGTGATATGAGAAATATGTTTTTGCCCATCTATGGCCCCGTCGACTGCTTGGGCTTTGCGAATATATACATGAGATCCGTAGTCTTATCTTTTATCTACTTAAATAATAAATAAATACCAGTAAGTCTCTTAATCGTATTATCATGTATTAGTATTTTTGAGGGGTTATTCCAAGAGTAATGTTTAATTTCTAGGAACCTTTGGGTGAAAAAAAAATATTAGGCACTGTTAGGAATACTCTATTCGCAGAATTTTATCTGTGGGGATCTTGTTATCATGTAAAGCCTGAAATACCACTTATGTGATGCCATATAGAGATTTCTTCAAGACGGATCACGACCAAGGATATACTGAAATTACCTTTAAATAAATTCAAAACATCTGTGAAATCATATTTACTGAGCAAAGCCTACGACGAGCGTGCATGGCAATAGTTGTTCATGCTTGGGATTTTCATAAAATGTTAGACATAGACACCTATAGAAAACTTATAGTAAACCTAAAGTAAACATTGTAATAACTGCCTTTAAAAACAAAATCAATTGAATTTCTTGCCACTTCTCAATTGAACCTGTATACTCAACTGGACGGTTGGGAAACAACAATAATACAAAATATTTGACGTTCATAAGCGGCTAAAGGGCGTAAATGAATAAATGATTTTTGAATTTGAGTTTGAATTGAAATGGAATTCGACCGGACTTTTAATCTTACGGATAGTAAGAATACACATATCGTATTGCATTTAATAATATTTAACCAGGCCAAGAACGGTCCATGATCGAAGTTATTAAATGCATCCAACTTAGGCTTAGAAGATTTTTTAAAAAGTTTACAGTGGTAAATGTTTTACTTGACAAGTTTAGACATGCTATCCGACTCTAACCATGTATTGACGCTTTACTAATTAGAAATGAGTCTAGTCATCATCTGCTTCTTCCTTATCCCATTTATTAGGGGTCGGCGTAATATGTTTTTCTCTTCCATTCATGCCTGTTCGCAGTCATCTCGTTATTGACTCTCTTTCTTATTCACACAGTCCATCTATCTCATTTTCGGCCTTCCTCTGCCCCTTTAACCATCCACATTCATATACATGTTACTCCTTCCTTAAAATAATTATAAAATTGTTATAAAACAGAAAAATCTTGCAGCCAGTCGAAATGTTCTCATTCTTTATATAATTCCAATCGTATCATTTATTAGTTTGATTTGAATGTTGTTTTTAAATTGGAACATAATATTTTATCATCATCGTCAATTGAATGCAATTGAAGTGCTTTGTAGGACATTTTTATTAGGTACTACTCGGTCCTATAGTGAGAGTTAGACGAATAACTGACATATATATACATATATTTATATATATATATATAATATATTACACATGCCATAAAGTTAATGAGGGAAGGGTGTCGCCAGTGTTATATTGTGTGAACATGTGACATTCTGTTGGAAATTTGAACTATTAATAAATTTTTTAGTATACAAACACTAATGTTAATATTGGCTAATTATGTTATACTAAAATTACTATTACTAATATTTAAATTGCAAACTTTTGTATATTGTTAGAGTACCTGGTGAATTTCGTATAACATATGAACGCCAGAAATTATCTGAACTAGCGAATTCTATATTAAACTAGCTGTCCCGGCAAATGTTGTTTTGCCTTAAAATAAAAAAAAAATTTAGGGGTGGACTACCCCTAACATTTAGGGGAATGAAAAATAGATGTTGGCCGATTCTCAGACCTACTCAATACGCTCACAAAATTTCATGAGAATCGGTCAAGCCGTTTCGGAGGAGTATGGGAACGAAAACTGTGACACGAGAATTTTATATATAAGATTACCCATATATTATTATTGGATTCTTCGACTGAACATTAATTATGATTTTTTTTTCTTAAACCACGCCTGTATTAGCAAACAAAGTAAAAGAATCAAGCAATTTTTGAGTTTTAGCAAGACTAACAAAAAGTAATTGTTTCTTTTGTTGGTCTATACGTAAGTACCTTGTATTTTGGGCCCGAATTTGACTTTATTTTTGTAAAACTGCAATACTCTAGTGAGAGTCCTACTATATGGGTAAAAATTTAAAGCTTTCGAAGTTATCAAAGTACTTACGTATTTATATCTTTACAGCCATTCACGGAATATTGTCTATAGAATAATAGCTATATTTACATATGAAATGATATTTTTATATTAATAGTTAATTAGAATACAGGTATAACAGGTAGCAAGCATGATGTAGACCTATAACTTGTGCAGTGTCCAGTAGAGTTTGATTACAACTGACTTTGTGCTTTAAATCACACACGTTATGGATTATATTCGAAGGTTTTAATTATTTTTGAAAGAAACTAATATTCGCGTACTCGAATTAGGGTCAACGATACCAGTAGAAGTGTTGACTATAGTAGTAATTTCAGGGATTCCGTAAGAGATTTCGACAAGCATCCAATATCGGCCATCATAGAACACGGAAGCGATGAGCCAGCGCACAGGGATGAGGACAGGTCGGTGGCCGACGAGCTGGCGAAGCGAGTCAGGGTCCTCTGTTGGATCATGACCCAGCCGAACAACCATGAGAAGAAGGCTAAGCATGTGAAAGCGACGTGGGGAAAGAGATGCAATAAGTTGATATTTATGAGTTCAACTGAGGGTAAATAACTGTTAAACTATATTCAACGATATTAGACTAGAAAGATCTAATGTTTTTTTAATGGATGATAATGAAATGGTGCACCTGCCTACGGGAACGGTTTACGCTGGCGGAGCACCAGTGAAGGATGATAATATGAGGATGAGGTCAGGTCTGTTATCCCATAGTGACAAATTCACTAGAAATTTATCATGATGGTTTCCAAAATGAACCATGTGAAGGGTAACCTGACATGGTACATTGCTAACAATCCTATTTCCCGCTCCCCTAATCTGGGTTCAATTGTAATATTTTCTATACAATTTAGTTATTAAGCTCTATACGTATTTAGTTATCTACGAACCAAAAACGCGAATTTAATATTGATCCTTGTGTTAAAAATAGAAGAAAAGTGGAGAAGGGTGCGTTTTGGATTTATTACGTTAGTTTAGATTCCATTTCCTATTATTTACTACTAGCTGACCCGCTACTTCATCTGCATCACACTTACTTGACATTTATTTCGCACAATTAACATATCTTTTAAAATTTTAGCTACTGTGTTATTCTGATGTATAAACTACATTACTGTAAAGTTTCATCAAACTCCGTTCCGTTGCGTGAAAGAGTAACAAACATCCATCCATCAACAATCACAAACTTTCGGGTTTATAATATTAGTAAAATATCTACTATCCAAATAACAGATTTACGATGTGTTTTTTCAGACCCAGCGCTGCCCTCTATTAAACTTCCAGTGCATGAAGGAAGGGATTACCTCTGGGCTAAAACGAAGGAGGCATTCCGTTATGTTTACGAACACCATCGACGGGACGCGGACTGGTTCCTCAAGGCTGATGATGATACGTACGTACACTAAATATATCAATCAAATCAAATACTTTTATTCAATGTAGATTACACTCTTATATGTCGAATCTGCCGTCAATTCTTAGTTCTTCTGTGGTTGGGTCTACACATTTTAAACAACAAAAAATATCCCCAAATTTGGCACTACTTTTGTAGGTTATGTTTTTTTTATTTTACCTTATACTTTTATTTTAATTTTATACTTGCCCTAAGAGGCTTCGATCCAGCCATCCGGAGGTTGCTGCCCTCGGTGTCGACTCCGGCACATGTAATTTTTTTTTATGTACGTCACTCTACATGTGATATATATTTATTTAGGTAGATTTTGTACAAAGACGTCTACATGGTTTCGTTTAATTCAGCCGACAAGAAAGTGGGGAAGTAGGGCAGAGATGTTAAAGGCTATATACACGTAATATCTTAGTACTGAAAGGCAGCACATGTAGGTGACACGGGCGTCAAAAGAGTACTTGCTAGTCATGATACTATTTAGGTATACATACGACAGATACACGTACTATCTTAGTACTGCACAATAGCAACAATGTAGGTGACACGGGCGTCAAATGACTACTCGATAGCCATGGTGCTATTCATGTATACATACGACAGTTGAGTCTAGATACACGTAACATCTTAGTACTGCAGAATGGTAGCACATATGGGTGATACGGACGCCCTATGACTACTCGCTAGCCATGGTGCTATTCATTTATACATACGACAGTTGAGGCTAGGTAAACGTACCATCTTAGTACTGCAGAATGGCAACAGGAGTGGGGGACACGGGCGTCAAACGACTACTCGCTAGCCATGGTGCTATTCATGTGTACATACGACACTTAAGGGTAGATACATGTAATATCTTAGAACTGCAGAATGGTAGCACATGTGGGTGATACGGACGCCATATTACTCGCTAGCCATGGTGCTATTCATTTATACATACGAGAGTTGAGTCTAGATATACAACATCTTAGTAACAGAATGGCAACACGAGTGGGGGATACGTCAAACGACTGCAGCCATGGTGCTATTCATGTGTACATACGACACTTAAGGGTAGATACATGTAATATCTTAGAACTGCACAATGGTAGCAATGTAGGTGACACGGGCGTCAAATGACTACTCGATAGCCATGGTGCTATTCATGTATACATACGACAGTTGAGTCTAGATACACGTAACATCTTAGTACTGCAGAATGACAACACGAGTGGTGGACACGGGCGCCAAACGACTACTCGCTAGCCATGGTGCTTTTCATGTATATATTCAATAGTTACCACTTACCATAAGCTGATCTGTCTGTCTGTCTGTAATCTGTCGGTTTTGTTTACCATTCCAGTTAAATATTAAAATACTCATAATATAGAAATAGCTAAATGATAATTATTTTGCAATTTGACCGCAGTGTGGTTGAACATGAACTGATTGATAACAGTTAATTATACTCACGCCCACAATACAATGTCACAACGAATTTGTATTAAAATTTATGACTATTGAATTATAAGATAATATATATATATACATATAAATAAAATTGGAGTGTCTGTTTGTAATATTGAAATTACAATTTTTTACTACATGCATATGAATATAAATAAGGTACACAATAACAATTTTTGTCTGTCTGTCTATTTGTTCCGGCTAATCTCTGAAATGGCTGGACCGATTTTGACGGGACTTTCTCGGCAGGTAGTTGATGTAATCAGGAGTAACTTGGCTATTTTTATTTTAGAAAAATAAAGTCAAATAAATGATAAATGTCAAGTAAGTGTGATGCAGACGAAATTAGGGCGGATTAACTTGTATAATATATGCGAGGACTTTTTACCTTCATTTTTATCGTTAACGGTAGTTGGGAAAAGCATCGACTAAAAATTCTTGGAACAATGTAGCGCTGAATTCCAGCGTAAGATTTAATAGAGTATTGCCATATTTTTTTTTATTGACTGATCCAGCTTTATCTTTTGCTTTTCTTGCGCTATTTGCCTGGAAGAAATCGCATTTCAACGATAAGGCCGCCCATTGTTGCCTCTTTCCTTTGTTAATGCTGTATGTTTATACATATTTATATATTAATAGTGTATATAAATGTTTGTTTGTATTCTGTGAGGAGAACAATAAAGAATTATCATTTTCTTTTTTTTATTGAAGGTTTTGATACTGTATATCTGTGTGTGTGTGTAGATCTATAATACATACTTTGTCCCTTTCGATCAAACTATTTTCTTTATCTGAGAAAACAGGACGAAACCATGACTAAGTGAATAAAAAAATAATAATGTTAGCACATTTTTTGAAGCCTTCCCGTCTAATTTACGAAACAATTTCAGCGAACACAATGTTTTGTCAAAGGCTTCACCTAAAGGGAGATACATACTAATTATGTCAATATTGAAATGAGTTGACATTGCGCATAATATATTTATTATTCAACAAACAAAACACTATTAGCATTTAAAAAGCATTGTTAACCAGTATTTTGCACGGTCGCGACTGCAATTTAATGCTTTTGTTAGTTCAAATGAGGCGACTAAACAACCTTCACGCCTTAAAACATGGCCGGGCTTGTCGAAACGTAATGGGAAATTTTTTTACGAATATATAGAAATTTTATTGAATCTGGTACAATATTGCAGAAGTTACTTGAAATAGAATTATTTCCTTTATCTTATTGGCATCTGCGGGAATAATACAATGTCTGGATACACACATACACACAATGCGTGAATGAAGGCTAATATTTCCATACACACAACTAGTTGACTTGGGGGAAGGGGATTGAGTAATGTGGACTGATGACCCCATTGCTAACAATATACCACGTCGAGTTGATGTCCTCGTTCCCCCTGGAAACCATCGTGATACATTTCTAGTGAATTTGCCACGATGGGCTGACTGACCTAACTTCATTATTATCATATCATCCTCCACTGGTGTCCCGCCAGCGTAAACCCTGAGCGCAGGCGGGTGCAACATATATTAAAGAATATAGTTGACAAGAACACTATCTAAGAAATAATTTAAGTTTTCTTCGATCTAGTTTGTCCACAAACTAGATCAATAAAATTCATTCAATAAAATTGTAAACATAAGGAAAAAGGAGTCAAGAAAATGTCTGAAATACGTTATTAGCTATTATTAGCGAGATAAAGGTTGACTGTTCCATTAGCATTATATTAGCACGCAGTCGAGTTTATATATCTTATATGTATGAATAGAAAAAATTACGGGATCTTACCACGTTTTGTTTATTTTTACTAAGTTCCCAATATATAGGTATAGTTTGCCGATGAATATCGAGCGAGTTTCAATAGTAGCAACAAACGAAGACGTGAGAAGGTAGACGAATAAGTCTGTCCATAATTTTATATATAATTTTATTTACCTGGTGGTAAATAAAATTATGGACAGTTACCCGCTGCTCTTCAGTTTACCCGTGATCGTGGCGGTTGAAACACTACCGAAATATTGGGAATTCAATAAAGATAAATGAAATGTGGTAAGGTCGTAAATGTTGTATGTATAAAAAATAACAGCGTCAAATGTAAAACAATATATAAAATCACCTTTCTCTGCAGATATGTGGTGATGGAGAACTTGAGGTACATGCTCGCAGACTACGACACCAACGAGCCTATATACTTCGGGTGCCGTTTCAAACCCTTCACTCCACAGGTTCGATATTTTTGTTTCTAATGCAATTGGAATGAAATACAGGATGATACCCATCTGATGGTAAGTGACAACCGTCGCAATAGATAAGTACCATAATAAGGCCACGGATATTACGTCATCATGTAACGTCGGTGGTACACAACAGGCGTTGCTATTCCAGGACTAAGATCTGTTCCCTCCGTACCATTTTTGACGATCTCGGTGGTCTAGCGGTGTAGCAAACCGCTTCACTTCCGGTGATCGCGGGTTCGAATCCTCGCATTTGTATTTGTATTCAAGAGCATGATTGTTTGTATCGGTCTGGGTGTTTTCTAAGTATATTATATTGTATTTACAAAAAAAATATCGCGAGTAGTATATTAGTTGCCTGGTACCCATAACACAAGAATAGAATAGAATACAAAATCATTTATTCAAATAAACTTACATTGAAGCACTTTTGAACAGTCATTTTTTTAATCTACCGCTCATTCGGAAAGCTGTCTCATCACAAGAAGAACGAGCAAGAAACTTGCGTGTTGCTCTTTTAAATAATTTTATTATTACTTTACATTAGCACTAATTCAATTAATTACTCAAATAGAAAAAAAAATTAATATATATCCGACTGGTTAAACAATTAATAAGAGGAAATCAGTCATAGTGACAAGCTCTGCTTACCGTGGTATTATGTTAACAGTTCATGGTTATTGTAATTTATTTAATTCCATCACATCCAGTATGGGCTGCTGGCATATTGTCTACCATTCTTTTTATGAAGTTTGTATTTTTGATATCTATTTTTTATATGTCACTTTTGACTATTTGTTATCTTCTTTGCTGTGTCCTTTTGGGAAATATACACAATCATTACTATTATTATAATTTTTAATAAAATAGTCGTTGTGTTCCCGCTCCATTCACAGTACGTGTTTATTTCCAGGGTTATATGAGCGGTGGTGCTGGCTACGTGCTGAGTCGGGAGGCGCTCGATAGATTCGTGAACAAGGCGCTACCCTCGCCGCATTTATGCAAAGCTAGCGATCACGGTGCAGAAGATGCTGAGATGGGTATGACTATTGTTTTACCTCTTTTTAATGTAATTGGAACGGCAAAGAATTTGAAATAAATATCATAATACAGAGTAAAATATAGAAAAAAAAGTTATTATAACGCTATGAGCTGAAAGGGTACTTTACTACTCTACTTTACTCAATTGGTGCCGCAGCATGTCACTGCAGTTCCGATATTCAGTATATACCTGATTTTCCCATCTGCAACCGTAGCCGCTAGCCGAGGATGATAAGATGAGCATGAGGTCAGGTCACTTAGCACATTGTGGTAAATTCATCATGAATTTATCACGATTGTTTCCAGGGCAACCTGACATGGTACATTGTTATCAAAGAGGTAAATAGTCCACATTACTGACGATTCTTTCCCCCTGTCCTGAGATATTTATTATATTAACTGTAAATGGTACTACTTAGTTGTTCACTACTCGACTATCAAGACCTAGTGTCCTCTCAAATGTATTCTCTCCCCAGTAGTCGCTATTGCCCTACCATCAATGTGACATGGCATGCCATAGACTAGCCATACGCACAGGTATTCATTCTAGAAAGGTAGTCTGGAGAATATGGCGCTGCTATCTACACGGCATAACATAGTGGCGCCCTCTATTAACTTTCTTACGATAGCGGCAACAACTCGCATTTTATTCCATTATTAAGGTAGTGTTTATAGCAAATCATGACAATATTATGTTATATTTTTACAGGAAAATGTTTAGACAAGATTGGCGTAAAGGCAATGGACTCCCGAGATACGTTGCAGCGGGGTAGATTCTTCCCTTTTGTACCGAGGGACCATTTGTTCCCTAACAAGGACAAAGGGTTCTGGTACTGGCAGTATATATACTACCCAAGTGACGAGGTCAGTAATTATATTATTATACTAGCTGTAACCGCGATTTCGTCCGAGTGGAATTTAACTTTATTTTTCTAAAAGTTACTCCTTATTACATCGGCTACCTGCCAAAAATGTCCCGTCAAAATCGGTCCAGCCATTTCAGAGATTAGCCGGAACAAACAGACAGACAGACAAAAATTGTAAAAAATGTTATTTTGTTATATGTACCGTATATATATTCATATGCATGTAGTAAAAAAAATGGTTATTTCAATATTACAAACAGACACTCCAATTTTATTTATATGTATAGAGAGCTTCAAATTTCATCTTATACACATATACGTATATATTTGACATACTCACACATTACGTATTTTGCATACATATCAAATGCAGGTAAAGGTAATAAAAAATATATTATAGCTCTATGTATATGTCACAGTTACTTGCTGCTTACATTGTTTTGTGTTGTGTATGTATATATAGCATGTTATGCATGAATGTATGTATATATAGGTATTTCCTGTTTATATGTATGTAATTTGTAATGTTCATTATTATTGATTATTAATGTTAGTCCCATTATTATTATCATATTTTTTTACCATTCTATTCTAGCGCCACCTACCTTTTGTCTTTTCTCCTCTACCCAAAGATTGTCTGGAAGAGATTGCATAAGCGATAAGACCGCCTTTTGTACCTTATTACTCTGTTAATTTAGATTTTTGTAATTTATCTGGTGCAATAAAGTATTTATTTTATTTATTTATCCTTTATTGCACTACTACTTACATCTAAAATAATGTACAATTGACTGTACTGAGCTTAATGCCATATGGCATTCTCTACCAGCTGGTATAAATATAGTATTTTTACACCTAAAGAAAAAATAATTAAAAATTTGTTTTCATTGTTTAATCGTTGAAAAAGAATTTCTTAGAAAACTGACAAAGAATACAATATTCTGTATTTATATTAAAACTTGAGGTAGCCTGCGTAGGTGTGCGTGGGTCTCAAGATTGGGTAAAAACAGAAAGCGGTTGAAGGGCAGTAATGGGAAAATGGCTTTCAATTTGTATTTACATACTTGCTATAACATGTACTACATATATATCTATATATACTACATATATATCTATATACTAGCTGTCCCGGCAAACGTTGTTTTGCCATATAAATTAATAACGCTATAAAAAAATAGGGATTGATGATAGATGGGTGAAAATTTAGGATTGTATGTATTTTTGTTTGTTGTATCATAGAAAAATAGAAACTAAAAATTTTGTCTAAAAAATTAAAATTAAAATTTAGGGGTAGACTACCCCTAACATTTAGGGGGATGAAAAATCGATTTTGGCCGATTCTCAGACCTACTCAATACGCTCACAAAATTTCATGAGAATCGGTCAAGCCGTTTCGGAGGAGTATGGGAACGAAAACTGTGACACGACGACAATTTTATATATAAGATATATATATATATACACAAAAATATAAATAAATAAATAGTTAATATGTTTTCTACTTATATTCAGGGATTGGACTGCTGTTCAGATCACGCGGTATCATTCCACTACGTGAGTCCAGAGGAAATGTACGTGATGGACTATCTCATATACCATCTGCGGCCGTACGGTATCAAATACGGTGGCGGTGAGTTGCCGAAGATACTCAAAAATTATACTAAAGATATTAATGTTACATAGTAATAACAGAAGAAATATATTCTGTAACTTGGTTCCAATGTTGGCGCCAATATTGCCATTCCATGTAGATATAATTAAAAATGATATATTAATTGATACAAACTTTTCCTACGTTTTGTTTCAATTAATATGTATTTGGAAACCAAAAATGATACTAAGGACATTAAAGTCCTATAGTAATTAGATATTAATATATTCCATAACTTTGTTCCAATATTGGCGCCAATATTGCCCTTCCATGGTAGGTGTTAATATATATAATAAATAATATATTAATTGAAACAAAACTTTACCTACGTCTTATTTCAATTAATATATTTACATTTTGTACCAAAAATTATACTAAGGAGGACATTAATGTCACATAGTAATTAGATAACATATTCCATAACTTGGTTCCAATGTTGGCGCCAATGTTGATATGTATATATATACAGGTGTTTATATGGATCGTTAAAAATGATATATTAATTTAAACAAAACGTAGGAATTTAATACAATAGTAAAATATTATTTTACTAAGTAAACAACAACGCTTCTAAATCGTGTATACATAAATGTATTATATACACCTGATAACATCTGGCGCTGTTAATGTCATGGCATCACCATATTTTATTTCAATAGAGTAAAAAATAAATAAAAAAGGTTTTATGAAAACTAATACAAACACTAAATTAAATTTTAAAATCCATTTATTGATCATTTTCATCGAAGTCTTTGGAAAAGAGTATATTTTACAACATTCCGAATGCTATTCCAATATAAAACTATTTCTCAATCGTTAATTATTATCCTTACTAATGTTATAAATGCGAAAGTAACTCTGTCTGTCTGTCTCGCTTTCATGCCAAAACGACTGCGCCGATTTAAATTACATTTAGTACACAGTCTAGACCCTAAGAAGCGGCATAGGCTACTTTTGAATGCGAAAATAGGGTTGTAAGGGGTTGAAAGGGGAGAAGAAAGTTTGTATGATAGTATTGTTATTTTTAAAGCTAGAAGTTTGAGACTTATTTTCTAGGATTTGATTGAATATAAATAAGTACGACATTCAAAGTTTGTATAAATGTTGCCCTTCAAAATAAATCTTATAAATGTTGCTGCCCGTGGGTAAAATAAAATAGGGGATGAAAGTTTGTATGGAAAAATCGTCATTTTCGAAACTATAATGATAAACTTTTCTTTGGTTTATTGAATATATTTTCTTTATTTGGTCAAGGTCACTACAACATGCGGACCAAGTCGCAGGCACAGCTAGTTCTTTAGAAATATTACAGTTCAGCTTCAGAAGTATTATCTTTTTAATGTACTTTAAAGAATGTACTTATGGAGTTTGAAATTTTTTATTTTGATAACTATCATCCACGGTGCTGCTCACGTGGAACCCGACGCACAGTGGGAACTTTGACTCATTTTCATCTCATAAATCTATAACTTCCGTATTAATAAAGATATGTACATGATTTTTTTTCCTGATAATCTTAAATATATATGCTTTGTGAGTAAAAATATATTTCTAATAGTTATAAACATCATTAATTTCTAGAAGTCTGGCTGAAGTGTGATCCAAAAGATCTTGCAGTTTGATTTCTGCTTTAACATTAGTAATTTCTATATATGATTTTGGCGGATAGCACGATTCTTTAGCTTCACGAATCAACTTGTATGATGGAAACAAGCAATTCTATCAAACAACTCCTCATATTTTCATACTGTGCCTTGTTCAGATCAAATTCCAAAAAAATGCTAAAAGCTTCATCTTTTGTATATGCTGTTATATGTGCCGGTTCATTAAGAAGATTACTGCGCATTTCACTCTTTTTTTCTGCCGGCAATGCTCTTAAAATATGAACGATGAATGCTCCATCTACATCACCACGTGACCTTAAACCCTGTACGTATGAGTTCAGTATAAAATCAAGTCCACAGGTATCAAGCAATCCCTTGTTTTTCCGTTTCTTTGTACTCTCCGAAGACAGTTGTCTTCGTACGTTTTGGAAGGTTTTCCTCTTTTCTCTGTCTAAGTAGAAGGTTCAGGTTCGCAAGTAGTATTTTCTAGATTTACAGTGAAAATGCCATCCAGCCAATTGCTATTTTGATTTAAAAACTGTTCTTTCTTACAACCACATTTCGTATAGCGTTGACGAAACTGAGTTATGAAAGACTTCTGAATACTTGCGATAATTTTTGCTATATTCGCATCTGAAGATTCGGTAAAATTATTTCGTATATAGGTTGAGATAGAATCAACATAATCGCTTCAAAATCCGTTGCGTAGTTTTAAAGATTTAAGCATACATAGGGACGGACAGACAGCGACTGCGACTTTGTTTTATTCTATGTAATGATATTCATTCTTCATATATATTTCTTTATATGTATATATTGGAATAGCATACAAATTTAATGTGATATAACGATTACAGTAATTCTAATGATTAGTTTTTTTATAGCCAATGTATGACCCTCTATTTATTTGAGTGCCTGCAATAGTTTTTTTTAATAGGTCCTTGAATATTAATTGTAAAGAACTCGCGAATGGTTTATTATCTGCCATAGAGAAAGTGGTATAGAGCATAATATATTTAAATAAATTATTTTAGATTTAAAATGTTATAGATAGCTTCAATATGTCACTTTAGGCTGGCTTGAAAGTTAACATGTATATGTGGTTTTTTACATATATAATGTATACATATAGAAATAATATATTTGATTATACATATACTTGCTGCGTGATTTGTCCATATTTATTTAATACTATTATTCGTTTAGTTCTTATCTGACTTATTGGTTTATATGTATTAGTATAACATAAAATCATTATAATCTTTTTAATCATTAATTTGTAAAGTTTTTATTATCCTGAATGAAAATTCTATTATTAATCAATAATGATTCGTAATCCATAATTACATAAACGAGATATTTACTATGACAATATTATGAGTTCCCTGTGAAAAAAATATCAAAAGAGTTAGAGTTACATAGACTTATTTATTATTTTCATTATTGTCACGCTGGTTTTTTTTAAAGATTTATTGTACTATTTTTACACCTGCCTAACCTATACTTATATTTTTCATTATGGTACGGTAGATTCGATATATCATAAGAGTCTATAACAGATCTACATGAATAAAGATATTTTGCTTAAATATAAAAGAAAAAGGTCGATATTTATTACAAAATCTTTTTAAAATTTTCTATTACTCGGTACTTAACCCATAGTATAAAGCTTTGCTTTATAAATTGTCTTATTATCATTCACTTTTTATTTTTGCACATTATTATTGTTGATTATTATAAATAAATAGATTTTAATGTAATCATTAATAGATTTTAATTGGCCTAATAAATAGTTACGTATAAACTTTCGTGTTTATGTTGGTAACCGGGTCTTAACACGAATAATGTTTATGTTTATGGTAAATCGAGCGAGAGGTAAATACCTTTATTTACCATAAAATTATTCGTATTAGGACCCGGTTAACAATATAGATAAGGCCTAATGAATTTCTATTCCAGTCTTAATAGTGACATTTTGAATTCTAGAATAATATAAGACATTAATTATTTTTTAACTTTCGTGTTTAATATACATTATTTATATTATTAACCGGGTCTTAACACGAACTAATTTATTAAAATTATCATCTGCGTGGAATCCAGTCATAAATTAATTCAAGCAAAGTTCAGTAGCATCAATAGTCTATAAGTGTAGGGATACCGTGAGTGTATAATATAGTATCGCTAACTTTCGTTGAACAATCTAGTGGTGGTAGTGAAAAAACTGCTGTCCCCTATCTACATTGACATCGCTGTTACTCCAGTCAGCTCGTGACAACGGCTCACTAGCCGACTGGAGGACTCACTGACTGGAGGTTGCACTCAACCTAGTCGAAATGTCGAGAGGGGTAAATACCTTTATTTGCAATAAAATTAGTTCGTTTTAAGACCCGGTTAAAATATAAATAATGTATATAAGACATTATTTTTATTCAGGGTTGAATATCACTTATCGATAATAAATATCAATAGACAATATTATTATATACCTAGTATCAATTATTTATTCATAAAAATGTTTTTCTTTAATATATGTAAATAATTGTAATTTATTTGTAATATAATTAAACTATACATTACATTAGATTTTAAGTTAAAATTATCATTACAAGTAGTGTAAGATTTCTTGCCATTTTTAGAGTCAATATATATTAAATGAATGGTTAATTATATGTATCAATTCCAAAAGTTATTGGGCATCTTATTATGAAATCTATAACATTTGTTAACTGCATCAGATTTTGCCCAATGACCTTTATTTAACTATTATATATTAGAAATACAAAACAAGAAAGACTATGACATTCCATTTCTTTTTAGTTATAAATATTATATACGAAGGTGAATGAACATAGTGAATTCTATATTATAAAGTTGATTGTGTAACTTTATGGTTGAATACAAAAGTTGATTGAGGTTTTAATGAAAATTACTTCTATAACAATTCGTGTAGAACAGTGTTTCCCAACGTGTTCCACGCCCCACGATACAATTCGGAAACGGACTCGACACGAGTTTAACCTTTTCACTCCGAGACATTTAAATCCAATACTAGTTTACAGTACCGATATTTAATCAAAAAAAGAAAATTCTTAAATAATGTTTTATTGCTAAATTAAAATAATAAATTGATATAGAAAAATCTTTATTTTAAATTAATTGGAATTTATATTCAGTTTTTCATTATATGTTTTAAAAAACTTACTGTGTTTCATTAATAATTGCCTAGTGATTTGTTCCTAAAACATGTCATTTAAGTTTCTTAAGTGAACAATTCATTTTTTTTATATTAAATATTATGTATTGAGGGCTGGGGGGCATAAGAATTTTAGAACAGCTAATGTGCATGGGGCATGGCACACAAAAGGTTGGAAAACGCTGATCTCCGATTTTTAGGATTTGTTGAAAATATCATACAACTTGATGAACTTGATGATAACATTAGACTTTTTAATTATTTAACTTTTAAATAAATCCTTTTTGCAATCATATCATTTGTATGTAACTTCACATGTAATTAGATTTTTGGATAAGTATCAAAATTATTAAAATAAATAAAACAAGGAGATTATGTTTTGGCTGTTTTAATAGTAATTGTTAGGCTGATAAATGCGCGTAAATAAATGCAAAATGTAAATAAGCGTTTATATAAAATATTACACACCAGCGTACATTTAAAAATGTTAAACGTCTAACCGATTTATTTACTATTCCACTGTGTTGTTCTGCTCTTTCATAATTTTTCGTCATTTGCTAGAATGCGACAAAAAATCTTGTTTAGTTAAAAAAACTGTAGAAGGTTTTAGTTTTTAATAACAATTATCTAAGAAGATTAATAATGATGCATATATGTAAAATATAGTGGTTAGTTCGCTATACAATATGTTTTGAATAAAGAATAAAGAAAGATTGTTTATTATATAGTTTGAATAAAGTATTCTTTATTCAAATTATATATATCATAAATGTTTATTGTATAGGTATGCTTATTAGTTATTAATATGATTTTAACATGAATAATTTTACTGTAAACTAAGGTACATCTCCCGCTATTTGAACAAGGTTGCACTAGTTGTCTTGACACATGGCTGTATTCCAGTCAGCTCATGACCACGGTTAGTGGAACCGTTTTTTTGGCGATAGGAAAATCTTCATAGTCCCATCCGGCTTAGGTGCCGATGGATACGAATAAAAACCTTATATTTCTCCTCGAATCATAATGCCCGGGTCAAACTGGGGTCTTAGCGCATTGGCCCAAACCTCGGTATGGTTCCCAACCCAAAAGGCGAGCTGAGAATATACTCTCCACGCCATTTCCAGACCCTAATGTCTTCCCCGTAGGCTTCGGATGGCTCTAACCGTCCTCCACCCCAGGGTCGATTTAGTTGATGCCCACACTGTTTTAAGTCAGCTGTTCGCTGCTAGTGGAAGCCTAAACTGAAGCCTAACATAAAATTATTCGTGTTAAGACCATAATACAATTGACTATAATAATAATATACTAGTCTTCAATTGAGAACTACATTACCAAAGAATCTCATTAAGTTAACAATAATAAAGTATAACTAACAAATAATACCACATTTCCACTAAAATATGCTGTAAACCCGCTGTTTTTGTCTGTCTGTTCTCTGCTTACTTAAACTATGAAATATGTTTTGTCTCATGATTTTATGGAGAGGGTCGGCAAAGTGTGACGTGTGTCAAAGGGTTCTATATCTGAAACACACTTCTTAGCATTCCATAGCACCGTGCGGGTGCCGGGTCCATCATGTGGAAGAGAGGGAAACTCCGAACAGTTCCCGGGACTTGTGACCTGGGTGTCCGAGTCACAAGTCCCTTGCTCACGTATGTCAACACTCACCTTCACCGATGTTTCTCTCCCTGTCACATGATGTTATATTTGAAAACACGAAATTAAAACTGACGGGGATCAGAAGGGGACGAGTGATCGATTGGAGGGGGACGGGGGATCGATCGGAGGCGAACGGGGATTGATCAGAGAGGGCCCCGTCCCTCGATTTGTTCGATCTGAAAGAACGTTATCGATGAGGGATGAGGGAATTTATCGATGACCCCTCTTTATAGGAACTGTCCTATAAAGAATGACGCAGGGACGTAGTCTATTATTGATTATTGTTTTTCCTTATTGTAATTGTTTTAAATCTAGTCTAAGTTAGAGAAATGATGTACAAAGCCCTAAAATATTCGTACATCTTTAGCTTTATGTCTAGGTAATATTACAATGGATAGTGCAGATTAGAATTTAAGTAGTGATTTTATATATAAACAAGTTTGGATATAAGCGAATTTGCATTTTGTATTTCAGTTTTTATTTAGGCATATATATATATATAAGTTTTATTTTGTTATATTATTTGATTCGATGAGTCTGTTTAAAATAATTATTTGTTTTTATTTGCTCAGTTCCTTTTACACGAATAAATATTGTGATTTGGAAAATTATACTGTTTTTCATTTTCTCTGAATGTTGTCTACAAAATGTACCTAGAGATTAGTAAAATGAGTTAGGAAACTAAGAGATACGAGTGACCTAAAGCCTAAAAGTTGTAAATGGTATATAACAGCATTTTTTTTCTACAATCATTTCGAATCTGTTTCGCAATTTCTAAAATATTTTTTAATATGGACAGGCACACATTGCCATCTAGTCCTAAGCTAAGCAGACCTTGTGATTTATGGGTACTAGAGAACTGATAAATACATATATCCATTAAAAAAATGTAGGCCCCTAGGAGTGGATAAACTTCTTAACGGCCCGAGAATAAGTCGCTCTAATAACCATGTGAAGGCTGGTGAGACGGTACGCCGTGATTTGTTTTTGTAGTATTTTGTACTGTTACTCTTCACTTCCCCCGTCCAATACCAACGGGGACCGATGTTACGACGGCTTGAGCCGAGGTTCGAACCCCTAGCGGTGCCCTCAAACTAAAGTCGTATCTGTCAGGCGGGAGTTGGCCTTCAGCCGCTCCATAAGTACGTCCGTAAACTTCCGCGAGTTTGCAGTGCCATGTGCACTCGCCCCCTATCGTCCGGTGAAGCTGTAAAGGCCAGCTGCGGCCAACAGCAGTAGAGTAATCCGAAAAAAAAACTCCACTTCGACATATCAGTGACAATGATTTTGTTTTCAGCTGTCTAGAAATAATTTGGACGATGGATATGGCTACGAGGATAAGTGATACTTATCCTCATAGACGCGTTTAACGCGGCGTCAGTAAGTAAAAATGCTGCCTGCCCATCTGGACAGATTTTTCACTAGTTTATCGGAACCGTCCAAAATTGGCGACTGTTAGGTATTTTTTGCAAACTCGTGGATCTCATCGAGCGTATCTTATGAGAGTATGGGGGTGGACCACCAAAAAAGTGTAGCGTGCCTTCGCGGGGCCCCATATAAAAAATTCTTGGGGCCCTAATGAAGGGTAAAAAAATCGTGAGTGTGTAATGCGAACGACGTTTTTATTTTTCGCCATTGTATTATACATATATTTTTCCACCAATCATTTGAGAACTAAGATTAAATTCTGTGCTAATATATTCTATATCAGAAATATAAAAAGTTGGCCGGAAGGGGTAGTATTAGGGGGCGGCACATTTTAGTTTTTGATCGCGCATCGAATAAAACGAAGCACCTTTATTATTCGACACATACAATTTCGAAGAAAATCAGAAAATATTACCCTGCAGCAATCTTTACCATTTATCTTATTTTTGTCGTTTATCTTCACCCATTATTTTTTTAATTCTACTTATAGCATTATGAACTATTTATAACAGACTAGCTCTATCCGCGACTTCGCGTAAAATTTGGACCTTGACCAAATAATAAATAAATATTTAAAGACCAATCCAATAAAAGCCAAATAAAAAAGATTCATAATTTTAGCTTCAAAAATGACGATACATAATTCCATACAATTCAATCAACAGCCTAAAAAATAAGCTTCAAGCATATAGCTTTGAAAGTGACGCCACTTCCATACAATCTTTCATCTCTCTTTTATAACAGGTTAAAAATATACCTAATATAGATTATATTAGGTATATTTTTAACCTGTTAATTCTCTATTACACACTCAATTTAGTATTTATATTTGACATATTACGTGTAACCATTATCCTTGCCGATTATTACTCATTCAATACATAAAGATCTGAATTTCGTATTCGCCAACATTTTCAATTAGATAACTGTAGATTATTTTAATAAATAACAATTACTAGTCCCTGTCTAACTGTCCCCAGCACTAACTAGAAACAATGACTATGCACTAAAGCCAGTGTTTCTGCTTGAATTCTATTGATAAAGCCGCTAATCTCTAACGATTAATAATCCCCTCCCCTTTTAGATATTAAGGCATATATCCAATTGGTTATTGATAAATTAAATCAATACTACAGACATAACCAATTTACATGTATTCAAGATTAATTGCGTAAACACATTGTGGTCGAAAACTACTCGAATTACGTCCGAATAATATTTTGTTTAAAAAAAATGTACCCAACTAGCCAGACTGATGGTCGGGTGATGGGTCGCCGTTTTATGTTAACATTGGTGATTGGAATATCCGCTGGATTTAGTGTTGCATACATATTGTTTACGTCTGCTGGATACACTCAAGATGAAGTATGGACGTCTCACAGGTAACAACTTAACTTATCTTATAATATCCAAATGTTTTTGTAGCACTATCTTTGGTCGAGTTTGCCGAATCTGTATTGCGATTCGAACTGGCGGGAATCACGAAAATTAAATGTATGTTGTGAATTCGGTTTTTACCAAAAATAATACTAAATATTCCAATAATTAAGTTGGTTTTAAGTTTTTGTACATAGGAAATAGTGCAACATTAGTGACCCGGGATAATTGCCCTCGTAGAAAAAGGCGGGGCTAAAGAGATTGCCCCGAGGCCCCACGTATATCCTCCTTGCTGGGAAAAGAAGGATAGTCCTTGAAGAATTTCTTCAGTAACATTTTTAGTATGTTGTGGCATAGAATATCTAATAGTGGGTACTCTGAAAAATTGATCAACTAAATTAGTTGAGTTACTATAATCATAAGAAAAACAAGCTTTAAAAATAAATAAGAAAATGTCAGTAATGGTATGTAATATTATCTTATCTGTGGTAATAATGACTAAACTTTGGATATAAATATATATTTAAATTAGTTTCTAGTACAACTAGTAATATATATCCGTCCCTATTTTTCAATAAGTGATATCATGTTTATATTATCGTGTTTATTATTATTTTTTTTTTATACTACGATGGTGGCAATCAAGCATACGGCTCATCTTTTTTATTTGGTAGTTATTTCTCAAAAACTTATTTTCTGTAAATATTATTAGGTATATTAAAAAAGACGGAACGACGAATTTCCGTTTCGCCTCGACGCGACGCCACTACATAAAACCGTGTAGGTAGTTAAACTTCGTTGAACGAATTACAAATTAAATCAATAAAGCTTAACCACAGCCGGGCTTTCAGGGATTCCGTAAGAGATTTCGACAAGCATCCAATATCGGCCATCATAGACCACGGAAGCGATGAGCCAGCGCACAGGGATGAGGACAGGTCGGTGGCCGACGAGCTGGCGAAGCGAGTCAGGGTCCTCTGTTGGATCATGACTCAGCCGAGCAACCATGAGAAGAAGGCGAAGCACGTCAAGGCGACGTGGGGAAAGAGATGCAATAAGTTGATATTTATGAGTACTGATGAAGGTTAGTTTTTATTTAATATCGTGCTCGCAAATTGTTAGTTTCCGACAGGGACCCCAGCCGTAAGAAAATCCTCGAAAAGGGAGTAACCTAGGCAACCGGGAGGTGATTCCACTTACAAGAAAGTCCCAAAAAGCTCCTCCTGCGCATTCTCAAGAGATGAGGGTTAAGCCCAGGGCCATCTTTCACCTATTAGAGGCCCTGGGCACATTAGGATAAGGGGGTAAATAATTTTAAAAAGTCGTTATGGGATGAGGGGTTCGAGACATTTATATATAACGTATATAATATATAATAAAAACGAACAATCCATAGTTGGTAAGCATTTGTTAAAACTGATTTTCAGGCGACAGTAGAGTAGTTATCGTTTATCGTTTGGTAATAGGGTAGGGACTAGACTAGACTAGGTGGCCCCAATCCATCGCGGGCACGTGCCCAGTGTGCCCAGTCGGGAAGAGGGGCCTGGTTAAGCCCCAAAACATAGCAGAAGGGCATAGCATAGCAATACCCATACACTAAAGCGGGGCAACCTCGCTGGAGTCGCGATGGACTATCATTGCGATCCCATGACTCTCCCTCAATATGCGCTTCGTCGGGATACCTTGAAGATTTCTTTTTTTAATTTACCTCTCATTAGGAAAGCTATCTCATCACGAGAAGAACAAGTAAGAAACTCGCGTGTTGTTCTTTTATTTATTTTGACTAATTGTTGAATCTTTACGTTTTTAAATGTGTGAATACAAACTACCAACTAGCACTAATTCACACAGTAGTCTCACAGTGCTACTTGCCTCCTCCGAGGCGGAGTGCCTCCCCTGATGGATTTTCTTTAAGGAAAAGGTTCTAACCTAGGCGAGTTAGTCAACTACAATTCAGGCAATTATTATACGATTAAGTTTGATAACGTATGACTCGTGTATATGAATAATACGGTTGTGTGATTGTTTTGTGACTCGGCTATATCATCATAGATAGTCATCCTATCATATGACTCGCCTATATATGACTGAGCAAGATATCCTTATCAAGGCCTTCGTGTTGATGCAACTAGTGGAATATTGAGGGATTCGTATTGGATAAGATTCCAATAATCCTTCAGCGTCCGCCCCCCTGATGGATCCTCTATTGAAAATTTTCCCCCCAGAAAAGAAGGTTATCAATAACTATACCATATTGTTTTATGTTTCTAGGATATTCCTATGTTACCTTTGGAGTAGCTATATATCCTTCCGATTCGAACTTTCTACTTCAAGAATAACATCAAATTCAATTCTTACAAAGCATGATTTACTGTTGTTTGACGAGTTTGACGAGCTTGGTGGTCTAGCGGTCGCTAGTTCGATTCGGTCGAGCAAACATTTATATTCATAAGTATATTTGTTTGTATCGGTCTGAGTGTTATGTATATATATATATGTATTAGATATATATTTTAATAAAATGTATTTAAGTATTTCTAAGAGTTGTCTAATACTCATAACACACGCTGTGCTTAGCTAGGGACTAGTATTATAGATGGATAGGTGGCGCTGTGTGAATTGACCAGTGTTACTGTTATTATAAAGATTGCGAATCACACATAAGTTTCTATATATTGACTTCTTTACCACAAGGTTTACGTGTAGACAAAATTAATATTGAAGTTGAAATAAGGTAAATTGATTGGGAAAATGTTCACTAGCCGATAAGCTTAGACATTATCATGATATGTTGGGTCAACTACCGATATCTGATTAGTGATTTAAATGGAGAATAGAATATATTTTTATTGACTCGACTTGACACAGCAATAAAGACAAAAAGCAATTGTTGCTTGTATTAAGCAACAATTTAAACACATTACAAAACAGAGTCAATGTGTGCCACATCTCAGTATAACGCTCTAAACATTTTGCAGCGCTGATTTTCAGTTGGTCTCATAATTTGGTCGCACACAAATTACAATTTTAAAAAAATTATATAAAACAGACACTAGATGCTATCGATCTTCTCCCTCCTTTTATATATATACTGGCAGGAACACCATTATCAGCCATTATTTGTATATATATATATTAATGGATGATAATGGAAATGTAGTCCTGCCTGCGCTAACGGTTTACGCGGGTGAGACACTAGAGGAAAATGATAGATGAGCATGAGGTCAGGTTGATAGACCATTGGATAAAATTCAGTTGGAATTTATAACAATGATTTCCGTGTTGATGCAACGAGGGGAATATTGAAGGATTTGTACTAAATAAGAACCCTACACCATCCGTCCGCCCCCTAATGCCTAGTTTACACTCAGCCCGAGTGGGCAGGGAAGTGAGCAGCGCGAGAGTGTAAACACTTCCCATGCCATTGGCGCTGCCACTCGCGCTGCCGGGCGCTCTCTCGATTGTCGGTTTTTCATGCGCGAGTCAAAGGACTGGCAGCGCGAGTGGCAGCTTGCTTTTACATTCTCAGTTGTCGCCCGGCAATATTTCTGGCAGCGCGAGTGGCATGGGAAGCGGCTGAATGTAAACGTAGCATTACAAGGGTAGTTCTCTATTAAAGATATCGCCATAGAAAAATGCTGCTTCCAGCCTGCGCTAACGATTTGCGGTGGTGAGGCACTAGAGGAAAATGATAAGATGAGCATAAGGTTAGGACAGCTAGACCAATGTGGATTTAGTTGGAATTTATCACAATGATTTCAGGGGGGGCATGAAGGTCTACCTGACATGGTACATTGCTAGCAATGGGATCATTAGTTCACATTACTCCCCCTTAACTATTATATTCCTAATGTTGACACTGATTGAGTATTATTTGTATTTTAAGATGACTCGTTGCCGTCCATAAAGCTTCCGGTAAAGGAAGGACGGGACTATCTTTGGGCCAAAACTAAGGAAGCGTTTCGTTATGTTTACGAATATCATCGACGGGACGCGGATTGGTTTCTCAAGGCAGACGATGATACGTGAGTAATTAAAAAAAAATGTGTAAAGACTAAGAGTTCGAGATAAGAGAGAGAAAGAAAGAGCCAGGACGAATCATTTTATGTGTCTCTTCTTTGGAATTATTCTAAGTGCAAGCTGGCCTTTATGACTTCACCAGATGAAAATAAGAACACTTCCCGTGTGATTGATTGTTTGTGATTTCTAAATAACTAGTTACCCGGCTTTGCATGGATGTAAGTGTATTAGAACTAAAAACCTTCTCGATTGCCAAAAACTACATTAAAATCTGTTTCGTAAATTAAAATATCTAAGCGGACAGACAACGGAAACGGCTTCTTTTTTTACTATCTAAAGGTATTCTAGGTAGGTAGGTAGGTCTATTTACAGAAATAACTATAGTAGTACCACAGATAACATAATTATATTATATTATGTTATCTGTGGTCGTACTATTTACAGAGTAACTAATATTTATATCAGTTGTCAAGTACTGATTAGCTAGGGACTAGATGACACTGTGTGAATTGTCCAGGGTCCCTAATATTATATTATTATTATTATTATTCCAAATGCACGGACGGGCTTCTGGAGCAGCTAAATATCAATGCGTTCCTTACGGATACACAGACTTACTTGTTTTTTTTTTTATGAGAATGGAAGCAAGTGGTTTCAGCTATTTTGCAGTTGTGCTATTGTAAGACTTACGTTGTATTTAATACAGGATGTTTAGTTATCTTCAAATATTATAAGCAATTGAGTTTATATCACTTTCCTCCGCAGGTACGTGGTGATGGAGAACTTGAGGTACATGCTCGCAGACTACGACACCAACGAGCCTATATACTTCGGGTGCCGTTTCAAACCCTTCACTCCACAGGTTTGATTATATCTATTTGTTTATTAATGTAATTGGAATGAAATACAAATTGAAGCCTCATCTAAATGGTAAGGGGCTATTACCAATGTACAGGTACCATGGTAAGAGCACGGACGTTACATCATCATGCAACGGTGGTGATTCTTTTTATGCGTTACTATCCTGGAGGACTACGATGTGGTCCCTCCGTGCCACATAATTTCACTGCTATATCCTTCAACCCGAACACAGCTTATAAAGCAAGCTTGGCCGCTGAATTAGGTGAAACAGTGATAGATGTATCTACGTAAAAACTTTGACTAGACTTTGTTCGATATGTACCTCGCTTCATATTGCACGTGTAGCGCGGTTGTTATCCACTCATCACTGTTATATATATAACTAGCTACTCGCCTCAGCTTCGCCCGGGTGTACATGTATTATACATATAAATCTTCCTCTTGAATCACTCTGTCTATTAAAAAAATAGCTTTGAAATCCGTTGTGTAGTTTTAAAGATTTAAGCATACATAGGGACGGACAGTCATCGACACCGATGTTATTTTATACTATGTAATGACGTTCCAGTGATGAGGTGATATTTTTTTTTTTTTGGATTGTTTGGGCTATTGTCAGATGTGTAGCACCTGTAGCACTGCGACCTACATAGATCTATTGTGCTCGCCCTTTTCAGAGTTCGCTACCTAGACCCGTCAGGGACAAGAATTGAAGGATATTCTTAGGAGCGATCGTTTTTATCTCCTCGGGAAAGAGTGTAAACTTTCCAAAGGAGATATTTCGTTTATGCATGAGTGGGCTACAACCACATAGAATGTGATGTGAAGCGGCGTTTCCTCTTCAGTTTGGCAGAATCTGCAGATACTTGTCGTGCATAGGCCTAGTTTAGCCATATGCTTGTTTAATTTGCAGTGTCCTGTGAGGGCCCTAGTCATCATGCATATGTTGTTTTTACTCAATAGCAGTAGTCTATTGGAGTAGTTGGTCGACAAGCCCGATATTAGGTCTTTTGAATGTGTTAATCCTGGCATTCTTGCCAGTAATTCAGTGCTTCTCGTTTGGTTATTAATTTGAGATGTCCCAGTTTTAGGCAACGAGGCACACCACAGAAGGGTTCGGGGCCCAGTTGGACGGTTTTTGCCCCTGGTGGGGTGATAACATATGATAGTCATATGACTAATTGTACCCGCGGTTTCAATCGCATGAAATTTATAGCCTATATGTAATTCTGATATATAAGCTATATTACTGTAAAGTTTCATCAAAATACGTTCAGTACTTTTTGCCTGAAATAGTAACAAACATCCCCGCAAACCCGTTATACCCGTTTATACCCGCAAACTTTCGAGTTTATTATATAAAATATATCGTTTTATATGATGTGATGAGGTGTCGTTACATAATTTATTTGTTTATCGTAGTATCTAGGTAGTGAGTATACAGGTGAAATGATTGTACTATTTATAGTACATTAGTAAGTTTATTTGATACTACTACTACTACTACTACATGGCTTATTATTAATAAACAAGCCATGTAGCATGTAACTTTACACTTAAACTATGTTATCTGGAGAGGTACTAATGCAAGGGTGTCGAGTGTTGACAGAAATATTACAAGTGTAGGAACATATGTTTGTTATCTGTTAGAGGTAAATATATGAACTGACTTTCGCAACTATACATATAAATAAAATTGTAGTGTCTATCTGTTTGTAATTTGAAATTAACAACTTTTCACTAAATGCATATGAACTTATTTACGATGATTATTTCAAACAACTTTAAAGAAGTAATTTTAAAATGTGTATCTCTCTGTCTGTTTGTTTGTTCTTGCTCTGAAACGGCTGGCTCGATTTTCGACGATACTTTCACTTTCAGACAGCTAACGATAGAAGTAACTTTGCTTACTTTTATTCATAAAAAGAAAGTTAAATTATTATTAGACGTGAGTGTAGTCGCGGGTAAAAATCTATTGCCAAACGTATGTAAGTCCTACACTTTAATACTATTTCAAGAATTGTTGATTTAAAACTCTAATATCAATTATGTTATCTGTGGTAATATGGTATTTTATGTTGTTTATTTATTGCAAATTATTTAATTAAAAAAATGTTTGTAACGGCAAAGAAAAAAGTAAAATAAAGCTGAATTAATAAGTGATCACATAATTCTTTATTTACGGAATTGACAGATCGAACTTCAGTTGTTCAGTTATCGAAATTGATAAGTGCATACTGAATACAAATAAATTTATCGATGTCGGTAATCATGTATCATTCATGGATCAGTCATGTAGGATTATAATAATTTAGTATCTAATATGATTGCAGCTTATATATATATTATATTATATTTTGACTTTTGCATTAAATAAATGTTGTTAAATAACTATGTATACCTAATTTATTTGTAGAAACTGTATTTAGTATGAATTGAAATATTATATTTTCATATTTATTAATTCATGTAGATGTTTATAAAACTTTATAAGCATTGTAAATTAATTTCAGTTAAATAAAAATAAGTTGTTTAAGGATTCAATGATTGTCTATAAAAGGAACGCGTCTACCTTCCGATAGATCCTCCGTCCAATTGAAACGGGGATCGAAATTACGGCGGCTTAAGCCGAGGTTCGAACCCCTAACAGCGCCCGCAGACTAAAGTCGTATCCGTCAGGCGGGAGTTGGCCTTCAGCCGCTCCATAAGTCTTTCCGCGGGTTTGAAGTGCCATCTGCACTCGCCCCCTATCGTCCGGTGAAGCTGTAAAGGCCAACTGCGGCCAACATTAGAGTAGCCGAAAAAAAACTGAGTGGGGGAGTTGATTTTGAAATATGAACAAAGTGGGTAGTGTTCGTAAAAGTAAATCCTTGTACACAACCGTAGTTTCATTTTTAAGACCTTTAACTCTATATGTACAGTCATAAAGTTCCAAATTCTGTGTTAGTACCTACACCCGAAGTCTGCGACGTATAATAACGGTAGTTAATGCATTATAGATAAATGTATCTTTTTCCCGAAATGCCTGAAGCAATCAAATATATGTATATGTTGAGTTATGAGAACTTAGTTTAGTTTAGTTTAGTGTCATTTATTGACCAACGTAAAAAACATCTTTACATATATGGCACGTCATAATATACAATAATGATATTTGTAAAATTTAAATTTGATTACATACAATTAAATATATATTATTAAATAAAATAAAATATATAAATTACGTACACAATACACGGTATAACTAATTACAAAACGTTATAATAAAGTTTAAAAATCATAATTACGGTAATTATATAATTACATTTTGATTCATATATTCTGTAATATTATAAAAAGGATGTTTTTCAAAATAACATTATTTATTTTCAATGTAAATTCTTTTGGAGGCAATTGTCTGATAGTAATAGGTAGCTTATTATACATTTTTATTTTTAAAGTAATACTATGTAATATTATATTATCTGTGGTAATACCTTGTTTAAAAATTTATCGAGTCTTGTTATTGGCAATTGTACCTATATTATCTTTATTACCCGTGTGGTAATTATGATTATCTGAAATCGTACTTAGCTCATTTCTTTTATCGTGTACATTTAATAAACTGTGGTGGATGTACAATGAAATTACAGTCATAATTTTTTTTTTATAAAGTGGGGTCTGGCTGATATGTGTTTGTGGAGACCACAAATAATTCTTATGGCTCGTTTGGGGCTCGCTAGCGTTGCCCCAAATTGTCACTGCTTAAGTAATTAAAGACAGGATGTAAGCCTAATATACAGACTTCAGTGCTTTTTTATGAACTAATGATTTTAATTTGCTTAAGGCAAAATTGGCTGACGCGAGTTTATTACACAGTTTTCCGATATAGCAATAGCATAACCAAGGAATGTTGTCTCTTTACTGCAAGATCGTTGGCTTGTATTTCCTATGTATGCTTTGTTGGTAGTGTTATACGTCATAAGTACATTTTTATCTGTATTAAGTACAATTCCATTTGGTTAAACTGATCATTTAGAACAGTAGTGACCGAGTTTACGTCATGTTCTAAAATGATAACAATGAAATCACACTTATAAAAATAACAAGATAGTCGTATACTTAATTCGTTGTAATCTGACGATACGACATATCTTGCAATTGATTACATGAAGGACTTATCTGATGACTTGAAATTTCTTTAATGTATAACTGTTTACGATAAAATTAAATTAAATTGAAAAACTAAATACACGAAATTTGTTTTTTAAATATATTAAAGTAATATAACTTAAATAATAAAAACTAAGCAAAATAATAAATATAGGCAAGTATACAGAACATCAGATATGTCATTCATGTAATAATAATTACATGAATGACATATTATGATGGTTGTACTGATTGAATGATCAAATTCGGCGGCATGAGCCTAAAGTGACTCTGAAAATGACTCCTATGTGTACTAAGTCTGCTAAGTACTAAGTAGTAAGTACTAAGAGCGTGACGATGATGGTCTTGTCACGGTACAAAAGAAAAGTTTTGTACGCACAAAGAGGGTCAATCGAAACCATTATGGCACAGCACCGACGGGGCCCAACTTCTTGTTGCGTGCCGCAACACCGCTCACGGCAATGTACCTGTCTCGCCTACACCACGCTACCAAGGAACAGGACATTGTTGACTATATCCAGACCAAAAGTAATCTGACATTGAGGGTGTCGCAGCGGGAATAGAGTCACAACGCGAGCTTCAAAACGTTCGTGACCCGGGTCCCCACCAATATGCTGCCCACCTTCATGAAGGAGGACTGCTGACCGAAAGGAGTGGTCTATCCGTGGGAGTTAATTTTATTTACTTTTTATTCTTATTTAATAATATAAATATATAATATAATATAAATAATATATTATATTCTTATGTATGTTAAGTCTATACTTAACATACATAAGAATATAATATATTAGGTATTTATATTATGGGCCATGTAGCCTGAATTAAATGAATAATAAATAAATTGTATGGTTGACAACCCTAGTCACGGCCCGTTCCAATCCAATTCAAACTGGGATCGATATTACGACGGCTTCAGCCGAACTAGGAGTCAGGCAGGAGATTGCCTTCAGCTGCTCCATATGTCCTTCCGCGGGTTTAGAGTACCATCTGCACTCCCCCATCGTTCGGTCAAGCTTTAAAGGCCAGTTGCGAACAAAAGCATTAGAATAATTCGGTGTTTCCTTATTAGTGGTACGCGTACCCCCAGGGGTACGTGAAGTCGCATCAAAGAGTACGTGCGGCTATTAGTGAAACCAACACACACACAAACTTTCACATTTATAATATTAGTGTAATTTCTACAATAAGGGGTACGCAAGGTTTGGGGTCTCTTTTGAAGTGGTACGCAGCAAAAAGTATTTGGGAAAATGAAAACTTTACTATTAGGTAATTGCCTCAATGAATATAACTTGAGGAAATGTTGGTTTCCAGGGCTATATGAGCGGTGGTGCTGGCTACGTGCTGAGTCGAGAGGCGCTCGATAGGTTCGTGAACAAGGCGCTACCCTCGCCGCATTTGTGTAAAGCCGCCGATGAAGGTGCTGAAGACGCCGAAATTGGTACGGATTTAATTTTTAGTATATCTAAATGGCAAATTTAGTATTTTCCTTATTTCTTTTATGTAATTACTAGCTGTCCCGGCAAACGTTGTTTTGCCATATACATTAATAACGCTATAAAAAAATAGGGGTTGGTGATAGAAGTGTGAAAATTTTGGGGTTGTATGTATTTTTTAATGCCACATAATAAATAAATAAAAAAAATTGTCGAAAAAATAAAAATAAAATTTTGGGGTGTAAAAATTTGTTATAAATCTATTCTCAGACCTACTGAATATACATATAAAATTTCATCAAAATCGGTCATATGTATTTCGGAGAACGGGTGTACATAAACGATAAACCTCTTGAGTCACTTATATTAAAAAAACTTCTCCGTTGCGTAGTTTTAAAGATTTAAGCATACGTACAGAGATATATATGATATTAATTTGTAAGTACATTTAGTAAAGAGCACATTATGAATAATTTTAATCTCTATGGTCCCCGCAGGACTAGCGGTGATCAGGTATCCACACCGAATATTTATTGTTTTACATATGCTAATGGTAGCGCAATAAAAAAAAATATATAAATCTATTAAGTATTAATTGGGATTGGTTTGGAAACTACTGCTACCCTTTCTGGTTGTACCTCACGCTAACTCTTCTGCAAAACAATCGTGATTTATACGCCACCATTGACTGCCCTGGCTTCTTCCTCGTCAGCTTCCTCTGGTGTCCCGCCAGCGTGTACCGTTACTTAGGTGGGTGCATTAACCATATGGTTAGTTAGTTGTTAGCCACTGTGGTGAGTTAACTGGAGAAAATTTGTGTACATAATATCCTTTTAAATTATAGCCTATGTGTTATTCTAATCTATAAGCTATATTACTGTAAAGTTTCATCAAAATCCGTTCAGTAGTCTTTGCGTGAAAAGTGACAAATGAGTATGTTTTTTGAAACTTTACAGATTAGAATAACACATAGACTATAATTTAAACAAACTTTCGAGTTTATAATATTAGTAAGATTTTCTAAGCGCAATATAGAGTACATATTTTACATATTACAGGCAAGTGTTTGAACAATATAGACGTGAAGGCAATGGATTCTCGCGACTCTATGAACCGAGGCAGATTCTTCCCGTTCACGCCGAAGGATCACTTGTTTCCTAGCACTAACAAAGACTATTGGTATTGGAAGTACATATACTATCCAACTGACGAGGTGAGTATATTTAAATATAATATATATAGTGAATATCATAAAAAACTAAAGCCAAAACCATTCTCTCGCAATATGAATTTAAAAACATATTACGGCGACTCCAAATAAATGGGATAAGGAAGAAGCAGATGATAATGATGACGAGGTGAGAAGTTTAAAGTGATGACCACGGTTGCCTGGCGGTTTAGATACGGCCTTACTTACGAGGCCGTGGGTTCGATCCTTACACATTACAAATATCTGAAAATATGATCTGTATTTTTCTATGTATGTTGCCAATGGTCGAATTCCGATAGAATTAATTTCAATTTTAAGATTGAACGTTATTAAGGTTCTATTGTCAAGACTTACTTAAGTGATATCTACATCCGTACTGAGTGGGATGAAATATTTAATAGTAGGCAGCCATCTTGCCTTTCTTTCTCTCAATTTCTATGTCGGTCGGCCATTTTTATTTCTTTAGTATGATGCCACAACTGTTCATATTGCAGACGTTGTATTCTTCAAATGAGTGTTTTAAAAGAATATAGTATATTATAATATTATTTATTCTTATTAAATTAATATTATAGTAATAATCTCAGAACATCTCAGGACAATTAACATAGCGCCATCTAGACCCAAGTTAAGCTAGCTAAAGCTTGTGTTATGAATACTAGATAACTGATACATATACATAGATATTTTTTTGTAAATACATACATATTATACATAGAACACAACCAGACCGATATAAACAATCATACTCATGAAAACAAATGATTGTGCCGTGCGAGAAATCGAACCCGCGACCATCGGTCGTAAAGCGGTGTGCTAGACCACCGAGGTCGTCAAAGATATATAGATAGTGAGTTTTAGTGAGTTTTTCAAGCATTCCTATAAACATTTTTATGATTAATAATGATTAAATATTGTATCAGATCTAGTCAGCTCTGGTGCAATATTCCATCCGTATTTCGTTGTACACGCTGGCATTAGTGGAGGATGAGAATGTAGTCAAGTTAGTCAGCCAATTGTGACGCAATCACCAGGAATAAATCACGATGGTTTCTAGAGGGGACTTAAGGGATATTAACCTAACATAAAACATTGCTACCAGTGGTGTCAATAGTCCCCATTACTAACAATGTCACACCTCTCCCCTAATATAAAAAGTATTAGCTCTTTGCACTCCATCTCTATATAAATTTTAACTGTGCCAAATTTCATACTCCTTCGTGTGTAATTTTTATTTATTTGTTTATTTATTAAAACTTTAATGTACAAATACATAAATATAGATGCATATAGCGGACTTAACACCTTGAGGCATTTTCTTCCAGTCAACCACTGGGAAAACAGAGATTTATGTGGGCAGTGCATTAAAAAAAAATATGTATATAATTTTAAATAACAATGGTAAAAAATTTATAAAACAAATTAAACGATTTAATTTTCGTAAAAAGGAGAGAAAGTATTGCTTCACACTTTAAGTCACAACACAAACTCTGCTTAAATTCGAACTATATGGCGCTGTACGAAAAGAAAGAAAGAAAGAAAATTGTTTATTTGGTACACTGAAAATAATTTTTAAAATTTAATTTACATTTTATATTAATAATTAGAGTACCAACTAGGTCTCCGCTCAGCATATGTCGTGACGGGGTGCCACGGCGCTGGTTTTCAGCGGACACGAGTACTGTACGAGTAGTCCAGACTTTTTCTGCTTATATTTCAGGGATTAGACTGCTGTTCAGATTACGCGGTATCATTCCACTACGTGAATCCAGAGGAAATGTACGTGATGGACTATCTCATATACCATCTGCGGCCGTATGGGATCAAGCATGGCAGCGGCGAGTTGCCGAAAATACTCCAAAATAATAATGATAATAATCTCAGGACAAGTCAAACAGTGTCATCCAGACCAAGTTCAACTAGCTAAAGCTTGTGTCATGGGCACTAGATAACTGATACAAATACATATACGTATATATTTTTTTCGTAAATATATACATATTAGGTATACATAGAAAACACCCAGACCGATACAAACAAGCATACAAATATTTATACCATGCGAGATCCAACCGCGACCATCGGTCGTAAAGCGGTGTGCTAACCGCTAGACCACCGAGGTCGTCTGTATGATATGAAGGATATTAATGTCATATAGCCCATGAAATTACGTATAATAAGAATGTATAAAATGCTCGTGTCATAATGTAAGTTACCAATTACCATACTCCTCCGAAACGGCTTGACCGATTTGTATGAAATTTTATATAAATATTCAGTAGATCTGAAAATCGACTACTATCTATTTTTCATATCCCTACGTGATAAGGGTTCTCCACCCTAACATTTATATTTTAATTTTTGGGCAATTTTTTTTATAATGTGCTATTAAAAAATATATGCAACCCTAAATTTTAACCCTTATATCATCAACACCTATTTTTTCATAGTTTTTTAATTTATTTGGTAAAACAACGTTTGTCGTATAAATTAAAAATATATATTCATACTAGCTGTCCAGCCAGTATGAATATATTTTATTAAATTTGGCCTAATAATTTAGTAGGTGGTTGAATTATTGTAGGTATAATATGGTTATGTTATACCATATACGAACTTCTTTGAAATAAAAAAATAAAGTTTATTGTAATTGTCTGGCCGTTAAGAAAACTAGCGAAAAAATGATCATTAACAACATATTTTAAATTCGAATATCGAAGTCTTATTCGAATATTGAATCAAAGTCAATCGAGTCGACTTCGTCCGCATGTAATAGTGGCCTTGGATAGCATTTCTAATTATTTAGGCCATTTGTTTTACTTATAAGACATGCATGACCTCTTGCTATCTTCAAAAATTACGAATTTCCGTACAAACTTTCATTTCCTAATTTAGTTTAAGGGTAAAATTTTTACAAACTTTGAATGGCTCCTTTATTTATATTTAATCAAAAGCCTAAAAATAAGTTTCCAGCTTCTAAAAATCACGAAATTTTCATACAACCTTTCATCTCCCCTTTTAAATCCTTACAACCCTTTTTTAATATTAAAAAGTAGCGTATATCCTTGCTCAGAGTGTGAACTATCTGTTTACCAAATTTAATTTATTTTGGTTCTGTAGTTTTGGCGTGAATGAGCGACAGACAGAGAGAGTTACTTTCGTATTTATAATAATTGTAAGTAAAATATACCTACAATGGATGAAGTAGATAAATGAATTAAATGATTGATTAAAGTGATATTGAATCAAACAGGATTAATCACTACTTTTAATCTATTACTTATTACTTAATTACATTTGAAATTGAACAGGAAATTATAGGTACCTTCGTCCATGGAATAAACCTTGACCAAATAAACAAATAATATTTAATATTATTTGTTTAAATCTAAATCTAATCTAAATTTAATAAAGAAATAAATTTCCATCTAGTTTCTAAAATGACGATATTTGAAAAACAACCTTTCGTCTCCCCTTTCAAACCCCTCTCAACCCTTTTATCGCATTAAAAAGTAGCCTAAGTCCATTCTCAGATCAGTTCAGTAGTTTTGACTTGACAGCGAGACAGACAAACATACAGATTAAATTACTTTCGCATTTATAACATTAGTAAGGATAATGTTTATTGATATACATTTTTTTTGACAATTGTAAAGGCAGATTAACGAAAATATATAAACCAATGCACTACCCAATGTGAGAAAGAAATGAAAATCTCAGTGGTTGAGCGATTTAGTACACCGTCTTATCGATGATCGCGGGTTCGATTCCTCGCACGAAGATTCATGAACATAATTCTGTATCGGTCTGGGTGTTTTCTATGTATAAATATATAAGTATTTATATCACTTATCCGGCTCTCGTTGATTTTTACGAATTTTCAACAACCAATAAGTTTTCAGTAAATATATAATTGTAAGACTTAGGTTTTTGTAAATATTATTTAAGTATGTAAATGTTGTAGGCATGATCTGCTAATTTAACTTATTTATTTTAAATTATAGTAATATATACCTAATTAAGTACCTATACGAGTTTCAGCGTTTACGCTTGTTATTTTAAGAAAAAAATGTTAACTATGTTATAAAATATTTTTTATTAAGAATTTGTTGTTATATAATAAAAATACATTCATACATTATTTACGCTTATTTATTTACCAGTTCCTGGGTATTTCCACAGTATTAAATACAAATGGAAAATAATTATAGCGCTTGTATGTCTGCCTATATTTTTATTTATTTTTATTGAGGGCTATTGTAAGCTGCTAAGACCTCTAGCACTGCGACCTACATAGATCTATTGTGCTCGCCCGTTTTCAGAGTTCGCTACCTAGACCCGTCAGGGACAATAATTGAAGGATATTCTTAGGAGCGATGGTTTTTATCTCCTCAGGTTAGAGTGTATACTTTCCAAAGGAGATATTTCGTTTATGCATGAGTGGCAACCACATAGGATGTGTAGTGGGGTTTCCTCTTCTGCTTGGCAAAATCTACAGTTTGTTGGTAAGTTTAACCGTACACATACGGTTACTATAATTGTTTTCGATAATTATTATTAATTAATTAGAAATTTTACGAGCATCATGTTGAGAGTTGGTAATGTTTAATTTATTTTTATAGAACGATTATAAATAAGAAAGTATATTTGACTGTCTGTCTGTTTGTTACCTTTCCACGACTGTATGCTTGGTCTTAATGAAATATTATATAAAAATAGTATATTTATAAGTGCTAGGAGTACAGACATAGGTTATCTTTTAGTTTTTCAAAAAAGCAGATTAAATCACCGCTAACAGCTCAAATCTAATCAGAAATCATTTACTTATGGAGGACATTTTAGTCGCTTATGAACGTAAAATTTTTGTATTAATATTTTTTCCCTACCGTCTAGTTCAGTATACAGATTATTTAAGATGCTTGCATAGGTATGTATATGTTTTGGATTATTTTTTTTATGTCATTTGAATTGCAAACAATCTGACGTCCCATCTGATGGTAAGCACTAACCGTCGTCTATATACATGAACAGACGGACATCACGTTATAAAGTGACATCCTTGATAACAATCAGGCTTGGGAGGAAGGGGATTGTAAGTAATGTGGACTGATAACTCCATTGCTAGAAATGTACCATATCAGGTTGACCTCTACACACTTCTCCCTGGAAAGTACAATGATAAATTCCTGGTAAGTTTGTAATGATGGGCTAACTGTCCTGGCCTCATGTTTATCTTATAATCCTCCAAAGGGTAACATTATTCGTAAGAATCTCCTTACCCGCACGCCTGATTGCTACCAATAGGTTATTAGTCCACATTACTACGTGGACTAATAACTTATTGGTAGTGATGTTGACCTCCACGTGGTTTCCCCCTCGAAACCATTCTGGGAAAATGCCATTTATCAAGATGGGCTACATGACCTGACTTCATGCTCATCTTATCATCCTCCACTGGACCCTCGCCTGCGTAAACCGTTGGCGCAGACGGGTACATCATTCCATTATCATAATAAAAAATAGATAAAAAACACTGATATTCCAGAGGACTATGATGTCTATTTGTATCTGAATATGTAATTTCTGAGTCAAAAACACAGGAGCTGACTGAGGTACGCACACAGAGGATTATTTTACAGTTTATCTCCGGTAAATTCTGTATAATAATAAATTAATATGGTAACCCCGCACTGTATAACTAGTATACGAACCTATAAATTGAGTTAATCAGATACCAAATATTATTACCGAGTATGTTTACGATTGTTATAAGTGTGCACACATGTTAGTCTAGATACTGGGTTAGTGGTAAAGAGTACCTAATAATATTGTTTTTTTTACTTAGAGAAGAACATTTTAAATTTGTAGAACCTTTTAGTTTTTTGATCAGGGTTACCAGTCTTAAAATACTTAGAGCCTCGTGGAAATAAATAAATAATCTTTGATATATAACCTCGTACATTATTACATTAATAATATAGTATTTAGACCGATTTTTGTTTAAATATCGTACAAACTTGCGCGATGGTCTTCGAACGGCTGGCATCCCTGTTCCGGAAACAGCAGAATTTTATCCGACAAGTAAAATGGGGCGTTGAATTTTATATGAAATGTAGAAATTTTATAATACTTTTTTAGACAACAAAATTTATTACGTGATATCATATCACGTAATAAAATTGGAGTTTGGCTTGGTTATTGAAAATCATATGGAATGGGCGATCCTTACCGATTGAAAGTGATAATCGCCTTTTCAGCTGGATTTACTTTGGCATATATCTTGACAATAACTGACAAATATAATATATCTTATATTAATACGTAGGTATATAAAGAATTAAATGATAATCATAGTTAATCGTAAAGCAATCATATACGGTATAATAATGTCTGCGGATCTGTTTGTTTTGTTACGTTTTCGGGACTCATCACTTGAAAAAGTGTTTTCAACCCTTTTTTTAACATTTTCATCCCTTTCTCGTCAACTTAAATCAGAATTTTTTTTGAATATTATTATTCATGTAGTCGCGGACTATTTTTTTATATTGCGCCAAAACTGGTCACGTTTATGTTTAATTTAAAATTTTACTGGACTATTTTATTACAATTACCACAGATAACATAATATTACATACATACTATTATCATCTTACTATCTTTTTTTCAGAGTAAGTAACGATACTGATCAGACGCAAAGAGACTTATTGTACCGGGATAACATAAACTTTAGCAGATCTCATAGTGGTGTAAACAGAAATGTTGCAGATGAGTTAGCAAGTCGGGTACGAGTGCTTTGTTGGGTCATGACTCAACCGAAGACCCATCATACCAGAGCACAACTTGTGAAAGCAACCTGGGGGAGGAGATGTAACAAATTGCTATTCATGAGCACAGTTTACGGTAATCAATTCAACATTGTTGTTAACAGAAGCTATTTAAGATAACTAAATTGGCGCGACTGTGGATGAAACCTCAACCTAAAAAATAACGCGGTATAGCTGATTAGCACACCGCTTTACCTCCGATACTCGCGGGTTCGATTCCTCGCATAGTACAAACATTTGTGTTTATGAATCGATGTTTCGTTCTGGATGTTTTCTATGTATATTGAGTATGTATTTACAAAAATAAATGTATATTCCAGGATGTATCCATCGCCATCTAGTCCTAAATTAAGCAAAGATTGGGTACTAGACAATTGGTACAAATACATAGATACATATTTTTTGTAAATTTATACATAGAAAAACACCCAGACTGATACAAACAGTCATATTCATGAATACAAATGTCCGAACCGTACGAGGAAGCGAACCTGCGACCATCGGAAGTAAAGCGGTGTGTTAAACCATTAGACCACCGAGGCCATCAAAATAGATCTCCTCAGTATAATGTTAGATTATTCTTACAACATTTGTAATATTATTTTATAAAATCATTAATGATTTCATTACCATAGACAAGTCGATACCAACAGTGAAGTTGTTAGTAAACGAAGGTAGAGATTATCTGTGGGCGAAAACAAAAGAAGGTTTTCGTTACGTATACGAACAGCATCGCAGTGAAGCTGATTGGTTTCTCAAAGCAGACGATGACTCGTAAGTAATATTTTTTTTATAATATTTTTATTATATAGATGATAATGGAATGGCACACGCTGCGCCAACGGTTTACGCTTGCAGGGCTTGTTTTATCAATGGATTTATGTTACATTTACTCGAACTTACATTATCGCATTTTAAAAATTGAAATTATTTTATATTGCATCACAACTTTAACAGAAACGATTTCATATAGTGTTACATAATTAACCCACAGGTTACATAGCCCAACGTGTCAAATTTATCAGAATTTGTCACGATGGTTTCCAGGAGGAACCGGGTGGTACATTGCTAACAATGTCGTCATCAGTTCACATTATTAACACGCGCATGTATGGAAATAAAATATTTTATATGCTATAGCGGTTCCTACCACAAGTGTTTTTATTAAGAGTAAGGGAAGTAAGAAAGAATGTTATAATTTGAAGAAGAGCATGTAAGTGCTCCTACTACCTTTCTCCTGGTGTCTTACCAGTGAAAGTGACTTTAGACATTCGGATCGGAGTTTATATAAAAAAAAAATATTTTCAGTTATGTGGTGGTTGAAAACCTTCGATATTTATTACACAATTATAGCAGCAGAGACCCTTTATATTTTGGGTGCAGATTCAAACCTTATGTTAAACAGGTCAGTAAAAAAAATCTTAAATAGATCTAGCAGTGTGTTGCGTGCCATATATTTTGTTCAGTAAATAAAATCAAAATCAAAATATCTTTATTAATGAAGGTCTGTTACAGACTCTTATGATATGTCAAATCTACCGTCAGTTCGGAATGATTTCGAGATGAGAAGAACTGACAAGAAACTCAGCTCGTATTCTTTTCAGATTCATTTATAAATTGAAATTTGAAAGAATAGAGTGAATACCAGCATATGCTATACCAAGTTTTTATATTAAGTTTATTTTAATAAAAAATATTTATTCATATTTCTATTCCAACTATGAATACTCCTCCTATTATAGGGTTATATGGCCGGTGGTGCAGGATATGTATTAAGCAGAGAAGCTCTGAATTTGTTCGTCAATAAAGGTCTATCGTCGACTGATAAATGTGCTGCAGTCGACTTCGGGCCCGAGGATGTTTTAATGGGTACCTAATTCATCTTGAAAACAGATAATCATTAGAAATACCTTTATCAGATCTATTTTTGTTACTTAAATAACTATTTATTTACTTATGCCAACTTTGGTACTCGGTAGTTTGCAATCACAAAACATTCTTTAAAAGAAAATTCTGAACAATCGTATAAACAAAATTTTAATAAACAATTTAAAAGGCCAAGCGAGGGGAAAATAAATGTATCTAATATGTGTACCTATGTTATAGACGTATTTACAAAAAGTTGTCTTAGTAATAGTACCTGTTGTAGGTAGGTCAACATTAATTATTGTATTCCCTACCTACTTATTTAGAATAAAGCAGTTATCGTCGTGACATAATGTTTCATTGACACAACAGTACCTATAACATAAGCTATGCTTACCGTGGGGCTAAATAGAGCTGTGTTAATTGTGAACGGTACATTTTTTTTTAATACAGATATTACGAAATACCTACCGACACAGATAACATAATATTACATACTACCGATATTATGGTAGTTGCAGGGACTAGTAGTAATACTGCAACTCTTTCTCTACTCGATTCCGATTGAAATAACTTATGTTATATTCTACAAATTTTCCTGAATACGCACTATATATTCTGAACAATAATGATCAACGATCATGCATATATACCTATATATAATCATGCATAATATTTATTTTATTTATTTATATATAAAAACTTCATGCACAAATATAAAGCAAAATAAAGGTGCATATGGCGGACTTAACACCATAAGGCATTTTCTCCCAGTCGACCATAGGGCAAACAGAGATTAGTGGGCGGTGCATTTAAGTAAATAATAACATAATATATATATATATATATATACACTTCCGAACTCTTTTTAGGCAAATGTATGGAACTCATTGGAGTAAAAGCAATGGACAGCCGCGACACTTTCGGCCGTGGAAGATTTTTTCCATTCCGTCCTGTAGCTCATTTGTTCCCGTTATATGAGAAAGATTTTTGGTACTGGAGCTACTTATATTACCAGGCTAGAGAGGTATGTGTAAACTGACTGTATGTTCCGCGGGGCGGGGGATTGTTAGTAATGTGGACTAATAACCATATTGCTGGCAATGTACGACGTCAGGTTAAACTACACGCGGTTTCCCCCGGAAACCATCATGATAAATTTCTGGTGAATTTGCCACGATGGGCTAACTGACCTCCTGTATTATCATCCTCCACTGGTGCCCCGCTAATAAGAAATAACCATTTTTACTACATGCATATGAATATAAATACGGTACATACACCAAAATAATATTTTTCACAATTTTTGTCTGTCTGTCTGTTTGTTCCGTCTAATCTCTGAAATGGCTGGACAGATTTTCTGACGGCTTGTATTTAAAAAAAATCGTTTAAAGTAGAAAAATAAAGTTACATTCCACGCGGACGAAGTCGCGGGAACAGCTAGTATTCATTACAAATGCATGATGAAATTTAGTAGGTTTACAAGCCTACATAAATAAACACAATTCAGATTTTCAAACTGCACACTTGGTTACCTACTTTACGCAAGCATCGTCCTGAAAACATTTTTTATTTATGGATGAAAATAGAATGGTGCAGCCGCTTGAGCTAATGGTATACACTGACAGGGCACCGGTGAAGTATGTTAGGATGAGCATGATGTCAGTACAGTTTGACTATCGTGGCGAATTTACCAGAAATTGACCACGATGGTCGCCAAGGGAGACCGCGTGAAGGTCTACTTGACATGGTATATTGCTAGAAATCTCGCTACTATCCTGATTATTAAAAATCCCCTACTTCTCTGATCTGGGTGTTCTCTATGTATGTATTTATAAACAAATATCTGTCAAGTCATCTAATAGCAATAGAACAAGCTCTGCTTAGTTTCACACCATCTAGTCCGGCGAGTTATTATTTATTTATTTTAGGGTTTGGATTGCTGTTCTGACTTCGCCATCTCATTCCACTACATTAACTGCAAGCAAATGTATGTACTGGATTACCTAATATACCACTTACATCCATTCGGCATCAACTACAAGGATGAGCTGTAAATGTTTTAAATTAAACCTCTATTTATCAATTATGTTTTTTTATTTAATTTTACATTAATAGATACATAATACACAAAGAAAAGCGTTGACGAAGCTCGCTCTATTAACTAACAAGTACAATTAAATTAAACATTAAACTTCTATATAAAAAGTTGGTGAAATCGCTTCGTCAACTTCAAAACGAGATTAATTTTCAAACAGATCTTCAAAAACTTAACTAAGAACAATCTCAATCGCATCAGATTTGGTGATAGACAGACGCACAGGTAGGTACGTTAAACTTACATCCCTCTTTTTACGTAGGGGTTTAAAAACACCATGACATTATTACTACAAAAAATATAGTCCGCGAGATAGAGACAATTTTCGTCAATTATTTTCTCCCGTTGGAAAACTTCTAAGGTGGCTTCTAAATCTTAGCAAAAACTAAACTTAAAAACTATGTTATGAAGTTTAGTGAAATTAACTGACTTTGCTGTTACGAGGGTTCAGCTATTTCTTCCAGTTTCAAATTTGATTTGACAGCAATTTGAATTGGGAAGAAATGACTTTATGAATCTTAGAAGTTTTGGACAGGGAGGAAATTGAGTTCCTGACTTTGACTTTACTGTAATAAAAGTTACACAATATATTACAAAGTAACGAAACGGTTTTACAATATTTTGACAATAAAATATCATAGATAATCTAGTCAGACTTTATAAAAGTCGTTTGCGTTTGCGTGGTCAGTCTCATTTATTTCAGTCGTCAAAGAGCTAGTTTTGTGAGCAGACATCTTAGAGACAGTCACAGCATGACATCTTAGTCCTCCTGAATACCAACACATGATATCACGGGTGTCACATGATAACGTGATGTCCGTGGTGCTGTTCTTGTATATAGGTTACGGTTACCACTTACCAGCAGGTTGGCCGTCATATAGCCATTCTCAAATTAAATTAAATATATACATAGAAGTTTAATTTTAGATCTCAACTAGAGATTTAACAACTCCTATATCAAATTATCTCACTTGCAACTTTTCACTTTATAATAATGTAAGAAGTACAAAATATATGAGATTTTGTTACATTACGAATTACATTTTTTTATACATAAAAAATGTTACAAAAATACACATTACCGACTATAACTATTCGATTCTAAATCGACTTTTTTTTAATTAACATATACTGTAGTCATAGAGACACTTTTCCGTTTTATACACTATTACTTTGTTACAAAGATATAATAGGATTATTTATAAATACTAGGTAACACGGTGAACTTTGTATCACCTATATACTTCATATACATGCATATATATACTAACTACATGGTATAGGGTTCGACTTTAATTTATTAAATGAAATTTGCTTTCCAATACATACATTTTTATGTAAATATAACGACAGTTCAAAAGAAATTATATAAAAAACAATTTATGAAAAAATAGCAGTCTTGTAGATCGTTTGATTATTTGAAAGTGTACACCATGAAGGTCATCTATTAAAACAAAGTTGAATTAACGAATCCCATACAAAATTACTACCTTGTTTTTACGGAATGAACAAAGATAAACGTTTTATTATATTATATAAAGTCAGTCGTTAAATATTTTTAGCGATACTAAAGTACAGCAATTGATTTAGTATATAAAGATACAGATAACTATAAATAAACATAATACAGATATATTCGCCGAATAAACATCAGACATCCTACTATCTACTAATAAAAATCAGATATGATAAATCTAACTTATTGTATATGCAATAAACATGAATATTCCATTATATACATTCGTAGGCGGCTGATGTGACGTCACGACAACGGAAACAGCTTATGACAAGCGGTAAAGGTCACAAAATGATCGATTTTTATTAACAGGCCAACTATGTACAGGGATGCCAACCGTAAGGATTCTCGTACAAAAACCCATATTTTTGGTGATAAGCAGACATTTTGATTAATGTACAAATTTGTACGAAACGTTGATGTACGAAATACAACGATGCAACGAAAACAGCTTATGATAAGCGGTAAAGGTCACAAAATGGTTGATTTCTGTTAACAGGCCAACTATGTACAGGGATGTTAACTGCAGAAGCATTCTCTTAAAAAACCAGATTTTTGGTCGTACGCAGACATTTTCATTGTTGTAAAAATTTGTACAAAATTATGATGTACGAAATATAACAGTGTACGAGGTTAGAGAACCTAATTCCGCTAATCTCGCATGATTTTATGTATTAAGGTTAATTCTAGTTGTGTTCCACATAAACAAGATTCCACTTTCGGTAATTTTTTATGTCTACACGGGATAACTGTGTACCGTACGGAAATAATATACCTTCACGCCATTATTCCTGATGTGGTAGTCAGAGGCATTGCCGACTGTCAACATGGTGGTGAACGCAACACTTGACATGTCCACATTACACTGGGCGCATTTGACCCCAACATGGCAGAGAGCCTACAGTAAGAACATACAAAAATCTATATTTACCATATAAATACTACGTTAATAAATACATAGAGCTGATACGATACACTATTTACATATATAATTAAGATTACAACTGAAATTGTTAATAAAATTCTATCACCTCGTTATACAATAGAAAAAAAAACCCTTAATCATATTAAGTACAATTCTTAGTAAATGCTAACAAAATTATATATTAAATTAAATACTAAATGTATACACAAAATGTATTAGTACTTGATTATAAACTAACTGAACGTGTGAAAAAATAACTAACAAAAGAATCAATACAACTAAGGCTATCTGTATATATGAATTCGTTTATTTTAATCAGCATTGCCTTGCCTTTACTGGGATAAGGATAAGGCAATAGTGAATTTGTTTTAATCCGGCTAGTTATAACTATTTTAGTTGAAATACAATAATTTGAATAGAATAGAATAGAAAATAATTTATTCAAATAAACTTAATTTAAGCACTTTTGAATAGTCAACATTTATTTTAAATCTACCGCTTATTCGGAAAGCTGTCTCATCACAAGAAGGATAAGCAAGAAACTTGTGTGTTGCTCTTTTAAACAATCCTTGTAAGTTCACATTTTACAAGTCGAAACTTCTGAATACAAACTACCAACCAGCACTAATTTATTTAGGCTCAAATATAACGGTTTACAAATGAATAAGGAAGATTAAATTACAGCAAGTGTACAAAAAATGTAAAATTTTACAGAATCAGTTTGCGTATTAAAAAAATTTTTATTATTATTTTATATTATCATAATATTTATTATTAAATGAGGTGTTGTTTTGTGGTCTACTTCAGTTACACGGTACAAAAAAAAAATATTAATACAGAAAAATTGACGTTCATCAGCGGCTAAAATTTCCAATGAATAAATTATTTTCTATTTTATTAGATTTATTTTATCCAATTAGTGGTGTATTTATTTCAAATTATCTTGTTTTTCATGAAAGACTACAAAATGGAATAACTATCTATTGTATGCACTATTACTAATTTTGTACAACTGAAAGTCTTGCTACATTTGTTGAATGGTTAAATCTGATATGGGATGAAAATCATAATAATTCTAATTTGACTCAAATATAAGTTGTTTGTCATTTAGTTCATTCATTGATAACTTGGAACTAATATTACGTTACAATTTATGAATATAAAGAGTATGCAATATCACATTCCAATATTCAAACAAATCAGCATTGATTTCAAGAGAACGACAGATTTTATAAAAGAAACAATTAACTGAAACTTCTTTTAATTGAGCGGAGCGCGAAGCGATCTTAGAGATCAAATTTGCACTCTTTGTAACGATACTCCTATGAAACGGCCATCACCAATCGAAACAAAAATTTCATTGAAGATGGACCCACGAGAATAGCTTACTACTTAGCTTACCACTAAAAAAAATCCGATAGGTCAAGGTTGAGTTTTTAAAACTAAATGCGCTCCGCTCAAAATGTGGCCGGGTGTAAACGACACACTGGTAACAAAACTAGTTATCGCTAAATCAGACATATGTGTACACAAAACTTAGCAAACATTACAAATTATCACTGTACGGGTCAAATTAATTTATAAATAGAAAATTAATAGACAATATACAAGAAAATGGTTAACATGAGTGATCACTCACTAACCATAGTTGTTTCAATGGCTGATCAATGGAAGTAATTTCTCTTCTTTCTCGATATTCTGCAATAGAATTTTGTTAACTTATTACAGAGAATAATATTATTATATTGACAATTCACACAGCGCCATCTAGTCCCAAGTTAACGAGAGCTTGTGTTATGGGTACTAAACTATTGATATAAACACATTGACACTTTTTTTGTAAATACATAATATACATAGAAAACACCCATACCACAAGCTCTGCTTACATTGCTGTGTAAACTGTACAGGATATATAATATCATTATATAGATTATATTGTAATTATAGAAGTACTAGCTATTACCCGGGGCTTAGCTCGTACTAAATCAAATATATTAGATTTTTTAAAAAAGAAGAATTCTATTGCCATACAAGAACCTGTATATAAAATTTCATGATGATCGGTTCAATAGTTTTTGCATGAAAGCGTAACAAACTACCCTACTTTCACATTTATAATATTACTACCTACTCGACCCGTCTTTGCACATCTACATGGTATTATATATATATACCTTCCTCTTGAATCATTCTATCTATTAAAAAAAACCGCATAAAATCCGTTACGCAGTTTTAAAGATTTAACTTTGTTTTATACTATGTAATGATAATGATAATGATGATTAACGATTAAGGATAGTCTCTGACAATAGAAGCTGAATGATGTCAAAATCTAAAAATTAATTTTTCAATTAATTATGGTCGAATTTCGACCACTATAGATAGAAGAAATTACCCAGTATCACTAGGCGAGAAGAAGAATCCCCTTGGTTTGCCCGGATGCTGTGGTGGCAGTGTGCCCAGGTTGCTGGCAACCGGCGAGTTAGCTGCCGACGTGGGACACGCCCACTGTGCCCAGTAGTCCGACGGAAGCCGCAGCATCAACTGCATCACCTGACAAACGAACAAACGAACTTGATGTTCAAGGGTTTCAAGAATATCTTATCTAATTAATATATATATAGTTATAAACGCAAAAGTTTGTGAGTATGGATGGATGTTTGTTACTCTTTCACGCAAAAAGTACTGAACTGATTTTGATGTCACTTTACAGTAATATAGCTTAAAAATCAGAATACCATATAGGCTAAAAATTTCACGCGGGTAAAACCGGAGGCACAGTTAGTTAATATTATAAATACGAAAGTTTGTTAATATGGATGGATGTTTCTAACTCTTTCACGCAAAAAGTACTGAACGGATTTTGATGAAACTTTACAATAATATAGCTTATACAGCAGAATAACATAAGCTAAGAATATCAAGCGGGGAAGCCGCGGGCACAGCTAGTATATACATAAGTTGAAGAAGGCAGTTTGTTACAAATCCTACCTTATTGTTGACATGACACATATCGAATAATCAAATTAAATATAACTAACTAACTTTAATAACTAAGGCACTCACATTAAACATCTGCGCGGTGGCGCTATACATTTCCGCCTGCGTCACTAAGCCATATCCAACTACAGTTGGGCCGAATATTTTCGACAAATTCTCGATGCCCATCTCGCATTCTGGACTCTCGGCCACTCTGTGAACAAAAGTAATACTATAGTAAATTATCCGGTTAATAGTTTACTTAAAAATATATTTTCAAGAAGGGTTTATTAAGGTTTCTTTAGGGTCAGCAACGTGCACGTGACACTGGTGTTTCAGGCGTCCATAGGCTACGGTAACGCTTTACCATCAGATGGACCGTAAAAAAAATAGACTTAATAAATATTACAGTTTGATTTTGAAAAAGAAGTGGTTTGTTGTTCTTACTTGTTGCAATTGGTTTTTTAGTCTGCCTTTTTTTTACATGGGGAAGATCCCTCATGGAGACCCGTCTGTCTCAGGGGTTGGACGGGTACAGTGAGACTCCTACTCACCAAAAACCCCACGATATTCCTCCCCGCCACCATAGTACCGGGTCGCGGGAACGAGTTCGCAATCGACGTAAAGAATGCTACTCACTTCTGTAGATGAGGAAAGCCAGCGAGCCCCCGTTGGGCTGCCGGACTGCACGATGGCGGCAGTAGCGTCGTCTAGAGAGTTCTACTCACTTCTGCAGGTGGAGGATGAGGAAGGCCAGCGAGTCCCTGTTGGGCTGCGGGAGTTGGCTCACAGCCTGCACGATGGCGGCAGTAGCATCACTAGGTTCAGCCAGCCGCGCTGCGTCCATGAAGTCTGCCCACAGCGCGTTGGACACGAGCGGCTCGCGCAGCGACCGCAGGAAGTCCTTGATGCAGCCGCACAGTACGTGAATGTCCTCCGAGCTCAGCTGCGGCGATCCACACCCTCGCAAGAACCGCTCCTGATATATTTCACAATTGGATTTATTAAGACTAGATACCCTTGTACATATAAATGGATGGTTATAAGGGCAGAAGAAGGCTAAAAGAAGATGAATGGACTGTGTGAATGTTGATATGGAGTAAAGGGAGCAAATAACAAGATGATTGCGAACAGATGGGATAAAAAACTCAAATAAATGGGATGATAAGAAAGAAGCAGATGATGATGATGATGTTGAGATGCCGCAGTGTGAATTTTTTAGTGAGTTCTCATTAGCTAACTTTACATGTGTATGTACTTTCACACGCGAATTGACTATGACGCATGACAGAAAGAGCATGCAAATGTAAAGAGAACGAGAGAGACTGCGCGCCGCCAGCTCGAGGATTACCGCATCCTTCCATCGTGCGTGCTTTGGCGTCTTTTTGTTATAATTAATTATCATTACGAAATGGCGGACAACTGAATATTGAGCAAAAACTTAATTGAACAGATATTGATAATTTATAAATGTTCATCTTTGGAAACTAAAATCTGTGGAACAAAAATTTAAGTAAAAAAAAATTGAAACAATACATACGCGCGAAAGTATATTTAATTATGTTCGTATTTAGATCAGTGGGCAGCCACTAGTATTTATACCTTGAGCCGCTTGACATCCTTATCGACGGCACTGATGCGGTAGATGCCTCGTTCGCTGAGTCCGCGTTTTTCGACCTCATTGATGCAGTGCACCAGCAGCGCCGGGACCATCGGCGGGGAACTCGGAGCGAAGTCCGCGATACAACCCTCCTGCGGATATATATAGCAAAATATTTGTATGACTTTTTTATTCCAGGACAATTCACACATAATCTACGTTCAGCATATTTTTTTTTCTAGAATTTTTTTCTGTCTTTTTTTTGTACCTCCAAGTATGGCACTTACATAAATACTTAAGCTACTTGGTTTCACTCTTGCCCCGCGAGACCTTCAACCCCAGAGTAGACGCATTAGCAGGCTAACGCGGGGCGAGAGGGAAGATCAAAAGAGAGAGGAAATGAGAGAGAAAAAGGGAAAAGGACAATTTGGGGGTTTGCCCCGAGGCCCCAACGTTCGCCCCTAGAGGTGTAAGGATGCCCAGTGTGTGTACACACCTGCCTGGCATTGGGCCTGCGCGCGAGTGGTCCGGGCGGTACACACGGCAGCGGCAGCAGCGCGCGGCACTCGGGGTGCGCCTGCGCACGACACGTCTCACACTTCACGCCCACTTTTGCGAACCCAATACTGTAAACATTATTAAATATTTGTTACGACGAAGTTTGATATTAACATGATAAAGTACGCATGCCCACCGGTGGGTCACTTCGTAACAACATTACCGGCCCGCGTGATCACGGGTGGGTACACGACATGTTTTAATATATGTAATTTACAATAAAAAAAAAATGGCGCTTCCTATCTGAAAAAAAAGATTTTTCAATACGGTCTTCAACGTGTTAAAAAAAATACAGATAAAATAGTGAACATTGTATATTCAAATATTTAAAACTGAATACTGACGTTTTGCCGCAGGGTCCGCAGGCCTCCCGGCGGTAGAAGTTCTTGGTGACGAAGTTGTGGGGGCGGAGCCTCGCGCGCGGGGACCCGCCCACGGCCCCGGACAGCACGGACGCGGCGGACGGCGTGCGCTGCGCCGCGCGGCCCGTCGTGCCCGTCCGGCCCGTCCGGGGCGTCCGCCCGCACCCGCCCGCCTCCGGCTCCGGCCCGCTCTCCGTCTCTGTCGACAACACTAACATTTGCCTTACATTACGAAGAAAGGATGACTACATCATTAGTTATGACTTTATTATTGTCAGGCACAAACTGTAAATAAAATAGCAAACATGCCTAATGGTGAGTGGCAACCAAAATAGGACCACATACATCGCGTCGACATGTGACGGTAGTTGTAACTCATACGCTACAACTGATGACACGACTTCGTTCAAACCTAGTTCTAGCAAAAGTTGCAGTACATAGATGCTATCGAAATTTACTGGTAAACTTCGATAGCATCTATGCACTGCAATGGATGGTAAAAAGGTGCGTTAAAGATAATATTAGTATAGTACTATACTAATAATATATCAGGACAATTCACACAGCGCCATCTAGTCCCAAACTAAATAAATCTTTTACTATGGGTACTAGATAACTAATATAAATCCACATATATATCTTTGGAAGTATTTCTACCGTACGAGGAATGGAACCCGAAACCATCGGAAGTAAGGCGACGTACTAAACTGCTAAATCAGAAAGATTGTCGTTACTTAATGTATTTATAGGGTTTTCTTTACTAGCCAGTTACTAGGACTACTAGATACTTCGATGATGGATGGTAAAAAGGTATCTATCTTTACTTAATGATTTTATCTTCTTTTGGTTAATTCCGCTACCATAGACTATATATACCATAGAATAAAAAGTTACCTGTATGCGGAGGAGCAGAAGGCGTACACGGTTGATGGTCCTCTTTCTTAACAAACTGTCCTGAGAGCCGACATGACGACTTCCGAGGCGGTGCTTCATCGCTGCTCTCCGATATCGGTTGCTGCAATGTTTTTATTAATATTACATGAACTGTGAAGTATACTGGCTGAAACATGTGGCGAACAAAAGTTTAACATATTACAATAAATGGAAAATCGATATATTGACGGAGTTATTAGGTCTTCTTATCGTATGTGTCATTATTAGATACACTTTGTTGTTTTATTGTAATCGTTCAGTAACTAGTATCACATATATCGTTGCCTAGCAACGAATATTAATCTTTACATAGTATAAATCAAAGTCGCTTCCGCGGTGTGGTGGCTTTTAAATTACGCAACGAATATTAATGCAGTTTTCAGCAATAGATAGAGTAATTCAAGAGGAATATACAAGCGTGTTATAGTGTAGAGACAATGTTTTATTTTTAAGCCAATGCGAATTTGATATCATCTACGTTTATATATATATTTTTTTGTAGTTTTTTCGATGAGAGGGACTGACTGAAAATCAGCGCTAAAAATTATTTATGTACATTACTATAAAAGCACAAACGTTTTAATTTCATTTATTTGTTCCACACAAGATAGCGGCCTTTCTGTTAAGGCTGGAATGAATTATGTAAATTATATATTAAGTAAAATATATAAATATACTAGCAGACCCAGCCACGCGTTGCTGTGGCTAAGGTTCTTGAATAAAATAATATTGCGACTATAAAAGATGTAACCTCCTATCTTTCAAGTTGGATCAAATTGCACACAATGTCCAAATAAAATATGCAATCGGTTTAGGAGTCCATCGCGAACAAACAACGTGACACGTAATTTTTATATATAAATATTATTTAAAAAGTAGTATTCATTATATAAAAAAAGCATGGTAAGCTGGTAGCATGTTAGCACCATCACCTGACAGACAGTAAAAACGATCCCCTGCACCTGTTATATATACATACATTTTAATAAATAAAATATGTGATAATAACATTAAAAATACTTATGACTGTAAGAAAGAAATTTAAAATAATTTAATACATTCATTAGTAAGAAAAAAAATTACAGGCGATTTCGATGAGCGAAAGTATATGTAAAGGGAACTTACTGAGAGTTCTTGTACCCTCAACAAACCGTAAGGACCGTACCAACCATAAGTAACTGTAGTACAAGATATGTTTAGTTTGAAGACAGTAAGCGGACGCTGTATCAGTTGTTCAGATTTATAAAAGAAAATGATCTAGGCGTAAGCTAGGGTATTACACGACTAATATAAATAATCAGACACATTTTTTTAAATGTACATAATATAAATAGAAAACACCCAGACGGATACAAACAAGCATACTCACCAATACAAATATTTATACAAGAGGAATTGAACTGCGACCATCGGATATAAAACGATGTGTTAAACTGGTATACCACTGGGGCCGCCATGTTGTGTTAATTGAGTCATAGTAGTGTTAATATTTAGTGAAATATTAGAATAGAGATTGATGAATGTAGAGGAAGTAAAAGTGGTATGAACATTTGGCGTTCCTAGTTACCCCAATGGAAGATAGGCGAGCTTATATATGTATGTACTTACGAAATTTTGCAGTATTTAGTGAAATATTAGAATAGAGATTTATGAATGTAGAGGAAGTAAAAGTGGTATGAACATTTGGCGTTCCTAGTTACCCCAATGGAAGATAGGCGAGCTTATATATGTATGTATTTATGAAATTTTGCGGTATTTAGTGAAATATTAGAATAGAGATTGATGAATGTAGAGGAAGTAAAAGTGGTATGAACATTTGGCGCTCCTAGTTACTCCAATGGAAGATAGGCGAGCTTATATATGTATGTACTTACGAAATTTTGTGGTGGTTTTAAATCATGTCCTGTCGGCGCCCGCTCGAGAGTCAATGTCGTTTTGGCAGTAGCTAACACCTTCGCTCCTTGCAACTCTACTGTCTATATAACAAATTTATATGTTTTTACAACAGTTATTAATGTTGTATTTTCGTATAAAACGGACTATTTACTGGAACACGCAAGTTTTTTGCTCGTTCTTCTTGTGATGAGATAGCTTTCCGAATGAGCTGTAGATTAAAAAAGTAACTACGACTATTCAAGTCTTAAAATTTCAATTTTTCTGTTTTATTCTATACACATTTAGCCTACCGTTGTAGGTGTAGAGCGGAGACTTCAAAAGTAGTCAACAAAGCCATTTTAAAGGAAGGTGTTTATTATAAAAAAAAAGCCTCTGCACATGACTTAGCATGATCAACACTGGCAAGGGCTTATAGTGGCCATGTACTTCTCCATCCCAAATAACTGTACTCATTTAGTACATATTATTATTTTCTTCCTTTTATTTATGTTTGTTTTTTTTCTTTTCTCCTATTTTCATGTTCCCTACATATTCGATATTTAAAATCGTTTCCTTAAGGGTGCTGTTCGAGCGGTATCGAACATGAGCAATTGACAGCCGCTAGACCGGGAAACCTTTCACTTTGCCTTGCGCCTACGACGTCCCGCACGCGTATCTTATTAATTAGATAATGTTCCTTGTAATATTATAACTCCTCGTATTAAATATAATAATTTACGGTCCCCTACTCATTTTATTTACGAGTCATCAACAGGTGCCTTGTAAAGATTGCTTTCAGTATAGTGCCGACTTTTTATAATAATACATGTGTACTTTAATATATTATTTATGTCTTTTCTTTAATATATGCTTAAAATCAAAATAAAAAATTCATGTAGGACATATTAGGCGCTTATGAACATCAAGTTTTTTGCATTAATATTTTATCCCTGCCGACCAGTTCAGTATACAGATTCAATTGAGAATAGCCTAGAAACTCAACAGAATTTCTTTTTCGAAATTACAAATACAAACAAAGTATATTCTATCTACCTGTACATGCCAAGATTCATGACGTTTGTTGAAGCTGTTCAGGCATTAAAGCGTCGCCAAATAAACAAATTCACTTTCTTATCTGTAATATTAGTCATAACTTACCTTAGTGACGGAAGACGAGGAGGAACGGCGTTTCTTTGAAGCAGGAGGGTTTTCGCGTGGATTCCATCCGCCCCGTTGTACCCACGAGCGACGAGTCGACGCTAGAGATAGATCGAGATCGTCTTCCGATCGAGAGTAAGACATCTCTGATAGCAATGTACCTGTTGACAATAGTTGAATTAATTTTGTACACATTAATAAAAAAAAGGTTAAAACTTTTTTTTTTATTAAAGTAATTTTTTTTGATGCAATATTATTTTTTTGGGTGCATTGTGAATGCCAATTAACTTTTTTACTGAGGTAGTCTATGTAGCTTGGGTTACTAGTAACTCTATATTGCGCACAACAATAAAAAAGTGTTAGAAATTAATTTTAAAATTAACTTATTGCATATTTTTTTAATGTCAATCAACTTCTTTACTGAGGTACCTCATACCGTAGCTTACTTTGCTTGGGTACCTTTATCTCTTGTATTACTGCCGATAAGTAGCTTGCTTTGTAAGCTGTGTTTTGGTAAGTGAGATTAAGATAAGAAGTACATATATCTTAATTCTCTAGAAAGCCAACGAAGAATGTGTATCACGAGCGTCACATGATAACGTGATGTACATTTCACGTTTGCCACTTAACATGTTTTACCGTGGGCTCGATTTTTAAATAGAATAGCTTCAAATACATAAAAAAAATGTCCAGACCAGAATTAAAGCAGCTCTTTTTGTGATTAGTCTGGGATCCGAATTAGAATAAACAATAAATACGTCCATACAAAAGTGCATATATTAAGTTTATTTGATTAAAGATTATTGTTATTTCTGATATGACTCACCAGTAGAATTCAACTCTGGAACACCGTTAAGTTTGGCATTGTGGTCTTGTTGGGCTCCATTCAAGAAGGCAAGCTTCTGTAAGGTTTCATCATTCAGTTTGGTGCGGTTGTCGTTGAACAAGAGGTCACGAGCCATCTCCAGTCTCTTACCCTATAATAGCACAATAAAAATGACATAAAATTCCCTTTTCTCTATTATTTTTTGAATTAATGTGAACTATAAAGTATAGTTATGATGACATACATTGTTCTTTTTCTTGCCTATCGGGTTGAAAATTACTACAATTTAGTTTTATTCAATTATTTCTGTCAGTTCAGTATGGTGAATCATGTTTTCACATGTTATTTTCACATTGAGCTTAATGCGAAAATATCTTTATAACTCTATATGTTTAGATTCATTTTTAAATGTCTACCACTTACCAATTCATTGCATTTTTTTAACACAATATTCCTCTCTCTCTTTTCACTGTCAAGCAATTTCCTGACATGTGAAAACTTGGCCTCCCATTTGGAAAGTGTTCGTAGCGCCTCATCCAGTTCCGACTGAAGTCGTATGGTTTCTGCTTCTGATGCAGCCCATTGGGTACGAACCCATTCAACATGCTTCACAAAAGCATAGAAACCTGTTAAAAATAAAACAGATATATAAAAATTATAGATAGATAATTTATTTGCTTGAATAATTACAGTATTAGGTACAAATGTTCGCCTCATATTCAGGAGGCATTCAAATTGTAGTTCTTAGTGCACAATTAAATTAGTGCAGAATGTAAAGTCAGTTCAACAAGAGTAGCAGCAGTTTTTTAGGAGCCTTTGGTGCAGTTCTCTTTTAAATGTATTTAACAGCATCTCTCAAATTACTTGTGGTATTTTGTTATATATTTGTATGAAGTTGATATGTGAGTTAATTTTATACAAGTTTAGTTCTACATGGTGGCATTATGTTATAATATATAATATGAAACAAGTTCTTCATGGTGGTAGAGGACTGTTTGTTTGTTTTTTTTATGGATGATAATGTAGTGGAGCACCTGCCGGCGCAAGCGGTTAAATTGGGAGGGCACCAGAGGAGGATGATAAGATGAACACGAGGTCAGGTCCGTTAGCCCATCATGACATATTCACCAGGAATTTATCATGATGGTGTCCAAGGGGAACTGCATGGAGGTTAACCCAACATGATGCAGTGATAGCAATAGAGTCAACTGACTTATTACCATACAATCCCCAGGGGATTATTTATTGATATATGACACTATCACGCCGACTCCAAATTAACCTAGTACCAAGAGAAATAGTATAAAATATATGTATTTATTTCGTAATTTAGCATCCCTCCCAGAGAAACACATTAAAACAAATGAGAAAATAAACACAATAGAGAAACAAATAAAATTAGTAAAATAAAAATTGGCAAGAGTAGTAAATGCTAAATACCCAGTCAGGCACTCAGCTAGAAATTCAGCTCAGGCTGTTGTAATTGAAATCCCTGTTTATATTAGAAAGGCAATTTGTGCTATATGTACTATTACGTTCATAACTATTAGAAGCATGTACTTAACTACTAGAAGAATAACATTTTTTAAAGTATAGGGGTCATACTAAATACCCAAATTACAAATGTATCAAGTGTGTATTGAAATAGTGACTAAATTAGGTATCATACTTAATTGCTTGAGAACCGAAACATAGACAATATAATCTAAAATGTAATTATTTCATATTCCATAAATTAAATTTAGTTATAAAAGGTCAAAATTTGAGTATCACTATATTAAATTAATTAATAAAACTATTTAAAATTAATTTTCTTACGAAAATTGTAAGAGCCAACTAGAGAAATAAATAAAATGGCATCTGTGGAACACAAAACACTAGGAGCAACATGCTATTATACAAGTCTGTAATAAGTTAAAGTGTCTGTACTCAAAGATATCTGATTTCTGCAAAAACAAGACTTGAGTTTAATGGAAGAGGATTGTTGAGGTTGTTGTTAAAGCATTTTATATGTATTTATGAATGTAAAAGTGCAAAAAAAGCTATATCTAACATTGAAATATTATCTAGCTTAGATATGTGAAGATCCGCCCTACCCTTCTGTATGGTGTATATTGATGGGTTTATAAGTATAGTAATAGATTATAATATAAATTTACTTAAGCTAAGGCCGGGATTTATAATAAAAATATCATAAATCACTAACAAACACCACGACATTTAAAGGCAAGCGGTTGTGAAATTGCAAATAAACATTCTTTTCATTAAAACCCTCTTGTAGCCTTAGAATATTCCTTGAAAGTGATTAAAGATTGTTGTCTTACTGTTATCACTTACATTCTTCAGCAATTCCAGCATTTAAAACTCCGTTAAGACGATTTAAATCGTCGAATTGTGCCACAAGCGAAAGGGCGATGCTTGATCCAAAATTCAAATTTTCTGCACTCATTTTTATTTATACTACTACTTTCAAGATGAAACACAACAAAGCTCTATTTAATAACGAAATAAAACATTTCAATTCAACACAAAAATACAATTATTTGACTACACTCTGTAACCGTATTAAAATATTTCTTCTGTCGAATTGAATTTTTAACGGCCACCGTCTATTTACGTTTATAACGACCAATAATTGTTTTTTATTTATTCTTCTACGAAGACAAAGAGCATAAGCCCATACAGCCGTACGGCCAAACTATTTCATTCAAATTAACGTCAATGTCAAATCGTTGAACATGGCGTTTTAAATTTTTTATATATATTACTGAATTCCATGCTTATTGAATTACATTCATACTTCTTTTATATATCTGCGGCATACTATTTACAGGGATATTGGAAGTAAACTATACACATACGCAATGAATGTAGTTGTCAACTTCTTTATTTTTGAACGAAAATGCCGTCTTTTGTGTTTCCATTATTGAAACGTAATACTACACTTCGATATGCCCGAACGCACACGAAACAAATATATTTTAGAACTAATGGAAAGTGTAAACTCTATACTATTCAAAACACGCATAATGATCAGTTACCAAAAACGATATACACTTTCCTACCTATGAAATATTATTAAAAAGTAAATAATTGTCTGATATAACTTGGGCTTGTATATTTTTTTCTAATAAAAGACCTGACGTTAATGTATTTTGAGTAATTTTCACTTTTTTTTAACTATTAACACTAAACTTATTTATTTGTTTTCAAGTAGGTTTAAATTATATTGTACGTAGGGTTTGGGTTTAATATATTTTGCCCCATACTTCACTAGTACGACATTGTAGAATTCAGTTTAAGATTTTAGACTTGCGTCATGTAGATTGTATATTGTCAATTATTGTCACATACAGTTAATTAAGCAAAAGTTATCTTAAATTGTTAAAAATAATTAAAGTATTATGCGCAGAGAGGAAATTAATATATTTACTAAAAATTTCTATTGATATATTTAAATAAAGTTTTATTATGTCTAAAATGTTAGACTTAAATGTTGTGTGTAATATTCCTAATAACCTAGTTACATTTCTATGTGTTAAGGTTAAATAGGAGTTATTTAGAGTGATTATTAAATAGCTTAAGGTTTTTTTTCAGTGACAGAATAAACCCTTTGTAATAAACAATCACTGAAAAAGTGTGTGTTGTAAACATAAGTTCAATAACTTATTAAAAAACTTGAAACAGTTCATATCGTGTCGTGTACAATAATATACCCTATTTGCCCCTTTTTTTCCAGAACCAAATACCCGTATCTACTTTTGTTTCTTCTGTTTATAGTATTAGGTAGGTCATTCTGCTTCTATTGTGATGTTAAAATTTATCTAATAAAGAAACAGTTATACCATACTTTCTTCATTATTTATAACAACTTTAAGCTAGAGTAACTTAAAATAGTTATATTATTTTAAATTGTCATAACCTGAAGACAGTCGCGGCGGCACATCGTTTATATTAAAAGGAACCGGTCATCACTCTATTCCGTTCGATAATGGTTTTATTCATTAATAGTGGGTAATCGGTAGAAGCTGGAAACATTCTGTACTAACATAATCTGACATTGACACATGACAGTTGGATCGCTTCATTTCATTGGTTATTCGGCTATTTCAATAGAATTCGCATTGCCTTTCTTGCTTGACAAACCGCAATGACGTTTGATTGAGTACGGTTGTCTACTCGTCTCCGTCGCGCATCCTAGCGATTTCTGTGAATTAGTAATAAATTGACGGGCCACCGGTGTATCGTCCACCGCGTGTTGCCATGGCGGACGAAGAGAATAATTGTGATGATGGTGGTGGTGAAGTACGAGCTGATCAGGCGTTTCGGCTTCGAGGCCGCAAGGGTGCCCTGAAGAAGAAGAATGTTTACTTCGTGAAGGATCACAAGTTTATGCCGCGGTTCTTCAAACAGCCCACCTTCTGTTCACACTGCAAAGATTTCATATGGTGAGTCTATATTAAATATATGGCTGTATCTACGTACGTCCTTGTGTAATTGTTTAAGATATGAAATTAAAAATACATCATTTGTTTACAATGTGGAGGCGCTCGTAATCAGTTGCCTACTTGTTTTTAGTTTGAGTTTATGATAACACAGGCATAAATTTGCGTAAATGGAGTGAAATTATTTTATTAATTTAATATAATAAACTTTGTTTGAATTTATTATAAGGAAGTTACTAAATTCACTTAAATTGCTTAGGGAACACTGTTATGATTGTTTTAATTAAAATGATTGCATATTTGTATTGTTATAGGCACAGTTAGAGTATTAATAATGTAATTGTATGCAAAGTGTATTGCTATACACTTATCATTATAGTCTGAGTTTGTTATTATAAATTAAAAGAGTGGTTAATTTAATTAAAAAAATACTTATTTCTTTTCCTATAATAATATTTATTATATTATATTACAACAATTATTACTCATTTTACCACAGGTTATAGGTACTCAGGTAATATGTGGTAATACTGATGATATGAATGATAATTGTAAAATTCAATAAATAGGCTAACACAAAATTATTAATATGGAATCTTACATTTAACTGTATTATAAAATATTTTGATTACTAACTACCCACCTACTTCATAAAAAAAATAGTATAAAAAACAAATATGATAATAATAATAATCTTTAATATTCTGCTCTCAAGGAATTTTACAATGTAAATTAAGTATATTTAAATTTTCAAGTTATTCCTTATGAGAGACTGTAACCTACTAAGCTGAAACCTGTGCAAAAGATCTCCAGGCTCTCTCCGGGATCTTACAGTACTATATAATACATATTGAATGTATTTAATATATAATCAATATTCAAATTGGCAATATAATGTAATGTGAATACTTTACTACTGTTATTGTGAATTTATTCAATAGCAGAGGGTCAGCATAATAAAAAAAAATTATGATGAAATAATGTTATACTGCAATCTGACTTTTATGTTGAATCTGTCATAACATCCTCACCATTTTATACCGGGAATATTTACAGTATTTACACAATCAGAAATGTTTATCTTTCATTCTTGATCACTTCATTGTAGCTAATAAAAAGAATATATGTAAGTAAAATAAAACTTCATTATTTGTATACTTGTGTACTATAAGCTGATTGGGTACTTTTGCTGCCTTTTATTAAGTATCCTTTAAATGTATTTTCTTATATGTAATTTCACTAGCAGCAATAAATGATTCTTATTCTGATTCTTATTCATATATAAAATTTAAATTAATAAATAATAATTTTAATTTATTCTGAAATTTCTTCGGGTAATATTAAAATTTATAACAACCAATTAGGTTAATTATAATATTGACATGATGACAATTGTCCTTATGGTTAAAATGTATAATAATGTTATAAAGGTAGAAAGAGAGCGGATTTTGTTATGAGGAAATTAAAACTATTGGACCACAGCGCTAATTTAAGAAGTACTTTTACTGTTTAGAAGGTACTTTATTCTAGAGTAGCATAGACTATAAATACTTTCGTTTATTGGGTGATAATGGTGCACTATTGCACCTATCTGCACTAATGGCTAGTGGGGCACTAGTAGAGAATGATAAGCTTATGCATAAGGTGAGGTCAGATAACCCATCGAGATAAACTCATCAGGAATTTATCATTGTAGTTTCCAGGGAGACTGTGTGGTGGTCAACCTGACATGGTACATTGCTAGAAATGGGGTCAACAGTCTACATTACTAATAATTCTCTTCCGCTATAGGTGATATATAAAAAAATATTCAAAACTAGCATAAGTCTGAGTGTGCCACTAGTTATGTAAAAAAGATATGTCATGTGTTAAGTAACATGCACAAATTTTGTTTATACCCCAATATATATAATACTAGCTGACCCGGGAAATGATGTTTTGCCTTAAAATAAAAAAAAATGTTGGTGTGGATTACCCCTAACATTTAGGGGGATGAAAAATAGATGTTAGCCGATTCTCATACCTACTCAATACGCTCACAAAACTGTGACACGAGAATTTTATATATAAGATAATATTTAATATATATATTTTAATATATGGCTTATATATTAAAATATACATATTAAATACGGAACTAGTACTACGAGTATATGCCTGAGTGTGCCACTAGTTATGTAAAAAAACATCTCATATGCTATGTATGCATGCACAAGTCGAATTTATTGTTTTTGGCCACAGTACTATAATGATTTCTGAAGTGCGTTATGGTGGCAGACATCCGTCATCACTACTGTATAAATTATGCTTGTTAATTAAATCATCTGCTATTTTGTATAGTGGAAAGATAAATGACAATTGGACATTATTATTTCAATGTAAAAGTAAAGTATAGTAATTATTGTACATACGAACATTGTATTACAAAAAAATAATTAAAAACATTGTTTATGACAATAATTACCGATTGGTTTTAAAAAGTCATATTTAATATGGCTACGCTACTAATAATGTAATACTACTACATAATTGAAAAACGTATGATGTCTATGTAATTTGTGGTTACAAAAAATTTGCTTAACCAATTTACTCACAAGTCACAATGTGTTAGGGAGTCTAAAAATCATACTCTTTACGAATCATAATAAAATTTGCGTATTTTTTCAAATGAAAAACTACTCTTTATTAATATTACGCCGTCAATGTAAGAGTTGACGGTGAGTTGAACTAGAAGGTAGACTAAAAAGCAGTTTATGTGTGGGTCCTCCGCTCATAAAAAAAGCTGAAATAATTAGCAAGTATTCTTTTTTATACCAAGAAGGTAGCAATCAAGCATACGGTCCATCTAATGGTAAATGGTTTACCGTAGCCTATGGACGCTTGAAACATCAGCTTGCTTTGTAAACTGCGTTTTGGTTGATGGGTACTATGAGACAGTAAAATTACAGGGTGAGAGGTATAATACTGGTTTAGTTATTTCGAATGGTAGGCAATGTGGTGGTCCGTTGTGCAGTACATGTATGTATGTAGACCACTGTTACCGTTCACCATCAGGATGATCCTCAGTTACTTACGCTGGAACCTAAGGTCCTAACCTCACATAGTGCAGTTTCAGATGAGCTTTCTCCCGCGTACACTTACATTGTGGAATGAACTACCTTCCGAGGTTTTCTCGAGAGACTACAGCATAGGTCTTTCAAAGAAGGGTATATTAAGATTTCTTAAGAATCGGCAACGCGCACATGACACTCCTAGTGTTTCAGGCGTCCATAGACTACGGTAACTGTTTACCATCATATGTTTGTGTGCTGGTTTGCCAACGTCGTAAAAAAAAAGTTACCTATAGTAATTACCTAAAAAGACTGCTTTTTTTTTATACTTATTATTCTAGAATGGTGGCAAACAAGCATTCAGCCTTTTTTATGTTAAATTACCTAGTATATGGTTGCCTGATACACCAGGAGTGTTATATGTGCATTGTCGACCCGTTCCTAGGTCAGTTGTAATTTTGTTATTTTAATTCTTCACTATGAAATTCAAATTTGCTTTAGGAAACAAAGTAATTCCCGCATGATGCAAGAAACTACGTTACGTTACGTTGTGTAAATTATATTTTATTAAAGTAATACAATCTTTATTCAAATAAACTAAATGTAAACACTGTAGTAGCGATTGTTTTATGATTCTAATGTTTTAGTCGCAATGCAGATTTAGACGAGAAGATTAGTCATAACAATATAAAATCTCAGGACAACTCGCACAGCGCTATCTAGTCCCAAGCTAATCAGAGCTTGTGTTATGAGTACTAGACAGCTGATATAAATGCGTAGCGACATTTCTTTTTATAAATACATACGCAGAACACCCAGAACTATAAAATCCTAGTAATGCCTATGATTTTATAGTTCTGGGTACAAATGTATCGTACGAGGAATTAAACTCGCGAACTTAGGAGCAAACTGTGTATCGAACCACTAAAGCGTTTAGGTTCTTAATTAAATACAAATATGTAAATATAACATTCAAAGTTCGTCATTCGTCGTCTATTCCGACGCGGTCGAAGTCGCGGGCACAGCTTGTATTAATATAATTCAATTTTCAATTGATTTTACCATTCATATTCTCAACAACAATCAACATAAAGCCGTTTTAAATAAAGATAGGACCGTGTCGAATGAATTTGCTACGGGCGTTAGATTGTATAGTTATATTACCGCTGCACACACCTATAAATTGCAGACTAATTTTAACCGAAGCTACACGTATTTATTTATGAATTTATAACTCTATTTTTATATTAGAATGGACGTAGAAATAAACTGCTCCACGAGCCACGTCCAGTGACAGTTCTTTGGCTCCAGAATGAAATTTATCGATTCTAACATTTTGTTGGGAAATATAGTCGTAAACTTTGTATCTTGAGAAGACGTTTTATAACAATAATAATAATAGCTTCTTTATTTCGAGCCACAGGTGTTATTATTTATAAGTACTATCACAATAATTTATATTTTAATTTTACAATAAGATACTGGATTTTCTAGAATTAGCTTTAAATATTGGTGCTGCTTATAGGGCTTGGGCTGCTCTGGTAACTATGACTGATTTCTTTTGTCACTCAAGTAACTATTTATTTATTAATTCAATTTCGCTATTTGGCAGGATTTAATTCACACGAAATTCTTAAAAATGTAATTCTTAACAAGATTTATTTAAAAGTTATACGCAAGTTTCTTGCTCATTCTTCTTACGATGTATCTGCGTTCCAAATGAGTACTAGAATTAAAAAAATATGACTATGAAGTTTTTATATTTTTTTTTTGATAAATAATATTTCTATTTGTATTTTTAAATAAAAATTTTCTGTTTAATCATATTTATTTAAATGACAAATGGGCCTGGCTTTCGTTCTTCATGCACGGGATTTTCATTTTATGTTAGACATAGACACCTAAATAAGTAAAAAAGTTAACAAACTGGCTTAAATAAAAAAATAAATTCAA